ATCAATGGCCAAGAAATGTTCAATGGTTGGCCTTTGTTCTTAGGCGACTACTCAAATAGGTATCTAAAATATTTTTTAACTCATCGAAGTCATAAAACCTGGCTGTAATTATCCAGAAAAAAACTAAATTAAAAGTCTCAAAAAATAATCAAACGCCCAATCTTAACCTGTGGCAAAAACCGAAAAAACACATGTCCGCTCTAATTTCTTTATTATGTTTGATTAACCCTTCAAACGCCGCGTAATTACAACAGATGCATTTTGATTAATTAGTCAAAAAACCCTTTGGGTCAGCGCAGCGCCACCTGCCCACGATTCACTTTCGATTACAAAAAACAGGGTAAGTGTAGTCTTGTAGAGATTTAGAGCTAGAGTTCCGTACAATCAGATCTCTGTGAACTCTGTCAATTCGTGACGTAGAAACAACCGTAAAAAAAACTTATACAAAGGTCAACTGGAGGAGAATGCCGAATGATATTAAGTTCGCCTTATGTTCTGTGATGTGATTAAGTTTTAAATAAATAAAATACCCTCCATTTATTATTTTGTTTAATAATTACCTAGTGCTTGTGCACATTTTTATTGATATTAACTGCCAAATGCCCATAAGAAAGATTTAGAATTTTCATATTACCCATGTAACTTAGGTTTTTTAGGTATTTTTGGATATAAAAATGCCTTTACTTTTTTTCAATTTACAAAATAACAGCAACATAAAGAAATAAAATCAAAGCACGCTCAGCTAACTCGTACCTAACGATTTCCAACGTCTCTACCTATCTCCAAAAGGCACCCGATGATTTTTTCGGGTTAATCTCATATGTAAATCGGCCAGTCATTGTCTTTTCGGAGTTTTCGGCGGAAGTCATGTGGCCACGGTTTTTGTTCACTTTCATTATACTCGTCGGAGATCATTAGACAAAGGGAGATGCAGCTTGAGATCTTGTTCGGATCATTTAATAGTCAATTGTAGATTCACACCTCGGCAATCGTCAAAAAAACACCTAGGTATCAAATGATTTGGTCATCGTGATGCATAAATTATTAATAATAATGGCAAGGGTTAAATATAAATTTTTAATAGTTATTTTTTAAAATTAATTGTCATTAGAATGTACGCGCGATTGCAATTTCTATTGTTAGAATTTCCGATATTCTTCCTGCCTATTGCACCATGGCGATAGTAGAAATTGCATGGCTAACGTAGGATTTATTCCATTTTATGGAAGGAGTTAATTCTTAGTAAAGAAGTTCATTTTATTTCTGAGTGATTTTAAAATCCGATTACCAATATCTAAAACTCTACTAAAATACATTCTCAAAGAAAAAACAATACCCTTAATACATTAGCATACTTATACAAACTTTTTTCTTGAGCTAAGACGTTCTGGCACGAATTTCGCACGGAAGCGACCATCAAAAAAATAAACTTAAAAAACTCTTTCTAGTTAGCACGCAACCTGTACAATGACTCTATTAATATTCATAAACCAAGACACATTACGCATATCAATCACTGTATGCAAGTGTTAAAAAATACGCGATCGCATGCAAGATCACATCCCCATCTTTGTTTTCTATGGCTGCACTATCATTAGCGCCTTTGCTTTAGGAGCTTCTTTTATTCAAATTTCGAAATCCGAACGCTTGACAAAGACTTGTTTTTGTTTATCGGCTAAAGAAATTAGGTTTTATTCAAATGGGGCATAGACAAGGCAGGTAGGGGAGTTTTTGTTCTTTTTGCGTCGCGTCTTGGCATAGGCGGGCTAATTACAATCGTATGTTGAATTAGTTGCGATTTTCACACGGAGCGGAATGCACGTGTGTATGCCGCTGCGGTAAGTGAGTAGGTAATTACCACGATGTTTGTTATGGAAATTACATTTTACTAAAAGATAGATCGAGATGTGACTGTAGAGGCGTGACTTTTTTTACCATTTGGGTAATTTTTAGTCCTTCTACTTACTACAAATTACGATTATTTTTAGTAAAAAAAAAATCTGGTTTAAAACTTATTCTTTTAATAAATTCCACAAACATATTAGAAAAGTATGTTTTTACAACCTTTTTAAGTACACAAACCCTAAAGTTAACGAGATTTTATTATACCTCCCTAAATAGCAGATTAAATATGGTTGTAGGAAATGAGGGATATTATTTCAGTAAAAAAGATTTTGGAAAAAATATTACATCAATCAGAGATTAAAAAACATAACTTGTGTTTAATGAATAACATCAGTTTACAAGAGTCGCTTTTATAAAGATAGCATTCTTCTCGTATTAACATTAAAAGAAACCAGTCCATGATAAGAAAGCTCCCAAATATTTCATTATGTAGCTAGAAATTACTGTTATTTAATATCGTTTATTATTATTAAACATCGATTCTAATTGCGTTTTTTTCCTATTCTAAAACTTTTTTTGATACTCTTTTCTCCAAGAAACCGTGAGACACGCATAAAATTAAAAACAATAATAAGTTAAGTATGCAAATGTGATACGTGACCACGTTTTTTAAGATAAAAAAGAATGAAAAAAACAATAGTCTGCCCGGTCGCACCCCTTCGCAGTTAAAGGAACGTAATTTGCATACGCTGCTGTGGCGATTTTTTTATCGCACACAGATTATGCAAAGCGGTTTTTTGGACATCGCAAAGCGCGAAAGACTTTTTTTTTCTAAAAAAAAGTTGAGAGTGATCAAGAAAAAATGTTCTCATGACGCTCCGCTTTTTTTTGACAAGACATTGAAAGGGTTAAGATATTTTTCTAATAATTATTCTTTCATGAGAACCTAAACATGTTTTATGGATAGATGTTTACCTAATAAGCAATGATTACACTCATGTTAAGCTCATTAGTTAATGAGCTTAATTACGTTATTAATATTAATAAAGAAATTCTTATTAATTGTTCAATTATCGTACTTGTATGTTTAATTATTTATTTACTCAGCAGTTTTTTTCTGTCTGCCCTAGTGGAGACGGGTGTTCTTTATTGAGTTTCTTAATTTTATTAAAGTTATTATTTGAGAATTCATGTAAATATCACTTTAAATATAAAAACTGGCTGCAATGGTTCAATAAATATTCATTGAATTAATATTAAACAAACAAATGCTTTTTTTGGTAATGAAATGCTTAACACGCAATGTGTATGTAAACGGAACTGAATACAAAAATAATTATGTAAGCTGCACACAAAAATTATAAATAAACTACATAACCTTTTCAATTTTTTGTTGCATGTAAACTTTTTTTACCTGCTCCAGGGGTGGAGTCGCGACCCACCCTATTTTTTCTAGAACTAATATCTATCGGAGGGTGGCAACATTTTTTTCGTGTCATGGCGTCGGTCGATATTTTTCCCGCCAAGACAGCTCGCGCGTTTGTTTCGAACAAAGACTTGAACCCTTTATGTAAAGCATTATTCATCTATTTTTTCGTCCGGTAACGGTTGGCGCGATTCTTTTCGGTAATGACTGGGGTGGAATGAAAGGGTTGTTTTTTATACGCGCCTCCTCACGCGATTTGGTGCAGCGAAATCGGTCGGCGCACGCAAAATTTTGAGTTTGGAAGCTTAATAATTTTGAATGCTAACGGGATTAGGGCCTTGGAATAGGTTTTGAGGTCCTGCCTCACCTATAATTTATGGAATTTAATGCGGCTAAAAGTTGGTTGCCTATAATCTTCTGAATGGTTTTTAAAGTCAAGATTTTAATAAGTGGTTCCCTTTAATAGCGCATAAACAAAGCTGATTCCGTGGCTTGATTGAAAGTAATATTTTCGCAAAGACATTCAAAGTTTTAAGATCCACGACATAATAAGAAATTATATTCTAAAACTCAGAATATGTCGTCAAAACATAACACGAAAATAATTTTGGTAGATACGCTCAAAATAAGATGATAAAATATGTAATATCTCTACTTAGGGATCAAATCTAAAACCTTAGATTCGTTATCCATTTACTTAACAGTTTACTTACACCTACATTACCTAGGTACTCTTGTTACAAACCCACGGTGGTGATGTTTAATCGTAAGTCATTAGTTATTACCTACTGTAAAGCTTGTGAGTTACTCGAATCGACACTCATCCACGCTCACAATATTTCGCGTATAAAATTATTATTAGAGTAATTATTCAAAAAGCCAGCTGGATGCAAAAGAAGTTTTTTGTCGCATAATCGGTTCATTTATCCAGTAATTGCTTGTAAGTAAAGCGTTTTATAATGTTTTTTAACGACTCCGAACAAAACTTTAGCGGGCAATCTTATTAACACGGCTATTATACAGAATGACATACAAGCTTGTCAATCTTAAAATTTCTCGCCCATCACCATATTTTAACGCATTTTATCGATAATTTGACGGATGCGCTGCCTTCACGTATTGAGCAATTCCAGCAGCATGAATAATTTTTCTTTAACATTTGGAGAATCGACGAGAAGTGACTAATCGAGTTCTCAAGTAGAGATCACGGCAAATATGGTGTAGGGCGCTACTCTACCCCACGGTCAAACGGACCTACAGATGCTAAAGAGGACGTTTATTACGATGGATAACGGAGTACTTATAGGTGGTTCCAATTTATTAGATCTCCAAACAAAGAATAGTTAAGCATCTTTAAACTAAAGACGCTAAACTCGAGACGCTGAACGTCTCGTAGTGCAGGGAAAGGTTGAAGGCACCAGACCACCAATGAATGAGATGGACAGACGGTCAAGGCCGCAACTAAGTGTTCGTAAATGTACCCGGAAAGCTGCATTCTGCGAGAAATGGCGCCTTATTGCAAAGATCATCACCCATCGTGATTCACAGTGCAGTAATTAAGCGTGTTTTTAGTTTTTTAAGCTAATTATTTTTTCTATTCCCAAATTTTAATACTTAAGTCGCAAAGTTTTCTATTCAAGTTACAGAAATCCCCTGGCCATCCTAAATACAATAAAGCAGAAGAACCTACCTATATTCAAGATACTACATTGGTATACTTCTGTTCCAGTGGTGGTGACGTCGGCCCCAGCCAACGAGGCCGAGCTTCAGCTGTACCGCGTGATGCAGCGCGCCAGTTTACTAGCCTACTACGACACGCTGCTCGAAATGGGTAAGTTTATTTCTTAAACTAAACTAACACCCACATTACAGTGAGGTCTCACATTGCACGTGGACGCATAGGCTCCCAAAAACGTATTCATAGACAATACTTTGAGTGGCGGAGTGACACAGAGCTCTACGTGCGTTCGACTTGGCATAGCGTTGCTGCTTCATTTAAGCAAGCATCGTTTGTGAATAAGGGTGTAAAACTGTTTAGCTAGGTAAAGTAAGGTCCAATAAGTTCGCACACGACCTTTACATGGGAATTTTCCATGGTGGGTCTACGAGCGATCCGTTAGATCAATTGATTATCTCATCAGTTAGCTACTTACGCATATTGTTTACGTGAATTTGAAGTATTATGCTTCGTAACCTACAGTATAAAAATCTTTGCCAGGAGATCTCCGTAACTCCACGCAACTTATCTTTTTTACGAATCTCATCCATAGCCCAAATTGCCTTTCATAGGTACAGAATCTGGCATAAGAACTGGAATCCCTAATCAAATCGTGATCACGCGAAACCATCTTGTAGGAACGCCAGAAAAAACGCTTTCTCATCGCTCGGGATGTCCAAAAAACACATTTCCATACGTACAGTCTACCACAATAAGAATCTTATAATCTTTTTCATATCTCAACGGTCACAAAGCCGAAGAAAGTAATCTTCCTCTTGTCGCTAACTGTACTAATAAAAAGCCCGCGCGAGCAAACGTCATGCAAATGTCTTTTTTTAATGTTTTACTTTTAATTCCTTCAATTACCGTCGTGGATGGAAGGGTTTGGCCGGGCCGCGCGTCTTTTGTTTTTTTTCTCTCGGCCCCTTCGCAAAATGGTCACGTTGGATATTAGCATATTCGCCTAAATTATAATCGAGTGTGTATCTGTATTTTTTCTAAGCATCACACGTTTTTGTGGTGAACAATGATAAACCTGCCTTGCAAGATAGTTTTGCATATTAATATGATGGGATTAGGTTTTTTCTAGCTTGAGAAAGTTAGGTTTGAAAGCAAAGAAAGAGACTAACGAGTTTTTATCATTTACTTATTAACGAGTATTTACATCGCATTTGAATTAGGTATCTTTGTAATGGAAGAAAATAATGAGGTATCATTGTGTGATGAATACGAAATAAGTATTTTGAGGAAAAGAGTCGTGCAATTAATCTTATTATTGCTGTCTCGTTAGTAGTTAAAATTGTCTAGTAACTGGGCGTTATAGTTAGTTATACTCCAAAAACTTTATCATTTTGAGTAATGGTTCCTATTAACGTCCGAGTATGATAGACAATAATTAGTTAATTGCTTTTTTTAGGTGGGGACGACGTCCAACAGCTGTGTGACGCCGGCGAGGAGGAGTTCTTGGAGATCATGGCTCTAGTGGGCATGGCCTCCAAGCCGCTCCACGTCAGGCGCCTCCAGAAAGCCCTTCAGGAGTGGGTCAACAACCCCGCTCTCTTTCAAATACCCATCGTTCCCAACCTCTGCCCCGCAGAAAACCCCTTCATCCAGTGCAACCAAAGATTACTCAACATTCCTCCTTCAATACCCAACGTTTTACCCAGAACTGTAGCGTCACCAGATAATAATAGGCCAATGTACAGTCCATCTCCTGGGGCTCCAGAGAACAGCTGCGGTTCGAACGCGTCAGGTCCCAACGCAAGTCCAGTCCACCAAACGAATACCTTCACCAAAATTGTCTTACCAACTTCTCCCGCGCCTGCTACTCCTATAACCACTACAGCATCCAGGTCCTTCTCCCCTCAAAGTGCGTGTCCACCAGCGTCTGCAGGCTCTAGTCCCAGCTCCGTCACATCCCCAGTGCAGCTAACGCCAGTTTTATTAGACGTTCATGTACAGAAGTTGGCGGGTGCGGCCGAAAAGTTGAGCAAACATTTGCCCCAACTGGAACCCAAGCCACAGAACACAAAAAAGAAGATGTGCAAAGACCTGGAGCTGGTGATGATGATGCCGGAGTCGGATCCAAGGCGAATGGAGGAGATCAGGAAGTACGCGGCGATATACGGCAGATTCGACTGCAAGAGGAAGCCAGAGAAACCTTTGACGCTTCACGAGGTACGATTACTTGTGTTCATTCATAAAATAAAGTTATTTTTAATGATGTAAGTCTGAATAAACCACGGATACTCTCGGCGCACTTAAGGGACTCTTATCTAGGTATAAATAAGACGTCAATATGTAGGTGACAATTTATTGCTTGACACAGGTTGTCAATGGTTCTCAAAGGTTGTCAAAGGTTCACAGATGTCAAAACACTCCAGGTATATAAAGCCAGGGAAAAAAATCTGGACACCGCGGTACAGCTTTACGCGTCTCAAAGTACAGTGACATCTCTCGGCAAATAATACAAACAAGTTTCATGGAAGGTTTATACAAGTCAATAATGATGATTTATTGTGCTTGGCGATGCGTGGTTGGGTTCTAACTTTTTGCGTAGAGTTCGAGTTAGGGTAGACCGGGGACAATAGTACCATTTTTTGGAAATTATTCAATATTGAGAAATCTAATGAAATGTAACTTATTCTGTTAGGATGCTGTAAAAACTAGACTCTTAAGCTACAAATTTAAGCATGCAGAGTTGAACTATTATTTCGAATACTTAATGAAAAACGAATTTGAACTGTACGATGTCTCATGTTACAATTGACCCCTACAACGGGTCAATTGTACCAATAATATATGAGGCAATAAAAGTAGTTATGTTTATCTTATCATCACCTTTATTGGTATTCTGTTCTCTTAATCTCCTACAATCATCAGTCTTTATTAATTGAGATCGAAAATATTTAGGAACAAGTATGAAAAATCAACACTTAAGTTTAAAAACAACACAATAACTTTTCTTCCATAAAAACGAATAAACTAACTGTTTCTACATAATATGCCATCTATTTGGCTCGGATATTGCTNGAACATGAATGTAAAAAAAAAAAACCTAATTATGCATTATAATATATTTTTCGTATAACATTAATGTGATTTAAAAAAATATTAAAAATACAGAGAGTACATTTTTGTTAACGTTTATTATTTATATTTTATAATTTATTTTATTCTATTTTTGTGTATAATTAAAGTAAACATGATAGTTTAAAGTTAAGTTATACATACTTATGGCACATTAAGTTGAAATAATTAACATTAAGTTGAAAATGTAAGATTAAAAATAAACCTAATATATCCATCCACATACATATTTTTTAAAATAACTTGTTACTATGTTTGTCATGCTTTAGGTCGTTAAGTAAAAAGTTGTGTCACAGTGTAGTTTGTCGATCGGAGGTTCTGTCGTGCAATCGTTTGTCGAGCCTAAGTAATGTCGCGCTAGGGTTTGTCGCGCCAAAGTACTGTCGTGCTTTCGTTTGTCGCCCCATCGTTCTGTCGCGCTAACGTTCGTCGAGCTAATGTGCAGTCGCGCCATAGATTGTCGGCATAACGTACTGTCGCCACTACGTTTGTAGCACCTTTGTTTGTCGCAACTATGATATACACTCCTGACCCGTGGTACTATTGTACCCGGTCTCCCCTAACTATTTATAGTCCTGATAGAAATACGTTTGAAATCATAATTAAAATTGATAATCTAAGAAAAAAGTGCAGGTACTTAGGTTTAGTCGAAGCATGATATCTTCCCATTTATCACTTGAATTCTAATGTTGTATTTTATTTGAAAAGTGTGCAAATTATGTTTAAGATAAATTTTTTTGTGATTCAACATGGGCCGATTTCCAATTTGATTTATTTTGAAAAATGACAATAATTCATTTCTATTGCTGTTATTTCCTATTATTTCTGTAAAGTTACATATTATACTTGGATTTAAACATTTATTTTCTGCAAATACTTGCTTTTATAAGGCGGTTTTACTCGGAAATAAAAATAATAATGGGCCAGTGCTTGAGAGAAGCAGCGCAAGAAACTCAGTCACTAGGACAAAAACCTGGAAAAGGGTAGAATAAACGCGTTTCGAATGTGGACGTTTTGACAAACATAAGTAGTGTTTGACGTCCACCCAAAAGGTGGACCGACGACATCATAAAGGTAGCGGGAAGGCGCTGGACGCAGGTTGCTCCCAACCGGGTAACATGGAAAGCATTGGGGGAGGCCTATGTTCAGCAGTGGACGTCCTATGGCTGAGATAATGATGATGATGAAAGGAGATCACGTTTCGGCAAAACAGGACATACCTACCTTCATTATTGAATCCCCCATTCTTCTAACCTTCACTGGTTGGGTTTCTCACGAACAACATGGCTACACGGGAGATGCAGCGGTGGGAATAGTCGCGTTAAAGCCTCGCTGAGTAAAACTCGTAAAACTAATTTATTTAGGCAAGTAGGCTTTTAAAAAGCACTTTTACACGTCCCAGTATTAACCCTACCACTGCTTCAGAAATGGGCCAGTGCTGAGAAGAAGCAGCGCATGAAACTCAGCCACTATTCAAATCAATCAAAATCAAAATTGTCTTTATTTGTTTAGACTAATTAAATTAGTACTTACAAATCGTCAAATGCTCTTAAGGGGCCTATACATGTCTCATTCTTTTTTTGTCCTGCCAGCGCTTCGAGACAAAATTTTGGCAAGAGTTCTGAGAAGAAGCGCCGCATCAAACTCAGTCACCACTGTTTGCCGGTTTAAAAATATAAATATAAATTGTCAAGTCCACATCAATCTAGTTGTCGAGAGTTTGTTCCGGCGTTTCTTCTTAGCACTTGCCATATGTTTGTCTCGAAGCGCTGGTAGGGCCCAAAAGATAAGGAGACATGTAAAGTACCTTTTTTTTATATTTGACTTTCATAAGTGCCAGTTTTGGTCTAAACTGAATAAATATTTTTGATTTTGATTTCCTTTCAGGTGATGGTGAACGAGGCGGCGGCGCAAATCTGCCGCTGCGTGCCGGCGCTGCTGACGCGGCGCGACGAGCTGTTCCCGCTGGCCCGGCAACTCGTGCGCAGGGCTGGCCTGCACTACTCGAAACACGGGTCAGTATCAAGGGCGTAGCCTTCGCCATATCTGACGTATTAATTAATGTTTTTTTTGAAGATTATTGTATTGCACAGATTACTATAGTCACGTTAGCCCGTCGTACTAAGCTAAATATACCTGCGTTCCTCGGATCTCGAGTCGGCCAGTCCGACCCCTTCACCGTTCTGCTATCATGGCTATGAGTTCCGTAGTTTTGGAGCCTAGGTAGGTATTCATAAAGCCATTGTATTCATTAGGCAACATTTGTTGATAAACTGTTTATGACTTGTGTGAAACAAGTTTACCATGTTTATGGTAACCTGTGTTTACAGGTCTCTGAAACTTGGCCGTCCACACTTGCTCTCCACTCATAGCGGGGAGCACGGCGTCATGTATCATAAACAATGTTTCATCACCTATGTTTATGTACTGTTTATAAACTGTTTACAGAGATGATGAAACATTATGAAACATTGTTTATGAACAGTTTATAAACAGTGTTTATCAATAAATGTTGCCTAGTGAATACATGGCTGTACACATAAACGAACAATCAAATTTAGTATCAGGGGCGTAGCCTTCGCCGTATCGGCCGTATCAATAGGGCCGGAATACAGGGGCTCCTGTGCTATAGTTTTTGTAATTAGACTGAGTAGGCATCTACCTAGAGAAGTTCTATAAAATTTTGCCATTACTTTTTTTGGATGAAAAGGGCACCTTGATATAATAACTTTTTCAGATAGGGCCCCTAACAAATGATACAGGAAGGACTAATCTAAGGTACGCTTCGCCACTGGTCAGTAAATAAATATAAACTAGCTGACCCGGCGAACTTTGTACCGCCTATGTTCAACAGATAATGTAGGATTAATAAGGATGAAAGAATTTTCAAAATCGGTCCAGTAGTTTCAAACTTATTAAACTAGTAATACTTATTATTGTAGAATAAATAGCCTCATACATAAATGTTTGAATTTATTGTTATTGTCTACAATTGATTTTGCATCACATAACTAAGAGCGTTTTCTTTATAACCATACTATTAACATGAATTTACGCGTTAATAACAGTTTTTTGTTGAAGTCATTAAAAGGCAAAATTATTTTATACGCACTTGGTAATTAAACCCAAAACTTCCAAGTCAGTAATTCTCTAACCATGCGTTAATATTTTTAACACAGTAATAATATTTATTTGTAACCTTTCAACAGGTAACGATAGATCTAATACGAGTATACTTCCATTAATTAAAAACCTTTCTCCATTCAAAACACGTCACGAAACTCCCCCAAAAATAAATGTCCATTTAATCTAGTAATGAAACCTTCCCCTATAGTAAACGCTCCTTTAATCGAAGGAGGTAAGCAATAGCGTTATGAACGCGCCCTCATCCCTCCGCGACCCTCCCTGCAGAATCTAAAATGGAGGCCAGTTCATAACCTCTACAATCTAGACTACGTTTCGCGTCGAGTGAAAATTTATTCCAGAAAATTTTCGCAAACGATGTGCGTAGATTTTCGCGACAAAATCATCGTTGAAACGTTTCGCGTGTTACAAAACGTTTTTCGAAGTAGATAGAGTGTGGTATAAAGCTATATTTGAACGAATTTGTGAATTATAACCATGGCGAGGGCCCAGTTCAAGCAAACCTACATCCATGGCATCAAAACGGAGCCTTTATGCCCGCAGATTCGCAAGTAAGTGTTAGCCTAATGGAAAAGAAGTACCTATTTTTATAGACTTCAGTGTTTTTTGTAGATTCTCCCAACTCACAAACAAAAGGTTTGTTTGTTTCCAAACCTACTGAAATTTTATTTTGCGTGGTTTAGGTCCTTTTTCATGTTAAAATCCAATATCATTTTAATCCTTTTAAATGAATATTAATATCTCTCTAGAACAATATCTCTGGAATATTTAAATGTTATTGCCACAATTGCTCATATCAGTAAGTAGGATGTTTTCACTATTTCGTTTCATCCAAGAAGTTCAAAAATTAGAGGGATTGAGTGTTTCGCTCAGCAATAGGCAAAATATTGTGTGAACCATTTTGCTAGAGGTGGCGTACCGGTAATTTATTATTCAGCTTTCAGCTAAAAATGTTCAAGTTTTATTCATATAGTAGTGAAAGCTACTATTTAGGAAAAAAAATCTAAACTGAAATGTTATCGCCCAGATTATTTCACAGCAAAAATAATAATATGGACCCTTCCTTTTATTTCTCGTAGTATTAAAGAGACCAAGTTTGTAATTTTGCGTGTTTCTTTTGAAAAGTAATCTCTGAAATTAAAGAATCGATTTTGAAAATTATTTAATCTGTAGAAAACTCCATTATGTGACATAAGGCTGTAAAAGAGTTTCCAATAATCCCTTGTCGTCTTAGCATAAAGATATTAGAAATCCTGCATAATTTTTGTAACAAATGGGGATGTTTCCTGGGTCAAAAAGCAAGAGTTTTAATTAGTCCGTCAGTTAACTTATCAAAAAATACTCTACACGTATTTTTCACTTTTTCAAACTAATGAAAATTTAAAGAGATAAAGCGCCCCAAAGTTCATAAGAAGAGGCCCGTGACGTCAACGCTTGCTTAAAAATGCCGCACGTTGTGACGTCGTGCGCAACTTCAACGCACCATAACTATGTAATTATTTGTTAGATTGACAAATAAAAATATACGTGTCCAATATTTTTTGATATTAAACATTACGGACTAAAAAAATTTTTTTAGGCAACTAGCCTATTATAATGTTTGTTTTCCAGGCTTCCCCCAACCGCGTCGACGGGCGAGGAACGTGAGCGAGACGAGGACGAGACGCCTGCGAAGCGCGCGCGCCAGGTCTCCACACACATAGACCTCACTGACTAGCTAGCTGCCTGTGGGACCTTGGACCTGGCTAGAAATTAGGCTAGCTAGGACCTAACAGATAATGACTAGAACTAGCTGCTTGATGGGTTCTTGAACCTAGCTCAAACTAGGACCTTGCTAGGATTCGGTAGATGGGACAGGACTTAGTAGATGAGTCTCAACTGGGACGACTAGTACTAGCTGCTTGATGGGACCTTGAACTTTAGCAAATGGGACTCCACACACATAGACTTCACTGACTAGAGCTAGCTGCCTGTGGGGTCTTGGGCATGGCTAGAAATTAGGCTAGCTAGGACCTAACAGATAATTACTAGAACTAGCTGCTTGATGGGATCTTGAACCTAGCTCAAACTAGGACCTTGCTAGGACTTGGTAGATGGGACAGGACTTAGTACATGGTTCTCAACTGGGACGACTAGAACTAGCTGCTTGATGGGACCTTGGACTTTAGTAGATGGGACTCCACACACATAGACCTCACTGACTAGTTAGCTGCCTGTGGGGCCTTGGACCTGGCTAGAAATTAGGCTAGCTAGGACCTAACAGATAATTACTAGAACTAGCTGCTTGATGGGATCTTGAACCTAGCTCAAACTAGGACTTTGCTAGGACTAGGTTTCAACTGGGATGGCTAGAACTAGCTGCTTGATGTAGCTGCTAGTTGCTTAGTAGATGGGACTCCACACTCACAGACTTCACTGGCTAGACCTAGCTAGAACCAAGGGCTTTGTAGATGAGACAGTAGTAGATGGAACTCACACCTAACTGACTAAAAGTGCTGCCTGACGGGACCTAGCTAGGACTTCGTAGATGGGACAGTACTTAGTAGATGGGACTCAACTGGGATGGCTAAAACTAGCTGCTTGATGGGACCTTGGACTTTAGTAGATGGGACTCCACACACATAGACCTCACTGACTAGTTAGCTGCCTGTGGGGTCTTGGGCCTGGCTAGAAATTAGGCTAGCTAGGACCTAACAGATAATGACTAGAACTAGCTGCTTGATAGGATCTTGAATCTAGCTCAAACTAGGACCTTGCTAGGACTCGGTAGATGGGACAGGACTTAGTAGATGGGTCTCAACTGGGACGACTAGTACTAGCTGCTTGATGGGACCTTGAACTTTAGCAAATGGGACTCCACACACATAGACTTCACTGACTAGTGCTAGCTGCCTGTGGGGCCTTGGACCTGGCTAGAAATTAGGCTAGCTAGGACCTAACAGATAATTACTAGAACTAGCTGCTTGATGGGATCTTGAACCTAGCTCAAACTAAGACCTTGCTAGGATTCGGTAGATGGGACAGGACTTAGTAGATGGGTCTCAACTGGGACGACTAGAACTAGTTGCTTGATGGGACCTTGGACTTTAGTAGATGGGACTCCACACACATAGACTTCAATGACTAAAGTTGCCTGTGGGGCCTTGGACCTGGCTAGGAATTAGGCTAGCTAGGACCTAACAGATAATGACTAGAACTAGCTGCTTGATGGGATCTTGAACCTAGCTCAAACTAGGACTTTGCTAGGACTAGGTCTCAACTGGGCTGCTTGATGTAGCTGCTAGCTGCTTAGTAGATGGGACTCCACACTCACAGACTTCACTGGCTAGACCTAGCTAGAACCAAGGGCTTTGTAGATGAGACAGTAGTAGATGGAACTCACACCTAACTGACTAAAAGTGCTGCCTGACGGGACCTAGCTAGGACTTCGTAGATGGGACAGTACTTAGTAGATGGGACTCAACTGGGATGGCTAAAACTAGCTGCTTGATGGGACCTTGGACTTTAGTAGATGGGACTCCACACACATAGACCTCACTGACTAGCTAGCTGCCTGTGGGACCTTGGGCATGGCTAGAAATTAGGCTAGCTAGGACCTAACAGATAATTACTAGAACTAGCTGCTTGATGGGATCTTGAACCTAGCTCAAACTAGGACTTTGCTAGGACTCGGTAGATGGGACAGGACTTAGTACATGGTTCTCAACTGGGACGACTAGATCTATCTGCTTGATAGGACCTTGGACTTTAGTAGATGGGACTCCACACACATAGACCTCACTGACTAGTTAGCTGCCTGTGGGGCCTTGGACCTGGCTAGAAATTAGGCTAGCTAGGACCTAACAGATAATTACTAGAACTAGCTGCTTGATGGGTTCTTGAACCTAGCTCAAACTAGGACTTTGCTAGGACTAGGTCTCAACTGGGATGGCTAGAACTAGCTACTTGATGTAGCTGCTAGCTGCTTAGTAGATGGGACTCCACACTCACAGACTTCACTGGCTAGACCTAGCTAGAACCAAGGGCTTTGTAGATGAGACAGTAGTAGATGGAACTCACACCTAACTGACTAAAAGTGCTGCCTGACGGGACCTAGCTAGGACTTCGTAGATGGGACAGTACTTAGTAGATGGGACTCAACTGGGATGGCTAAAACTAGCTGCTTGATGGGACCTTGGACTTTAGTAGATGGGACTCCACACACATAGACCTCACTGACTAGCTAGCTGCCTGTGGGACCTTGGGCATGGCTAGAAATTAGGCTAGCTAGGACCTAACAGATAATTACTAGAACTAGCTGCTTGATGGGATCTTGAACCTAGCTCAAACTAGGACCTTGCTAGGATTCGGTAGATGGGACAGGACTTAGTAGATAGGTCTCAACTGGGATGACTAGAACTAGCTGCTTGATGGGACCTTGAACTTTAGTAGATGGGACTCCACACAAATAGAACTCACTGACTAGAGCTAGCTGCCTGTGGGACCTTGGGCCTAGCTAGAACTTAGGCTAGCCAGGACTTTGACTTTGCAGCAACCTGATGGGACATGGCTAAGACTTAGGACCTTGCTAGGACTCGGTAGATGGGACAGGTCTTAGTAGTTGGGAGTTCACTGGGACCTAGAAATCTGGCTAGGATTTTGTTGGAAACTTAGGTCCTAGCTTGAACTGGTCGGGACCTAGGGATCGGGGTTCAATAGGTTCTGGTTGGGATTTAAATAAGTCTTTACTGGGGTGATTTCCTATCATGTGTTTTGTAATCTTCTCGATGCATCGTGATGTTATGATAAATCATTTTTTTATAAACTCCCTTGCTTTTAAAGTCGATGTAAATGTAGACTAATGTAAAATACTGTCTTATTGGACTGCATTTTTTATTGGAATATTCATTTAGCCTGATTGATTAAATCGGTGGTGTTAACTCATATTTTGGCCTCTTGATTTGTAATGAAGAAAAAGTAGTTTAGAACTTTACTGACGACCACCTGTCAAATTGTGATATTAATTCTTGAGAGATTTTAATATTTTAGCAGTTAATTCAAATACTCAATCGGTCGATTACTAAAAACATGATAAACATTAACAAATGGGCATAGGATTTTACTAACACGATAATTTTAGTTTAAATAATAATGTTATTGGAATGGAAATTCTAACTAGATACAAAAAACCTCATGTAAATAAAAATGGACCTAAAACTGACCCTTGGAGAACCCCAGGGAGATTTAGTTTATTGTAAATGATGTATTATACAAAATTATATTAAAATGCATAATTCTAAGGGATATTAACAAGCTAAATGCATGGTCTCATATTATTTTCCTTCTTTTCGGTTGCACCATAGAGGTAAGCATGATCTACTTTATCTAAAGCCTTTTTTAAAACTTTTTATGTTTAATTTAATTGTAGGTAGATAAATTATTTGCTTTGAACTAACAGGAATGAAAACGAGTATTTATTGGTGAGTAGCTATGCTAATTCTTATTATATTTTTGCATGTGTAGCTACTGTAAATAGATAAATTTATGTTTCTGTATATAATGGTTATAAAAACCCAACATCAATTTTTTTTATAAACTATCTTTTCATATTCTTATAATGATATATTATTTTTTTGACTTTATTGGACCAACTATCAGAATTTACCAATTTTCCGAAATTGGTTGCAAATAAATAGCTATCTTACCAAAGATATGCTTAGTTTTGAACGTTTTATACGACCTTATTAAAATAATGTATGTTCCTATTTTATTAATTTAATCCTATAAGACAACAAGGTTTCTAGAACAATTAGTTAATGTTGATCTAACAGCTGAAAGTCCTATTATTAGCTATTGATTGTGGAATCAACTAAAGAAAGTATACAATCGATCGAATCGAGTGCGAGTATAGAATCAAGCAGTCCAAAAGGAAGTTAACTAATGAAATAGGACCATCAGAGGTGGAATTGTGTAAAGCAATCGTAATCATTTGACAGTTCAGAACGTACGATAAAGTCAGTTAAAAAAGCGTTTGACAGAATAATCGTACGTTATAAACTGTCAAATGATTACGATTGCTTTACACAATTCCACCTCAGAAACTCCATGTATTTTACTGTATGATGATTGATGATGATACTAACAGTGATACGACTAGTATTAACAGTGATGATGTGTGTTAGGAAGGCGACGAAGCGGCGGGTGCTCGCGTCAGCCCCGACGCCGCGCGAAGCAACTCTAACCATAGGTATACTATCCTTATCCTCACTAATATGTTATTTGTAAAAATTGTACATGATAGTAGTGTTATTGAGACTTGAAATTTAAAATGTGTGATTATGAATCATCTTTTATTTTTTTTAAACTTTGAATCTGTTTCTTGAGATTAACTCTATAATATTGTTGGTTTTAACAACTAAATTATTCAAAATATTATTATGTCATATTGTATCTAAATAAGTAAGATTTGCTCCTAGATCACCTAATCTTCATTGATTGGGATCGATTGCTGTAGCAAGAACTTCAAAACTGTTAAATTATTTTACATCAAAAACATATAAGCACTTTTGCAATATGTCCAATAATTTCAAATCTGTTAAACAATCTTATTTGATTTTTAAACTTATTGCATGTGTCTAAGATTCTAATTAGAATGTTTGAAGTTGCAGCTGGTGGGGCGTGAAAGCCGAGAGCGATGATGCAGACTCCAGGTGTTCGTACTCCAGCACCAGCACTCCTCCTCTTGTGAGTATCTACCTACAATTTGTCTCTATTGTTCTATCTACCTATACTCATCCGAGGTACCGGGACTATTTCCACCGCTGCACCTCCTGAGTAATCAGGATCTACAGCTTGATCACCAATAAAAACCCAACCAGTGAAGGTCAAGTTTGTCCCGGAGGAAAGTCAAACTGTCACTGGACCCGCAACGAAATTAAGCAGAAGATCTATGAGGGCCTTCAATGATTGGTTTAGAGAGATGAGAGAAGTCTTGACAGCTTGGGGGCAGGCCTACTGATTGGCCTAAACTGCTACCTCCATAATACTAAAATACACGTGGATTGCGGTACAAGAAATAAAATTTTTAAGGACTATTTTTCATTATGAACCAGAGGCTTTTTACCAAAGCCGCAAGATAAATATTAAGTGTGCTGATCAAGGTTTAGAAATCTTCTTAACTTGAAGTTCGGCACCACCTAGCTTTGATAGCAGCGATACAAGCGTGTATTTGGATTCTAGAAGCCCTTCTTTTCATTATTTTGGTGCTTAAAGGACTTCATAAAGGTCTGTTTGCAGAAAATAAGACTTTCAACTTTAATTTTCAGGACACCGAAGAGTCTCGGCCGCAGGTGGTGGCGGCGCGTGGAGACAGCATCATTGCCGTCGCCAACCCCGCGCTGCAGCCGCCGCACCCCGCGCGCAACCACTCCAACTGACTACCGCCCCCGCCCCGCCGCCCGTCCCCCTCGCCTTCCCCATCCCCCTCTCTTACTTTAGTGGACCAGGATATGCCGCTGCAACTTACTACCATTCAAAATCGAATAGACCATCCTTTAGTGCTCCGGGATATGCCGCTCGAACTCACTACCGCTAAAAAACAAAATGACCATCTTTTAGTGTTCCCGAATATGCCGCTAGAACTCACCACCACTGATCGAAGGACTCAACCTGTAGCGGACCGAGATTCAAGTTCTTGCCCCGCGGACGAAGATATGCCGCTTCAACTCACTACCACTAATCGAAGTACTAAAGCTCTTACTGAAAACGCTGATAAGGATAACTGACAGACGCTGCAAGATTCCGAACCCCGCGTGAAATCACTCCAACTGACTGTTGCCCCCGCCCCGCTGCCCCTCCCTTCCCTGTCCCCTTCTCCCTCCCTCTCCCTATCCCGCTCCCTTTCTTTATTTCACCAGGATATGCCACTTTAACTCACCACGACTGATCGAATTACTAAAGCTCTAACTGAAAACGCTGATAACTGACAGACGCTGCAAGATCCCGCCGCACCCTGCGTGATGCCACTCCAACTGACAATCCCCTTCCTCTCCCCTTCTCCCTCACTTTCTTTATTGCACCAGGTATGCAGCTTCAACTCACCACCAGTAACCGAAGTACCTACTCAAACTCTAAGTGGAAACGCTGATAACTGACAGACGCTGTAAGAATCTACACCCCGCGTTTATCCACTCCAACTGACTGTTGTCCCCACCCCGTCGCCCCTTCCCCTCCCTTCCCTCTCTTTTACCCCTGACCATTAGGACATGACAGACATCCAACTCACCACCATTGATCTAACAGCCCAACCCATAACTGACCAAGATACACCAAAAACTGTTTCATAGAAAAACCCACTACCCATTTGAAATTGATGACCTCGTCGAGTGCCGAAAAATACGAATGTTTACATTTTGTGTGCATATAAATCCTAATCAATCCACTTCCCTGGCAGTTTTTATGTTCAAATATTTTTAACGCATCATAATAATATTAATCTAAATTTTCTACAATAACCATTATAATGTTAAAATGGTGAAATTATCATTATTCTCCTAATTATAGTTTAAGTAAGGGACAAATTGCAAAGAATAATGTTTTACACAAAGTGTACAAAAACTATGCATTCCACCAAAAAGGACAAAATTATTTTTAAGTGTGTAAATATATTTTATATTCTGTAAATGTTTTATACTTACTTTTAACATTTTAATCTAGGTAGGGGTACAGTCAGAGAGAGATATATTTTATTAATTAGAAAATGATGTAAAAGGGACGTGGCATAACTACAGAATGCAGTTTAGCCTGTATCCAAGAAAACTTGTGGAATAGACCAGCCATGTCGTCACTTTACGCCAACTGTTGTATATTTTTTTTACTGATGGGCCTGGTTGGGTTTTCAGGGCTAGACTTTGTGTCTTTTTAGAGTCTTTTGGCTAATGGCGTCAACTACAGAATTCTCCACTAAAATTGAAGAAGAATTTCTTTTTGACTGTACCACATTTTAAAAGCCATATCATGCCTTGTAGTCATTATTATTTTGACAACTTTAGACCGCTTTTATTATTTTATTTAAAAGGTTTTTAAATGTAGACTAATAAGTGAAAGGTTGTGTTTCTTATACAGGGTGTTAGGTAAATGGGTATATGAGCCGACACTAGGCCATGTTAACATGGTCATATAAATGGTATGGTGAAGTCAGAAAATTGATATCTTCATTTTAATTATTTTATTTTTCATACAAATCGGATTTTATAAAATTTATTTTGTATGAAAATTGAAAAAATTAAAATTATGATATCAAATTTCTGACTTCACCATACCATTTATATGCCCATGTTAACATGGGCTAGTGTCGGCTCATATACCCATTTACCTAACACCCTGTACAATGTTTTTGGTTGTTTTAGGATTGTCAATATAAAAGAGTATTAACATCTTTCTTTACGTTTCCTGAAGGTAATCATTCTAAAATATACATCGATTCGATCTGCATGTGTGACTTTAGCGAATCGAAATATCTCATTATCTACGTTGTACCTAAACTCTACCATCTTAGTGAATTCCTTCATAGGTGCACAGTAACATTATAGCTGGTATGGTATTCAAAGTTCACAGACAGGGAAACGGAAGTTACAGAAATTATGTATTTATCAAAAACATAATGTGTAAAGCGGTCTAACTTGTGGGTAGATTATCACTTTTTTATTCTGAGTGCATATCTACAACGTGTATTTGGAATAACGCAAAATACTTCTAGAAAATATGATACCAACATATCATTTGATACTGTAAGTCCATTGCTGTAGTTGCTGACACTTTAAAAAACTTTTTTGAGCGTCAGCAAGAATAAAGTTTTGATATTTTTTTAATATTAAAACAACGCATTCAGTATTTTTTCTATTCTAAATATTAATATCTCGACGACTATCTTTATACAAGCCCCGTGCTGTATGTTGGCTGACGCTTGAAAAGCACTTCTACAAACAACCCGGTAGATTAACTGCGCACCTGGCAGCCATGACGTCACATCGACGCTCTGGTACGGACGGGAGGAACGTGGGGAGGCAGTGGCGGCGTAAGGCCTCAGCCTCGAACTTAGCGGGCAGCGGGGCGGCGGCGGCGGCGGCGCGGGAGCGGGGCGGGCAACGCAGACCAGTGTTGTCGAGATATTTGTTTTTATTCGCGAACGAAATGTCTGAACAACAGCGACAATTNATAAATTATTGATAGCTAAACAATGTAGATAAAAAAAAAAAATTTCCAAACAAATTCAGCCATAATCAGACACAAAATTAAGCAACAACACGGTTTTAAGTGACAAACATTATTCTTTGGCGCAAAATTCCTTTAAAAATAATCACTGAATCAAGAAATCAGAAACTGTCAATGAATAGACCATTGACCCGTTTTTTTATTATTTCATAAAATCCGTCTTCAGGTCGCCACAGAACAAGGCCTCGCGAAATCTGTCTTGCCCACATCAAATTTAGGTCTTGCCCCGCCACTGTGGGAGGAGGCGTGTGAGTGCGAGGGAGAGTCGCATTCCAGCAAGGTGCGCAGTTAGCTCGATCGGCTTGTAGTATCTAAATTATTGTTGAAATTGATACTTGTAATATTGTTGAACTGTTTTTTATGTCCATAGTCTTTATAGTCTGGTCGCCGAGCACGTAGAATTTTGTCCAATGACCCCAAGCTACCCATCTTTATCGCTCGCACATAATTATATTGCTGTTGCGACTGTGCGACGGGGGCCTGCTGTGAGTGTGCGAGCGCAACAGCAACATAATTACGCGCGAGCGATAAGGATGGGTAGCTTGGGGTCATTGGACAAAATTCTACGTGCTCAGAGTCCAACTCAAAAAGAATGAGCACGCTAGTTGGTTGCAATGTCAATTATTAACAAACTGATTTTCAGTTTTTGCTGTTCGCAATTAAACGTTGTATAAATAAATAAGCACAGAATAATATTTTATAATACTTATACTATACACTTACCGTACTGAAACAGTTTTCATACAGGTCTTCGTAGTGATTGGTGTCTATTTATTTATCTTAGCTTAGACTTATCTATCACATTGTAAACTACTTATCTAATGAAGGCTAAGAACCCATGGCGCGATTTTCACCCGCGCCCGCGGCGGTTGCGGACCCGCAGCTTCTGTAGAATGCAGATGACTTACTTGACTTATGGTCCTATGTCCCCTAGATGGGGCAGAGGGCGTCCACAACAGTCCTCCATCTCATAATGCAGATACATAAGTAAAAACTAATGCACAACTCACGACGCGGTTTTCACCCGCAGCGGGCGCGGTTGTAATCGGGTCCCGCCGGGCGGTTATCGCCCGCGCGAAAACCGCCCGATCGGCGGGCGACCATGAGTTCTAAGAATAACCGCGCAAATAATCGCTCCCGTGAGTTTTGAAATAAAACCGCAATTCCTCAACCGCCGCGGGCGCGGTGAAAATCGCGCCATGAGTTCTTAGCCTAAGCGGTTTTGAAGCCTTAGTCAACATTTTTCCTTATCATTGAAGTAAAAAACAGAGTCTCAACACTGTTTTCAGTAAAGAATCTTTTGTCTCTTATTGCAAAATATTCATTCCGCTGTGGTGAAAAGAGACAAAAATACTTTTCGTAAGAATTATGTAAATTGGACTGTTTTAGATTTCATAAATGCTTAATCTTTAAGTTATGTAATTTAGATATTATTATGTAAATTGTAAATAGTTATTTTTTATTTTAAAAATTAAAACTAATTGTTTTAATTATTGATTTGTGTTATTTTCAACACCGCTGCCAGCCATCTGTATGTATTTGGTTATGTATAATTTACATAAAATGTTTATACTTATGCTAATTGTTAGTTTCATTTACTTTAATAATCCAATAGTACTGTCTTATGCTTTTTACAAAAATCACCATTTTAACTCTTTGTTCGGTTTCTCAAGAATCCTTAATCAGAAACTCAATTATAACAAAAATAGCTAGCAGCTAATTTTCTTATTTGTATTTATTACCGTTTGTCGCGCTCGCACAGTCCCGACGCACTTTGGGTCATTGTACGAATTCTATCTGCTCGACGACCGGACTTTAGGCTTTTTTAAGCGACTTCGTCCGCGGGAATTCCATTCTGGCAGAGGAAAGATCTCATTTACTCCATCGATTGCATCTCACTTGAGTATGGATAAGTTTTGTATTAATATTCCATTTTCTTCCATAAACTTTGTATTTTTAACGAATTTCAATATCTAATTACTACATGTGATATATCCTTGGAAAGAAGAGAAGCTAGAAATATTTTTAAGATCAATGGCAATCAATTATCACCTTTGGTTTTTTTAAAAATCGAATTCTAAGTTGAATTTTTTATCTTGGTTTGTACCTACTTTTGTTAAACTTTGGCGGCTCGTAACTAGCTATCCAATCATTATCTGGATCTGAATTTGATTAAAGACATATTCGATATTTATATCAAATAATAAAAGCGGTTGAACACACGCGAGAAAAAAAATGAAGCAGTTTTTAGGTCAAATTTGGGAAAAAAATAAATGATAACAAAAATTTCAATTAAAGTAATGTAGTCCACATAGGCTAAGTTGCACCACCTTATTTTAACCGTAACAATGACAATAACCGGTGCTTTTTGTATGGAGTTTGACATATTTTTGACGTTTGTCAAAGTTAAAGTAAGATCAGTAAGATGGTGCAACTCAGCCTTAGAGTCAAATGGGCGAACTTTTAATTCTTAAAATCAGTAGCGGCGTAAGGGGGGTGGGGGGGCGGTGGGGGCGGTCCGCCCCGGGTGCCAAGCATCAGAGGGTGACACAAGTCGCGCAGATTAGTACTCCCTGGCACATCTGCATGGCAAATCTGCGGTCTATGTCATGATACGGGGGGGTGGGGGGTGCGGTTGTCTTTGAATCGGTAGGTAACCCCCGGGTGCCAACCCATGCTACGCCGCCACTGCTTAAAATGACCTTACTAAGTTTGTCTAACCTTCTGCCAAACACCCTGAATAACTCAAAGGTGACTGACTGACATAGTGATCTATCAACGCACAGCCCAACCCACTGGACGGATCGGGCTGAAATTTGGCATGCAGGTAGATGTTATGACGTAGGCATCCGCAAAGAAAGGATTTTACGAAACTGCACCCCTTAGGGGGCAAAACGGGATCTACGCGTACGAAGTCGCGGGCGGCCGCTAGTAAATAATATATTTCTACTTACGTTATACCATAGAATCTGATTTTTATGTATAATATAGCTTTCCGCCCGCGGCTTCGCCCGCGTGGATTTTTGTCTGTCACAGAAAAACTTTATCGCGCGCGTCCCTGTTTCAAAAACCGGGATAAAAACTATCCTATGTTCTTTCCCGGGACTCAAACTATCTCTATGCCAAATTTCATCAAAATCGGTTGCGAGGTTTAAGCGGGAAAGCGTAACAGACAGACAGACAGACAGACAGACAGACAGACAGACAGACAGACAGACAGACAGAGTTACTTTCGCATTTATAATATTAGTTGGGACTAGTTGGGATTAGACAATAACTAGAAGTAGTTTCCCCAACAGCCAGACATTTTTGACAGTTCCAACTCCTTGCCAGACAGTTTTTTTAGGGTAGCTGCCAAAGCCACGATGATCCAAACTTCATAATTCACCAACATTATATCCTAATATTGGGAGCATACGCTGACAGACTTTCAGCTTTTATAAAATGACGTAGGTCTGGCGTTCACTAGCTCTTAGTCTATTAGTATGTATCATCAATATAAAAAATAACTTGTTTCCTTATTAATTCAACCAAGTTGAAGTTTTTGTTCCAATCAAATCTAAATTACCTACGTGTAGAGCCAGTTTCCTCAATGTTATTATTAGTTATGTTTTGATTATGAACTTAGCAATACCTACATTATTTACTTATTACTCGTAGTATTAAAATGACAGAAGTAACCGATATAAATAACTTGAAAAAATCTAACTCCTAACTTAGTTTGAAAAGCTACTCTAATCGCTAAAAAATTTTAACAGCTATATCTACATAGAAGTATCTAACAGTTTTTCCCTGGAAGATATTTTTGGGGATTCCGTGGAGCTGTTTTAATGGTTTCAATATTAATATTTAATGGACTTAAGTGTACAAATCTGGTGTTATTTTGTGTTCTAAAGTGCAGTGCAATTTCGTGATGACTGAGTCAGTCAGTGACCTTTGACTCTTTAGGGTTCCGTAGCCAAATGGCAAAAAACGAAACCCTTATACATAGATTCGTCATGTCTGTCCGTCCGTATGTCACAGCCACTTTTTTCCGAAATTACGAGTATAAGAGCTATAATATAATATTGTTGAAATTTGGTATGTAGATGTGAACCACATTAAGATTTTTACATAAAAATAGAAACAAAGCAATAAATTTTGCAAAAGCATAAAAATAGAAACAAAGCAATAGCACGAGATGGGCAGCAGCGTCTAGGTGCGAAACCTTATAAAAAACTGCGCTCGCCAACCCGCCTGCCAAGCGTGGCGAGTACTGGCAACTCCCCCCCCTGATGAACGGCAGAGCTAAAACCAGGCCCCCAGTCTCCGGCAGCCCCGTTGTTCCTGACTACGGTAGCGGTTGGGGTGACGACGGGGCGGGGGGTGCTAAGAATCCCCGGAGGAGGAATAGCTACCACCACAAACGACAACTGGCCCTCGTAACACACAACATCCGCACCCTGAGGTCCGACGAAAAGATTATAGAGCTGGAAGATGAATTAAGTAGGTTGCGATGGAGCATTATAGGGCTATCGGAAGTCCGACGAGAGGGCGAGGACACGATAACCCTGAAATCCGGCAACCTGCTTTACTACCGGGAGGGCGAACAACTGTCCCAAGGTGGTGTCGGGTTTCTCGTCCACAAGTCCCTCATTAACAACATCATTACCATCGGAAGTGTGTCGAGCAGGGTTGCATACCTGATACTCAGAGTATCCAAAAGGTACTCGCTGAAGGTAATCCAGGTATACGCACCGACCTCTACACACCCAGATGAAGAAGTGGAAGCTATGTATGAGGACATAAGTAGGGCCATACATGCAACTAAAACCCACTTCAATGTCNTTTTGGGGGTCCCCATACTTTTCGAACTGAAACTCAAATTTTTTTTCATCAAACCGTTGGGGTAATATGGATGGATACGTCTTCAAAAATGATATTGAGGTTTCTAATTTTTTTTTTCTAAACTGAATAGTTTGCGCGAGAGACACTTCCAAAGTGGTAAAATGAGTGTAAGGCCCAGAACACAAGGTGAAACTCAATTGCAACGAAACTGCAACTTCTTGTTACTTTTGAGTTGCATCTAAGTTTGTGCCATAGATTCCGGTTGTAACTCTATCTTCTAAAATAAGAGAATGATGAAATTAAAAAAAATATTATATAAATGTCGACTGTACATTACCATGAAAACTACTAACAAAAATTGATTTGAACGTAGTAAGTAGATTTTTCAATATAAATTTAAAAAAAAATTAATGTACTGCTCCTTTTCTCATGAACGCGTAGAGGTATTAAATTGAAATTCACGTCAAATATTCAAGTCTATAGTAGGTACCTACCTTTAAGGTTTGTACGGAACACTCAGTGCGCGAGTCCAACTTGCACTTGGCCGGTTTTTTTTAATATAGATATAATAATATTAGTGGTCAATACAAAACTGTATTATTATAATAAGCCTGTGAGTTCAGTGGTCGACCTCGTCCAAGGATTCTTTTTTAAAAAACTAAATTCATTTTTGTGTCTGATTTTGTGAACCGTAGACGCGGTCCAACATGGCCGTGTTTTTTGTGTTGCTTGTGGTGTATTTGCAAAGTTCTATAGCCGGTAAGTCAAACATCTCAATACAAGGATCTCAATTTTGTAAGATATTTGTAATGCCACCTGGTGAGAAAGTACTCTTAAAACTGTAGATAGAAAATTTTACTATAAGAAAACATTCCTTTATTTTTGAAAAGAAAGAGAACTGCATTCACAGATTTCCAAATTTTTTTCGAAAATTCACTACCATACCGTACAATGACTCGTAAATAATTAAAATAATTCAAGATTTCATGATTTTCCTTTCATTTAATTTATCAAGTTTGTATTATCAAAATAAATAAGTAATTTTTCTCTTAGTTAAAAAACTAAAGAGGCAAGTAACCACGCTTTGAATATGAACCGAAAATTGTTTACTAAAATATAAAAAATAAAGGCTGTGGTCAGAAATAACGGAGATTTCCATTTCTTCATACTATCAATACTTTACTAATAATGTCCCAATCCAAATGACATTTCCTAATAAACATCATTTTAACCCACTGTTGAACGAGTGTTTAATTTTTATTAGTAAGGGGGTTAATACTCGTAGGTAACCTTAGGTGGAATTATTTTAGAGCCAGAAAAATGCGAAATCAGAGGTGTGGAGGGGGAGTGCGTGCCGCTGCCCGCGTGCGAGCAATACGTGGCCCTGCTGAAGAACACCTCCTCCACGGCCGAGGGCCTGCAGCTCACCGCGGAGAGGCGGTGCGGCTTGGACGAGAAGAATGCTAAGGTATTACCTAAGGCCTACCTAAGGTATTCCATAAGGAGGATCGTAACCGTATCGGCTTTCACCGCGCGGTCAGCCAAGCGTCCACCCTACGACGGGCCGCGCACGGGCCTTACCCGTAGCAGAGTTGATCCTGATCCGTTTACGTTACGGTGCTTACGTAGGGTGGACTCCTGATTGACCGCGAGGCGAAGAGTTTACGTTACGGTGTGCGTTGTAGTATAGAGTTTCATACAAAGTACCTATCAATTCATCACCTATCAACTAGTCGGCCGTTTTGGTGTAGTGGTTCGAAACGGACTACTATTCCGGAGGTAGCGGGTTCGATTCCCGCACAGTACAAACATTTGTGTGCATGAACATATTTGTTTGTATTGGACTGGGTGTTTTCTATGTATAATAAGTATGTATTTACAAAAAAAAAGTATTTAAGTATATATCCGTTGTCTAGTACTCATACTACAAGCTTTGCTTAGTTTGGGACTAGAAGCGCAGTGTAAAATGTCCAAGGATATTTATTTATTATTATTTACTAGCTTTCCGCCCGCGGCTTCGCCCGCGTGGAATTTTGTCTGTCACAGAAAAACTTTATCGCGCGCGTCCCTGTTTCAAAAACCGGGATAAAAACTATCCTATGTTCTTTCCCGGGACTCAAACTATCTCTATGCCAAATTTCATCAAAATCGGTTGCGAGGTTTAAGCGGGAAAGCGTAACAGACAGACAGACAGACAGACTTACTTTCGCATTTATAATATTAGTTGGGATTTATCAAACGTACTCACTAGTGAGCGCGTTAAAAAAATGTATGAAAACGTCACACATTTAACTAGCAGCCGCCCGCGACTTCGTACGCGTGGATTCCGTTTTACCCCTTTCATCTATCTTACGCGGTTTAGATTATGTTGTGTTCAATTTAATTAGCAAATGTTTTTTCCCGCTAACTCCCGTTCCCGTCTGAATTTTGCAATATCCTGTTGTAACTAAGCTTTAAATTTACTAAGGTACCTGCATGCCAAATTTCAAGCGTCTAACTTAAGCAGTTTAGATTTTTCATACAAAATGATTTTCCCGGTAATTCCCGTTCCCGAGGGAATTTCGGAAATTCCTTTCTTAGTGCACCTCTACGGTACCTAAGCTACGTCTCTTCCAAATTTCAAGTGCCTACGTAAATACACCGGTTATCGTTATAGTTACGGTCAAAGGTATGTGGTGCCTTAGATGTCACTTTTTAACGCAGTCGGCATCGAGTGCGTTTGACGTAAACTCACACTACGCCCCCCGAAACCTCATATACTCGCACTTGCAGGTCTGCTGCCCTGTGGTCCAAACCAATTTGTTACGCTTCAAACAAAACGAGGAGGACCAGGACTTATACGTGAACGCCTTCCCCGGTCACGACCTCTGTGGTCGGATTGGTACAGTACAACAACCATCGTTATTTGTATTAATATTTTATTCACGAAAAGAGGACAGGATTTAGATAACTATTGTAGGTAAATAGCTTTGATCATGATCATAATTTTTTATGAGCTTACATGTTTAGTTTTACAAAATGTTTTGTTCGAAGTGGAAATGAATCAGAAGTAAGTCAAGAAATTTCTTTCGACCCGTAGATTTCAAAGTCCTCACTCTTTAGGAATCACAAAAAACATTGTCACGATTTTAATCTCATTTTCCTTCAGATAAAGATCGTAAGGACAAGAATGTTCACATACTGAGTGAATCAGAAATCAAAAGTGGTTGGATGTTTGTAATATCAAACGGCATACCAGTTATCTCGCGAGGTAAGTCTTACTAGTTATTTCTACATAATAAATCGAAGACTAGGGAAATCCCTACCAAACTTCACATCGTTAAATCACTGCGAAGGATTTACACGCCAATATATTGCTTCCAATCCTAGATAGTCCAGTCAATAAAGCATTATTAATGAGGGAAACGCGTGGAACATAATTTCTGATTTCGGGACTTTATTTAGACTAGTTAAGTAGGAGGTGAACATGTAAAAAATCCCCGCCCTGAGCCCTTGAGCCGGCGGGGAGAGGGGGTTTGTGTGTACTATTTTTAGGTTTTTCGCTTAATCCTTGGAAACTATGCGTCCTAGTGACATGACTACTATGAACCAAAAAAAGCTTATTAAATTTGCTACAGGTGAGATGGTCAAGTTTTTCTATTTCTTGTTATACTTAGTTGAATTTGAAAGTAGTTCAATTGAAATGTTCACAGATATGTCTCGGTACATGGCGCTGCTGGGCTACAAAGTGAACGCCAACGTGCTGTGGCAGTGCGGAGGATCGGTGATCACGGAGAAGCATGTCCTCACGGCTGCACACTGCATCTCCACTTCTCTGTGAGTTTCTTTGGAGATGTTTGGATTAAACCATAGTATGGTATATCAAATTATATTATGCCTGTGAATGATGACAATAAAAAATAAGGGTGCTAAAATATTATTTCCTTGTCTGCATCAGGCATGTGGTGCGGGTCGGTGAGCTCGACTTGGCTTTAGAGGAGAAAGACGCGCAACCCATAGACTTTTACATCAAGAAGAAAATACCCCATGAGCTGTACTCTAAATTCCAAAATGACATAGCCATAGTTGTGTTGGATGGAAGCATTAAATTCAAGGGTAGGTGATCTAAGAACAATAAAATAGCTTTCGGTCAATATCAATTTCAATCATAAACACATCATAATTTTATTAGAAATAATATAAGGATTCGATCAAGACAATATTGTCAAGTAATGAGCATTTTTAACTAACTTAAAAAAAATGGAGGACGTTCTCAATTTGAGTGTATATTTTTTTTATTACAGAAGAACATCATGTTGGCCCCATATGCCTGCCGTTTGACAATAAAATGAAGGTGTTGCCAAAGTATAATTATTATAATTATAAGGGTACATTTGTGGCTGGCTGGGGCGAGGCACCGGAAAGTAAGTTTATTACGTACCCTACCTACTTACTTCATCAATACTGTAGCAGTTTATATTGACTGCTTGGCCTACCTACCTATTTAAAAAGATGCCAAAAATAATCTAGATTATTGTAACCTTATTATACGTGCATAAATATTTTTATAACTATGTATACTAAAGTCTGTAAACCTTTGAAAAAGAGGCTGACAATTAGTGACTGAGTTTCTTGCGCTGCTTCTTCTCAGCACTGGCCTATTTATTGTCCTGAAGCAGTGGTAGGGTTAATACTGGGACGTGTAAAGTGCTTCTTAAAAGCCTACTTGCATAAATAAATGAGTTTATTTATGCAAATATATCGTGCTTAGGCTAAGTTTTTATACAGTAATAAATTTATTCTTATTCTTATTCTTATTAGTTTTATGAGTTTTTATAGATGCCAACTAATTCTTTATTTATATTTGTTAGCTCAAGTTACAAAAGTGCAATGACGGGCTCAGTGAGTATAAAGAAATATCTTAGTTAATAAAGACAACTATAATTATTCTTTGCAGAACGTGAGAGACCTACATACCTGGCATATGCACATGTGAATATTTTTTCTACTGCCAAATGCAAGAGACTGTACGAGAGCCCAACAAGGTATACTTTCAACGAAACTTCTAAACACACTGAACCTTTCAATATGTAGGTACTATCCGTTTGATTTCGACCTTTCCTGAAAGTTGTACCCATAGATGGAGCACGTTTACTCTGTAAATATTTTTTTTAAATAGCTTATTGCTGCCTACCTGGGCTTTTACTATTTCACTCAAGTCTTAAAAGGAATTTTAGGTAGCTTTCGACTTTGTCAATATACCACTACGGAAGAATCGTAATTGATGGAAAAACTACCTATTTGGCAATAATTTTGAAGTAAATATCATCACCAGTCAATCGAATTCATACTGTCAAGAATTTACATGGAATATCATTCATTATAGCTATAAAAAGGCAGATAGCGTCCCCCAAGGACGAGTAGTAGGCCCACTGTCGTTCTCTTCAGGATAGAACCTTGCACAGGCCTGGATATTCTGAACAGAGCATTACTAGAGAAACTAAATTACTGATAAATTATATTTAAATACCTAGCAGGTACCTACTCAAAAATACAAATAAACTTTTATGCTCCTGGTTATAATATAATATGGTAACGCGCGTGCTCGCCACACTGTTTGAACCCGTGACAGCAACTGGTATTGTCCAGTACACTTTATTATTTATTTAATTTTACTTTATAGAACGATAGACGACCGTGTCTTCTGCGCCGGCGACTCTGAATTAGAACACGACTCGTGTAACGGGGACAGCGGAGGGCCGCTGGTTGCTGAATATGTAAGCTGTTACTTATTATACCAAAAGACGCCAGAAAGAACAGCTTAAGTATGTTTTTTGCCATAGTAACTACCCACAGATGTTCAGTTACATTATTATTTATATCATATTGCAGAAGGTGGAAGAATTCAACCGCACGTTCTACTACCAGCTCGGGGTCATCTCCTACGGGTACAGATGCGGCGAGGGACCCTTCGTTGGTGTGCTCACCAATGTCACCCACTTCATGCCCTGGATACGGCAGAAAGTGCTAGGGGAGAAGCTGTAGTACCTAAATCGCTGTTGGACTGCCGATTCGACATTCGAGGACCGCCAGTTTGCACCCCGAATTAAAGAAAATTACTAATACCTATTCTTTTTTTGACAAAACAAAACCTACCACATAATTTTACCTACTTACTTTGTGTTTGAACCTTACCTTTACATATTTCCATTTCAAACCCTACGTGGTTGCAGACTCTACCTAAAGGTTCATCCGACCCGGGGATGAACCATGATTACCGGTTTGGTAACGGCAGGAGTGACAAAAATAACCATAAAGCTATTTAATAAAGCCGACAGCTTATACTAGTATAAACTCTGCCTAATCTAGTATCTGTGTAAAGGTTCCTTTAAGGATACATTTTGATTACAAAATAAAAAAGCTCAACAATATACTGTTATAATATAATCTCGTGAGTTCAGTGGTCGACCTTGTCCAAGGATTATTTTGTACCGATGTGTTTAATAAATTCATTTTTGTGTCTAATTTTGTGAAATCTAGACGCAGCCAAACAAACATGGCCGAGTTATTGTTTGTGTTGCTTGTGGTGTGTTTGCGAAGTTCTTTAGCCGGTGAGTGATTAATATTTTCTGATTAAAATCGAGATGGAGAATGAAAAAGGAACTTTAAATGCATGGAAACCACTCTTCTTAATATCTTTCATTGAAATTATTTTAGAGCCAGAAAAATGCGAAATAAGAGGTGTGGAGGGGGAGTGCGTGCCACTGCCCGCGTGCGAGCAATACGTGGCCCTGCTGAAGAACACCTCCTCTACGGAGGAGGGCCTGCAGCTCACCGCGGAGAGGCGGTGCGGCTTGGACGTGAGGAATGTTAAGGTATTCCTTACCCTTCCCCTGAACCATAAAAACAATGATTACAAGCTGTTTCCTCATCAGCCAGATAGTTTTGACAGTTCAAACTTCTTGCCAGACAATCATTTGAGGGTACTTCCAAACTTCATGATTCACCAACAATCTAACCTATATTGGGAGCATACGCTGACAGACAACCTTTCAGCTTTTATTAAATGACGTAGCTCTGGCGTTCACTAGCTCTTAGTCTATTTTAAACTGCATTGTTGTGTTTCGGCAGTTAAAGCTAAGATAATCTGTAAGATAATTCACAATACACAACACTTTATAGTTGTGTCTTACAAGAGTTCCATTTTCAAATTTACGGAACCCTAAAACGATGTTACAATAAAATCAAAAGCTACAGAAATAAACTGAAATCCCATTATGCTTGCAGGTCTGCTGCCCTGTGGAACCTGTGGTCCCACCACCATTGATAGATTTCAAACTAAACGAGGAGGACCAGGACTTATACGTCGACTCCTTCCCCGGCCACGACGTCTGCGGGAGGACTGGTATAGTACAACAACTTTCATACGTGGATTTAATCATTATTTGCTTATTTCGAGAAGAAGGTACTAAATCGTTCTTTGCTCTCCTGCATAGTTTTACAAAAAAAGGCGCCGCCGTCGGCGACGAATGTTTAACCGATTTCAAAAAAGGAGGTTCCATGTTCGACTGTATGTAACTTATTCTGTGTATGTGGACCGAGTTATGTTAGTTTATTTAATTTAAAATAATGTGACATTGATATGTTTTACTTGCATAAAGGTGTTTTACATGGTTTGTATGAAAAAATAATTAGTAAAATTATTGTTGAATTGAAAAAAATGTATGGCTTTCGATTCTTTGAAGTGGTTCTAGAAAGGATCACGTTGTATAGTTATATCATGATTGATATTTAGAGTAGGTGACGGTAAATTTTGAACCGTAGATTTCAGTTCTTTCTCTCGTGAGTATGAAAAAGAAGATTTTTATTATTTTGTTACAGATAAAAGCCGTATTTTGAGTACAATCCGCAAAGTAACCGACAAAGAACAAAAACTTGGATTCATGTATGTGATAGCAAACGGTATACCCGTACTATTGCGTGGTAAGTAGTAAGGTTTGGGTTCCGCAATGTCTCGTGTGTCGATGTATTTTAGTATATTAGTAATTCTGGGACTTTAAATTAATGTTGACAGATATGTCTCGCTACATGGCGCTGCTGGGCTACAAAGTGAACTCCGACGTGCTGTGGCAGTGCGGAGGATCGGTGATTACAGAGAAGCACGTCCTCACTGCTGCACACTGCATCTCAAAATCTCTGTGAGTCTCAGAAAGTATCAAATTAATCCTTATACTCATCATCAAAACCTTGTTGAAGAACTATAGACCCATCTCACTTGATCCATGTCTACAAGCTGTTTTCGAGTCATTACGAATCGTCTCGCTCGCAGGCTCCACGACTTTCGAAAAGGCTTTAGTAACCATAGACCAAATACATACGCTACGGCAGATTATACAGAAGACCGAGGAGTATAATCAGCCACTCTGCCTGGACTATGAGAAAGCCTTCGACTCGATTGAGACCTGGGCAGTGCTACAGTCTCCCAACGCGACGGTGCCAAATTGACTATCGATACATTGAAGTGTTGAAAGGCTTGTACTTACGCAAACGCCACGCCATTATTATCTATGTAAAAGATAAAATAAGAAAATATACTACGGTGCTTAACTTTTATTCTTATTTCTCCATCAGGCATGTGGTACGGGTGGGTGAGCTCGATTTGGCTTCCGAAGAGAAAGACGCGCAGCCCATAGACTTCTACATCAAGAACAAAATACCCCATGAGCTGTATTCTAAATTCCAAAATGACATAGCCATAGTTGTGTTGGATGGAAGCATCAAATTCAAGGGTAAAAATGATCTAATTTAAGTTTAAAAAAAAACATAAAAATATTACAGCTTTCGGTCAGGACTTTTTAATAGGGGGTAAAGTAGGAAATTGACGAGTTTTTCTTCAATATTCATTAGTGTATAATTATTTTAAAATATTACAATAGCTGTGTCCATTATTCTTATTTTATTTTAAACTTCATTTCAAAGACTTCATATTATACCTAAAATGTTATTTTTCCCACTAAAAATATTCTTAAAAACAGTTCGTCGTAAGTGGTGTCCATTTGCGTCATAAAAAATTACTAGAAAATTTAATATTTATAGCTGTTGAGTTTCTGAATAAAGTAAAAAAAGTAATGGCCATTTTTATTACAGAAGAACATCACATCGGTCCTATATGCTTGCCGTTGGACACTAAAAAGAAGGTTTTGCCACGTTTTGATTTCTTTACTCATAAGGGTACATTTGTGGCTGGCTGGGGCGAGGCACCGGAAAGTAAGTTTAGGTACCTACAACTTTACGCAGCTTATACAGCAGTACACAATTTATATTGACTGCTAGCAATATAACAGAGTACCTATTTCAAAAAAGATGCTTTATTAACCTATATTATTGTAAACTTTTTACATCATCACAAGTTACAAAAATGCAATGGCGTATGAAAAATATTTTTCTTATAGACAAAGACATTATTTGTTTGCAGAACGTGAAAGACCTACATACCTGGCATATGCACATGTGAATATTATTTCTACTGACCAATGCAAGAAACTGTACGAGAGCTCAACAAGGTATATTTTTAACAAAATATCTAAACACACTGAACAGTGAACATTTTCATTATCAGGACGAAGTCTGTTTTAGAAATAAGATACTAACATAGCCTAAGTTTTTACCAACATTATGGATCCCTGTTATCCGAAATAAATACTTTTTATTTATTTATTTATTATGTAGGTACCTATTGTTTGTACTCGACTGTCCTGAAAGTTACCCATCGTCCATAGATGAAGCACGTCTTTGTAAATACATTGTCACTCAAATGAGAGATGAAAGAAAGGGGTTTGAACGTAGTTTGATCCGCTGCTCAGTTACATAGACATGTTGAAACCACCAATCAACTGACGTACGAGTACAACAAGATTTTCCTATACATTTTGTATGGCAAAACAAGCGAGAGACGTCACTATTTTATCAACTCAATTTAACTACTTTTTTTATTATAATGCAACCAAAAATCTTAATTTACAGATAATTTAAAATTAATTAAGTTTTTAAGATCACAATGAAGTATTTTTAAAAAAGTTGTGATTTCAAATTATTGGGGAATCGTGTCAAAGTACGAGTATATTATTATTTTACTATTTTGTATTTTTTAGAAAGATAGATGAACGTGTGTTCTGCGCTGGTGACCACCATTTGAGACACGACTCGTGTAACGGGGACAGCGGAGGGCCGCTGGTTGCTGAATATGTAAGTTGTTATAGCTATTCCGTATTTACCCAACGTCGCCAGAAAGAACGACTTTTTTGCTATAGTACCACAGTTGATCAGGTATATTATCATTTATATCATATTGCAGAAGGTACAAGAATTCAACCGCACGTTCTGGGTACTTCTCATTTACACTCAAATTTGATGGTCACACAATAATAGTTCATAAACGGTATAAGTTAGAACAATACCTTTGAAATCAGATGATAAAATATCTATTTAGCTACATACAAAATAAATTTTATCGTAATAGAAGCAAAAATAATACGAAAAAATCACATGAAACGATAAAAAACGGGGTCATTTTTCGCGTTCTCATCGTGTCACACTTTCGGTTGCAATGAAACATTTGGTTACTGCATTCACAATTTTCATTCAATTTGTGTGTAGCATATACTAAAATCATCGTAATTAAATATACTTTCCACACAATAGTCAAAAAAATATCTTCTTATAATTATTTTGAATTGAGAAAGCGAAATACGTTGGTCACACGATTTTAGGTACCTAAAATTTTGAGTAATAATACAAGATTGCCGTTAAACCGAACACCAGCAACCAATCACAGNACTCCTTCAGTTACGTTTCAAAATGTAGGTACAGTCGCAGAATGAAAAGGTTCGTCACCTTAGTGTCGGTTTTCGCTTGCACTAGGTACTGTAAGAGTCAAACCTGCCAACATAACAGTGCAAGAAACAGTGCTGCTAACATTTAAATAAATATGACGTTTGCTAACGAATAAGGTTTTGCTTGTTTATTTTTCTATCCCATCAGTGCAATGCAATGATGACATTGACCAATTGACATTAGTTTTTTTTATTTAATAGAAATAATAATAGCAGGTTGAACCAACAAGAAGGTTTTAGTTTATCAATCATAATAATCTTCTTGACAAGATAAATCGTCAAACAACTTTGATCAATAATTTTGAACTTTACTGACGAACAGTTAAAGATTATTTTCTCTAACTCGAGATTATTCTGTAACATAGTTTCAAAAGGTAATATGTATTCGCGATTCGTTGAAGGAATCAATTTGAAAACTGACGAACCTTTTCATTCCGTGACTGTACATACTCATATTTTACACTTTTTGACTTGATTTTCGCACTTTGGAACATTCTGCTAAGAGTTAGTTGTCTGTGGCAGCTTCTGTCAAATTATTTTGATTTTGACAGCTGACGTTTCAAGACACGTCTTCAAATCGCAAAAGAATATCGAATAATATCGATACCGAATTGGCCTTTCTCTATTTTTCACCGTGCACGAATTCTCGTTGCAATTCTCAAATATCAAAACTTAAAGCCTTTCCTAAGCTACTTAAATGACGTCATATTTAAGATCAACGGCTTAACTCATGACCTCAGAGAAGTCAAGTTCAGAAAAGCAATAAAAACATTATTTCGTCCAAAGTGAGACATCTATCTGTCACATCATCGACCCACATAAGAATTCCAGAAAAATCCAAAAACCAATACTCACAATGACATAACCAGTGGGTGTAAAACTTCAAATTTATTGGTGTACTTTATAAAAACCTTATGTGGTTCTGGTTACCAAATGTATTTGTCACCCCTGCTCTTATTTTTTGAGGCACAAAGTCTATTTTTGATAGTGAATGTGTCATTCATGTTTCATATCTCGCCCACAGTTTGCCCACACTCTTGTTAAAATCCGATTTTGGGAAGTCATTGTGTTGTAAAACTTATTAGCTTTTCTGTTATCTTTTAAAGTTTTCGGCGGTCCATTTGTGGAGGATTTTGTCATTTTATCATAATTATAATTTCCATAACTATCATTTCTGTCTTTAGTGTCCAGTCTAGCTGTATTCAAAATGTCTTGTTCAATCGTATGGGTGGTACAACTGAGGTTAAAAACCTGGTGAAATGAAACTAATTTGTTAGCTTTGATGCCAATTTTCTAAACCAATTTACAAGTCACTAACGAAAAAGTCACAGGGAAAGTAGGAAAAAAGGAAAAAGAACTTTGTTTCAATTCTTTTTGTGACCACGGTGAAGTAATTAAACAGTTAAGCACCTAATACCCGCAATGTACTACTACCGCATAATAAGTTAAGTACTTCCAACAATAACTTCTCTACCAAAACAAGGCCTAGCTTTATATGCTTCAAGCATCCGATTGAGAAATCGATTGAAGCTTCCTTTCGCCTCGATTATTCCAAGAATCGATTAATCATCAACGCATCATGTCCAAGCAAAGCAGGCCATCTTAATGTGCATTATAAATCAAATGACTCAGAACCCAAATTCCTTTTACGGTGCATTTGGTTTATGTCCAATCAGCTGGACTCGTTATGGGATATGTCTTAAAACAATCAATATTAATGATTAACATCTGGATCAAAAGATGAATTTCGCGAGAAGTTATTTGGAATATTGCGCATGCACTTAGTGAAAGATGTATCTATGCCATTTTAAAATAATATTAAAGCTGAGAAGACAAAACTGATTTTTGTGAGTGATTCATATTACTTCTAAGTATAGTAATAGAAATTCCACTAGCTCGCACTGAACGTCTCGATAACTTTTTTATATCTAACTAGCGGCCGCCCGCGACTTCGTACGCGTGGATCTCGTTTTACCCCCTTCATCTATCTTACGCGGTTTAGATTTTTTCATACGAATGTTTTTTCCTGCTAACTCCCGTTCCCGTGGGAAATTTGCAATATCCTGTTGTAACTAAGCTTTAAGTTTACTAAGGTACCTGCATGCCTTTCAAGCGTCTAACTTAAGCGGTTTAGATTTTTCATACAAAAGGATTTTCCTGCTAATTCCCGTTCCCGTGGGAATTTCGGGAATTCCTTTCTTAGTGCATCTCTACGGTACCCAAGCTACGTCCCTTCCAAATTTCAAGTGCCTACGTTTAGCCGTTTAGGGGGCGTCCATAAATTACGTGAGACGTTTAGGGGGGGGAGGGGGTCAAGAAAAACCTCACTAAATCTCACGTAGGGGAGAGGGGGGGTCTCGACAAATATCACGTAATTTTTTAGCGAGTAAAAAGGTCAAATTGCGAGAGAACTGGGTTATTTTAAATTAAGAAAATAAATATATTTAAAATATAAATTATTCAATTTTTTATTCAAACAATAATATTTTTTTTAAATTTTAAATTTTTTTAGAAGAAACATTTTTTTTGTGTATTAAATCCTAATCGAATTACCCTTTACATTGCAAATATGTATTTTAAGAAATCTCACGTGAGATTGTGGGGAGGGGGAGGGGGTCTAGAAAAATCTCACCAAATCTCACCAAGGGGGGCGGGGGGGTTGAAAAATTAGCAAAATTGTCTCACGTAATTAATGGACGCCCCCTTAGGCTGTGCGTTGATATGTCAGTCAGTCAGTTTTTCAGTCAGTCAGTTATATTTAGATGCGAACAGCTAGGGACTGGAATTCGCTGCCTGCTGGTGTCTTTTCCGATCACTACAATCTAGGCCTTTCAAGGCAAAAGTGAATAGGCACTTACAGGGCTCTACCATCCTAGACTACATCTCTCTTAACATCAAATATCTGCCTTGTTCTGCATAAAAAAGGTTTTTAGAAAAAAAAAAAGTGTGTCATAGAGCGGACATTCTGTANAAAAATTAGTGCTGTCAAGTACAGAATCACTTTCGTGGCATCAAAAAATTCAAAACGTTAAAGCTTCCAAACGAGACTCACTATTTGACTGATTTACTGAGAATATAATCTTCACATCAAGCGCTACAATTTTTGTTTACAAAAAGTTGAAATAAGTTAGAAATAAAATTTGCCACGAAGGTGACGATGAGAACCGTGGCGATGAGAAATACCCTTCTACTACCAGCTCGGGGTCATCTCCTATGGGTACAGATGCGGCGAGGGACCCTTCGTTGGTGTGCTCACCAACGTCACCCACTTCATGCCCTGGATACGCCAGAAAGTGCTAGGGGAGAACCTGTAGTACCTAAATCGCTGTTGGACTGCCGATGCGACATTCGAGGATCGCCAGTTTGCATCCCGAATTAAAGGAAATTACTAATACCTAGTCTTTTTTTGATAAAACAAAACCTGCCACATAATTTTACCTACTTACTTTGTGTTTGAACCTATACAGTGTGAGTCACGTTAAAGTGTACATATGAAAATAGATGAAACTAGACCTATTTTTATCGACAAAAAAGAGGTCAAAAATTTTATGATTTTTTTTTTATAGATTTTTTTTCTTCCTATTACTTATTATAAAGAAAACGTAATAAGTTTTAAATTAAGCGGTATATCCTGATAAAATAAAAACAGTAATAATGCTAAATAACAGGCAATACTAAAAGAATACATAAAATACAAAAAAAAGGCCAACAAATAATAAAAAATTATACTTTTTGAAAAATTCTGCTATTAAATTCGTGTTTTTTTGGTTATTTGATACAAAAAATGCCCCCATAACCGGTGGTTTATTGCTTTGTATTATTTTCTATCGTATTACCTTTGTAAAACCAAAAATCGCATGTCTCTATCCCTATCACAACGTTTGCAATGATCGTTTGAACTAAGCCTCTCCGCCATTCATAGCTTCGTTAACAACGAAACTGAAAATGGCTCTAAATTTGTAATTTTGATAAAGACAAGTTAGATTTCAAATAAAAACAAAAGATTTCGAAGTAAAATAAGCATTTTAGTTAAAATTAAAATTGTCTCTACCTGTAGCGGAGAATAATGTTGTGACAGGCCTTTGTCAAATCAACAAGATTAATGAAAAAATAATAGTTATAAACTCTGCCTAATCTATAGTATCTGTTCTGTGTACAGGTTTTTTAAAGGATACATTTTGATTACAAAATAAAAAAGCTCAACAATATACTGTTATAATAATAATCTCGTGAGTTCAGTGGTCGACCTTGTCCAAGGATTATTTTATACCGATGTGTTTAATAAATTCATTTTTGTGTCTAATTTTGTGAAATCTAGACGCGGCCAAACAAACATGGCCGAGTTATTGTTTGTGTTGCTTGTGGTGTGTTTGCAAAGTTCTTTAGCCGGTGAGTGAATAATACTTCTGATTAAAATCGAGGACGAGAATGAAAAAGGAACTTTTATGCATGGTTTTACACTCTTCTTAATATCTTTCATTGTAATTATTTTAGAGCCAGAAAAATGCGAAATAAGAGGTGTGGAGGGGGAGTGCGTGCCACTGCCCGCGTGCGAGCAATACGTGGCCCTGCTGAAGAACACCTCCTCCACGGCGGAGGGCCTGCAGCTCACCGCGGAGAGGCGGTGCGGCTTGGACGTGAGGAATGCTAAGGTATTGCTTACACTTGAGTGAGAGGCGGGGCCTCTGTGGTCTGGTGGCAAGACCACCTGTCCCGGGTTCGAATCCCAGTGGGGGCAAAATCGACTTCTTAGAGTGATAGTATAGGCTTGTTCTAAGTCCTCCTGGCTAGCTACCACCATCTTACCTAATTCAGTCGCCAGAATAATATTTTACACTGCATTGCTTTGTTTTGGCAGTTGAAGCTAAGATTATTCACAATACACAAAACTTTATAGTTGTTTTGTTTTTAAATTTACGAAACCCTAAAACGATGTTATAACAATCAAATTTTAATTTAACGAAGCTAGACAAATAAACTGAAATCCCATTATACTTGCAGGTCTGCTGCCTTGTGGTCCAACCAACATTGGTAGATTTCAAAGTAAACGAGGAGGACCAGGACTTATACGTCGACTCCTTCCCCGGCCACGACACCTGTGGGAGGACTGGTACAGTACAACAACTTTCACAAGTATTTGCTTATTTGGAGAAGAAGGAATTCATTATTCGCTATAATTTGTAAGAATACATTGGAAATACAATTTGCAGGATTTACTATTGCATTATCCTTTTAGAATGGGCTGATAAAATTATTTAAGCGTAAGAGGAGTCCTCACCCGTGGAGCATTTGTCCGTAATGTAACGTTACAGAATCAAGTATGACAATCAACAGCGTGGGAGGCGGATAGACTATTACAGTGCGCCAACTGTGGCTGTAATGTTACAGATTACATTACAATGATAAGGTCTGAGAACCATTCATTACAGTGCGCAAAGTAATACATATTGTTTAATTTTGTTAATACAACTTGTAACAATGGTATCTTAATTTTTCATTTTTAAATGCTCGTCACACGTATTTACAAAATGTTTTGTTTGAGGTGAAAATTTATCAGTAGTAAGTCAAGAAAGGTGCGCAGCACCGGTCGTTGTAGAGATCTCTAGGGGAGGCCTTTGTTCAACAGCGGACGTCATTAATTTGGCTGAAACGAACGAACGTGATGGATTTCAGTATCTCTCTATGAGCAATGAGTATCACAAAAAAGATTATGATGACTTAATTCCAGTTTCTTACAGATGGATACCGTATTTTTAAAATAGTCGAACAACTAACAGAAGAAGAATCGGTTTATGATGATGTACCTCTAATATCAAACGGTGCACCAGTAATCACACGTGGTAGGTCTACTTTAAGCGCGGTAAGTCCAAGCACTCTTTTAATATTTCTTTCTTTCATGCGGTGGATCGCAGAAATGAATCCACCAATGAGTTATTTCAATGTTAAAAGAAAAGCGAAGCACTTAAGTATTACACAAAAAACTTAAGTATTAGCAAGAGCAAGACATTACCGCGTAGAAAGCCTACTGGACAGTTTCCTATTCCATACATCAGTCCATCCAAATTAGATTTTTGCTTCTCTTAGTTTACTGACTTTACTTCAACAAAATACGGTCTTTACCTGTAAAAAATAAGATAATAATTCACTATTCATTCATATTTTATGTGATGCTTTATGGTGATCCTATAATTGTTTTTTAAATGTGTAAGGTTCTACCTAAATCAACTTGTTTGATAACGACCATAATCTAAGTGCCTTGAGCCTTTTAGATTAAGTTCCTTGAGAGAAGTTTACACCCAAGTTTGCTACCCTGAATACCCTGTGCTTCTATGATGCTCGAAAATTTTGGCACTTTAAAATTTTAATAATTTAAGCCCATAGCCCCATAAACCGTTTCGATCAAGATTCTATGAGAAAATCATCATAATTTTTCGACCAACATTGGAGTAGCACAAGGTTTTAAGGTTGCAAACTTGGGTGTAAACTTCTCTGAAGGAACTCAACAACATATTTAAAAATCGCAGGTAAGTACCTACTTACATGCGCGTTTGCGATGTTTGTATTGACTGGGCTGTTTCATTGTCTTACAGATGAAGACCGTATTTTGAGTGAAATTAGTGAACTGACAGAAGAAGAAATCAAATATGATCTGAAGTATGTAATATCAAACGGTACCCCAGTAATATTGCGAGGTAAGTCTACTTTTAATAAGCAACACAAGTCAAAGCATCCTGGTCCTGTTTCATAGGCATCGAGATATGAGTATTTCTCAAAAAAAATGTACATTTTGAAAAAAAAAGTGTGCTTTGAAACAGTTCAAAAGTTTTATATTTATAAATCATCACACAAAAAACACACACACACAATTTTGAAGGATGAATATTAATCTTTAAGATAACGAAGAATTATAGCTATAATCCTACTTATTACCAAATATTTAGATATTTTAAAAATAGTCCTTTTTTACCTTTCATACAAAAATCTGTTTGCCACCCTAGCTTTTTCATGTGTTTTTGTTTCATAAAATGCGATACGTAACTAAATTATTGTAAATTTCTTTGTATTATCGTTCTACAGTAATCGCAGTTTCTGTATCAAATTGATTTTCTATGGGGTGTCATAATGAATTGGCAATTTAAAGCAAAAAAACAAAATGAGTNGTAATAAAAATGTATTAATAAAAAAAGTATGAATAATAAAATTATGAAGAGAGATTATTATGAACACAAATCGGTAGTAAGAAAAAGAATAGGATTTAGAATTTTATGTGAGCCAATATAGAACCGATGTATCCTAATATATGTTTTCATAAATTTATTACTCATAAGTGTATTTATCCATATTATTGAAAATCATGATGTCTATATTCGTATTAAATCGTATTTTAATATTAAATTAATTTGAAATGGTCCAAAACAGGCAATATTTTGTGCCACAAAACTAACGTGACAGAAACGAATCGCTGCAAAACCGACTCCACGTAGTCTTGTCTGCCCTACCCCTAGAGTGTAATTTAAAAGCCGGAGGCCTGACGTCTCCGCCATAACATCTATCGCGAAAATTAGTGAAAACGTGTGTGTTTTGTGGGATTACTTTTTCGTAACAGGCAGTAAAATCAGCGATTTTATATAGAACGGTAAGTCTTCATTTAACCATTTTTTGTAATACGTGTGGTACGAACATTTAGTAAGCTTTTATATTTGCTGTAACAAATTTTATCAAAAAAATACTTGTTTCTGATCTCATTTTGTCTAATATTTCGTTACGTTTTTTACGAATTTCGTTACGTTACGAAAAAGTACAACATAATGCTGAGTGTATACTGTTATTACCTGACTAAGCATAGTAATATTCACTACTTAATTTATTTCAAAAAATATAGAGCGTTAATAACAAAAGGATTGGATACTATCTGCTTTACAGAAGTGCCACCAGCAAAAAATTATCAAATAATTTAGATTACGTTTTTATGTGATTACTTCTTTTGTTTTTTTAGGAATGCCGCCAAAAACCAATGCCGAAAGGCAAAAAGCTTACAGAGAACGACTCAAAATGGATAAACATGCTGGAACAAAAATAATTTTATTAAAATAGTACGAATGATTACTCCCTTATTTTATTTCTAACCCCTTAATATCACCCCGTATTTGGGTGCATACTTACAAATATTTTGAATTGAATAAATGAAGAGCATTCACAATATTTCGCCAATGTATAACAAGCCTTATGGCCTTACTATTTCGTTACTACTATTTCGTTACGTACATTTTTTTTGAGAAATACTCATATAATATACTACGTAGTAATATTAGTTTAAAGTTCATGAAAAAACCTTCATAAAAACATCCGGAGGAGAGAAATGGTAAGCCTCTCGTAGCCGGCAAGGGCCGCTCAAGAGCCAGCCATAACCTGACACGGAGCTCTGCTCATGAATGTCCAATTTGGGAAAATATATCGCTCTGTCCGTTTCATTTGGCTCCGGTCGATACCGTTGGGTTTTAGTGGGTAGGCCCCGTTCTTCTGGCGGGGAAAGTCCCACATACTACAACCCACTGGTCGTCCCCATCGGCCAGTGGGAATGCGCAAAGCATTTACCGACATTAAAAAATGGTTCAATCAGTTTTTCTGTTGACAGATATGGCTCGATACATGGCGCTGCTGGGCTACAAAGTGAACGCCAACGTGCTGTGGCAGTGCGGAGGATCGGTGATCACGGAGAAGCACGTCCTCACGGCTGCACACTGCATCTCCGCTTCTCTGTGAGTTTCTTTGGAGATGTTTTGATTGATCCATTATGATCATCATCAATTCATCATCATCACGTCATTACTTCCCACTGCAGGAGCAGAAACGAGTCACCGTATTGAATCCATTCTTGAAATTACCATCAGGTGAGATACAGGCCAAGAGCTTCCTCGTTGTGGAAAAAAAAAAAAAAAAAAATTCTGTCTACTAAGGTTCGGCCAAACCAACGAGTGCAGTCTGTGTGCGCGATGGCTATGGCGATCAGATGTCAACGCATCCTGTTATCGGTCGCGGCGATCTAGGCGATCCATTGCCAACGCACGCTTTGGTTTGGCCGAAGTTTTAGAGTCTCACCTGATATAAGGCGAAAATGTCATATTCTATGACTGTAAATGAATGATGGTGATAAAAAGTTGTGCATGGGTTCTAAAATATAATTTCCTTGTTTCTGCATCAGGCATGTGGTACGGGTTGGTGAGCTCGATTTGGCTTTCGAGGAGAAAGACGCGCAGCCCATAGATTTCTACATCAAGAAGAAAATACCCCATGAACTGTATTCTAAATTCCAAAATGACATAGCCATAGTTGTGTTGGATGGAAGCATTAACTTTAAGGGTAAGAATGACCTATGATTAAACAAACAACAAATAGCTTTAGGTCAGGACTTTTTAATGGCAGCAACCAAAAGAAATGATATCAAATTCAATCCTTAGCATCATATTATATAACAATTAATTGCTGTGTGTGTGTGAAAAGTCTCGGTGAAACCTGAGAAAGGCTGAAGGGATTTGACTGATTTTGGATTTGAAATTATTGTCGTAGTTAGTCCAGGGAAGTTTAAACGGTGAGAAAACATGGGAAAATTAGAATTTAACACACATACGAAGTCGCGGGCAAAGCTAGTCGGTAATAACATATGAATTTAGATGAATATATGATAAAAGAGCCAAACAATGTTTTCTTTTTCAGAAGAACATCATGTTGGTCCCATATGCTTGCCGTTTGACACTAAAAAGAAGGTGTTGCCAGAATATAATTTTTATAATTATAAGGGTACATTTGTGGCTGGTTGGGGCGAAGCACCAGAAAGTAAGTTTATTTGTTATCAATATTTTTGTAAATTATCGAAATAAAGTTTGAATGTCTATACATTCAACCATGTACCTATTACATACTGTAACAGTCAATTGACTGCTATAATAATAATTTTTAAAAATTGCTATAACAGAACTTAGAATGGTACTCTGACTTCATAATAGGTGTCTACTAATTCTTTAATATTCTCAGAATTGGTCCGATAGAGTATTTTTCCTACAATCTAATTAGTTAAAATATTATCTTTATTATTTTATTTCTTTGCAGAACGTGAAAGGCCTACATACCTGGCATATGCACATGTAAATATCGTTTCTACTGACAAATGCAAGAGCCTGTACGAGAGCTCAACAAGGTACCTATACCCGTAGTATTTACAACTTATAAATACACCTGTGAACCTATAACAGCTACTGCTAATCTATACTAATATTATAAATGCGAAAGTAACTCTGTCTGTCTGTCTGTTTTGCTTTCACGCCTAAACCACTGAACCAATTTTGATGAAATTTGGCATAGATATAGTTTGAGTCCCGGGAAAGAACATAGGATAGTTTTTATCCCGGTTTTTGAAACAGAGACGCGCGCGATAAAGTTTTTCTTGATCGACAAAATTCCACGCCGGCGAAGCCGCGGCCGGAAAGCTAGTTAATAAAAAATTGTCCAGTAGGTAAATGTGACTAATTTTGTTTTTACCAGAATCCGCCAGGAGGGTTATGTTTTTTCAAATGTTTTTTTTTTAATATTTTTACTATGTATTTTATAGAATGATAGACGACCGTGTCTTCTGCGCTGGTGACACTGCATTGGGACACGACTCGTGTAACGGGGACAGCGGAGGGCCGCTGGTTGCTGAATATGTAAGTTGTTGCTGGGTATTCCGTATTTATCCAACGTCGCCAGAAAGAACGATATTTTTCCCATAGTACCACAGTTGACCAGTTATATTATTATTTATATCATATTGCAGAAGGTGGAAGAATTCAACCGCACGTTCTACTACCAGCTCGGGGTCATCTCCTATGGGTACAGATGCGGCGAGGGACCCTTCGTTGGTGTGCTCACCAATGTCACCCACTTCATGCCCTGGATACGCAAGAAAGTGCTAGGGGAGAACCTGTAGTACCTGCCTACCTGCCGATTCGACATTCGAGTATCGCCAGTTTGCACCCCGGATTAACGGATATTACTAATACCTTTTATGAAAAAAAAACTTAATACAGGATGTGTTTATTTAATTTTGTACCTTATACACCACCACTTTTCATTCACCGAAAAAATATACTAATGGTTCATCCAGCCCTGGAGACTCTGATAGCCCGGGGGCTCCGTATCATTGATCTGGCTGACTGATACGGTGGTAGCTACGCTCCTGGTTGATATGCAGCTTCCCTGTAGTGGGTTAAAAAGTTTGTAATTAATGTAGTTAATAAATATCTAACCTTACGGTCTCCGGGATTTCTGATTACTACCACATTGTATTATTATTAGAAAGCGGTGGCCACAGCTAGGAGTACCTAAATAGATTCTAATGTCATTTAAAATTCGGGGCAAACTATCTTTTTTCCCTGGGAGAGAAATATCTATTTCGTGACAGCAGGATTGACAACAAAACATACACTCGAATTGAGAACCTCCTCTTTTTTTGACGTTGGTTAAAATCACCATAGACCTACAAAAACACAAGCTATTTAATAAAGTGCCGATAGCTTACGAGTATAATAGATGTAAACTGCTCATCTGTGTACACAGATTCTTGAATATTGTGATTAAAAAATAAAAAAGCTAAGACAAAACTGATATAATAATAATCTCGTAAGTTCAGTGGTCGACCTTGTTCAAGGATTATTAAAGACTGATGTGTTTAAATTCATTCATTTTTCTAACTTTGTGAAATCTAGACGCGGCCAAACAAACATGGCCGAGTTATTTTTTGTGTTGCTTGTGGTGTGTTTGCAAAGTTCTTTAGCCGGTAAGTTTATACAATTGGCTCGGTGTTTCTTTACGAGGTCGAATCAGAAATGAGGAGATCCGTAAACGAACTAAAGTCGCTGACATAGTCCGACGGATTAGCAAGCTGAAGTGGCAATAGGCAGGGCACCATAGTACGCAGAACTGATGGCTGATGGGGCAGCAAACTTTTGGAGTGGAGGCCACGTACCGAAAAACGCAGCGTGAGACATCCACCCACAAGGGGGACCGACGACCTGATAAAGATAGCAGGAAGGCGCTGGATGCAGGTAACCGTGCGATGTGGAAATCATTGGGAGAGGCCAGTTCAGCAGTGGACGTCCTGTGGCCGTGACAAATAATAAAATATAAAATAACTGTTACCTTCCTACAGTAACAGTTATTTTATATTATTTATACTCATTAAAACTATAGAAACTACGTTAGAGACATTCTGTCGTTATAAATAATGCAGATTTTTCTTGATATAATTCGTTGTAATTATTTTAGAGCCAGAAAAATGCGAAATAAGAGGTGTGGAGGGGGAGTGCGTGCCATTGCCCGCGTGCGAGCAATACGTGGCCCTGCTAAAGAACACCTCCTCCACGGCGGAGGGCCTGCAGCTCACCGCGGAGAGGCGGTGCGGCTTGGACGTGAGGAATGTTAAGGTATTCCTTAGCCTTCCCGGCCTCTGTCGTCTGGTGGTAAGACTACCTGCCTCGGGTTCGAATCCCAGTGGGGGCAAAATAGACTCCTCGAAGTGATTGGTCTTACATATTATTATTTAAGATTGTCGCCAGATCAACATTGTGAAGTGAACTGCGTTGTTGTGATTTGGCAGTTAAAGCTAAGGCTATCGAATATTTCACATCTAGACGGACTCAACGGAACAAGAGTTCTGTTTGAACATTTACGAAACCCTAAAAACTATGCTACTCCCAAAAATCAGTACAAATCTCATATACTTGCAGGTCTGCTGCCCTGTGGACTCTGTAGTCCAAACACAATTGTTAAGTTTCAAACAAATCGAGGAAGACCAGGACCTATATGTCGACTCCTTTCCCGGTCACGACGTCTGCGGGAGGATTCGTTTTCACCAGTATATAGGTACAACAACTTTCACAAGTATTTGTTTATTTCTAAAAGAAGGAATTACATTAGGCATACACATGTCATGTCTGTGAACAGGCGCTGCCTTCGGGGACTGGTCAAGACGAGATCCATCTACCTTAAAATTTTTAACCTAACAACTAACAATCAAGCTAGACAGTAGGAGGGCACTAAATATACAGGATGTAATTTTGTAATGCCACCTGTGTGCTTACCATGAGTTTACGTTAGATCTTCATAGAGATTTTTGACGTACTCGCTAGCGAGGACACCTAACGTAAACTCATGGTAGGTGCACTGGAGGGAAAGCACTCCTAATACTGTAGATAGACAAATTTGTACTCAAAGGATTCCTTTATTTGTGAAAAGAGAGAGAACTGTGAGAGACGAATTGAGTATGTACTTACATACCTGTAATGTTACAGAACTTACAGATTAAGTACATTACGTAGGGAATGGCTGGGACTGGGAACCGATCATTACAGAGCATAAACTGATAAAAAAAAGTGATATTTAGATACAACTTGTAACAATGGAATCTAAAATGTTACATTTTAAGTGAATGCTCCAGGAGAATTTCAAAGTCTTTACTCTCTATAAGCTCACTCACAAAAAAGATTATGATGATTTAATTTCATTTTCTTACAGATAAATACCGTATTTTGAGCGAAGTCAGAGTCAGAAAGAGAGTCAGAAGATCAGACATTTTTTCAGTATATAACGGTACACCAGTAATCTTGCGTGGTAAGTCTACTTCTTGTAAACAACGAAAGCCAAAGTATTCTGTTAGTGTTTAATTCTTTCTTTCTTTGATACGGTAGATCGCAGAAATTAATCCATCAATGAAATTAGGAAATAATAGCGCATGCTCCCAATATAGGTAAGAACGAAGGTGCATCATGAACTTTGGGTTATCGTGGCTTTGGCAGCTAGCCTAAAATTATTGCCTGGTAAGGGGTTGCTTGGGGGAGGCCTTTGTCCAGCAGTGGACGTCATTTGGCTGAAACGAACGAACGAACGAACGGGTTGCTTGGACCGGTCATTCTCTGGCCGAAGAAACTGAATGTGGGACAACAAATCACGGCTCCGTTTCATTTGGCTCCGGTGGATACCGTTTGGCTTTTAATTGTTAGGCCCCGTCCTTCTGGCGAGGAGACTCCCACATAACCCACTGGTCGCCCCCTTCGGCCAATGGGAATTTGCAAAGCATTTCTCAAGATTAAAACAATGGCTCATTCAATTTTACTGTTGATAGATAAGTCATTATACATGGCGCTGCTGGGCTACAAATTGAACACCAACCTGCAGTGGCAGTGCGGTGGATCGGTGATTACAGAGAAGCACGTCCTCACGGCTGCACACTGCATCTCCAGTTCCCTGTGAGTTTCTTTGGAGATATTTGGATTAACCCATATAATCATCATCAATTCATCATCACGTCAATACTTCCCAAATCCCACTTCAGGAGCAGAAACGAGTCATCGTATTAAATCCATGCTTGAATTTGTGTCTACTCAAGGTTCGGCCAAACCTACGTCAACGTCGCCAATGGCGATCAGCCCCCCTAGACAAAACGCACTTTTTGATCGAATCGAAAATCGAATCCGTCAAAACTCCATACAAAAAAGGGGCTTTTCGACCACTTTTCGACTGGTTTGCGATTATAATTTGCACTTTGTCTAGACCCACTGATGTCAACATTGTCAACGCATCCTGTCATCGGTCGCGGCGATCTGGGCGATATCCATTGCCAATGCACGCTTTGGTTTGGCCAAAGTCTTAGAGCCTCACCTGATATACGGTGAAAATGACATATTCTATGACTGTAAATGAATGATGGTGATAAAATAAACTTGTGCAGATGCACTAAAATGTATAATTTCTAGTGTCCGACCGAATATGGATTTTCAGCCGAAAACGGAAACGAAACGAAGCTTCGGCTGCAGTCTCATTTTCGGCCGAAAACGAAAACGAAAATGACCTTCAACTCTCAAATTTCAATCTGAAATTATGTAAAAACTTTGAAAACCGTTAATGTTTTGACCAAAAACATAATGATGTTTGACAGTTCATTTTGATAAGGATTGATTAAAGAAAACCGGCATTAAAACACAAAAAAATTAATCATGAATAATTCTTAGTAGAATATTATTTCCGGTGTATATTGAAATATTGGGAAGTGAAGAAGAAATAAAGGGTGTCCAGTGGGAATTTTCCAAATAAATTAATGATTTTTTATTATTTATAGCTGACCCGGCGAACTTCGTACCGCCTTAGCGTAGAGATTTTCTTTAAATTTTTTTCCGTAAGAACCATCCTTGGACTTCCACAAACATTTAAAAAAAAGAATTATCGAAATCGGTTCAGCCGTTCACACGTGATGCCGTGACAACGCGAAACGGGTTTCATTTTTATATATATAGACTAGCTTTGGTCGCCCGCTACGCGGGCTACAAAAGCTAGATCTGCGATGCTGGCCGCTCCGGGCTTCGCCCTACGCGGCGCTCGGCCTGCGGCCTCGCATTCGGAGCTCGGCCTTCGGCCTCGCAAAAATTACACGGGGCGTTTATCGTTTGTCGCAAGGCTCTTTTGCTTTTTTGACGCAACACAAGTTTAACTATGGTAACTCTCGGGATTTGAACCATCGCTCGGCCTTCGGCCTCGCCTTTCTGTCTGTCACTGGGCTCTAGTCCTTTTTTGACGCATTAAAAATAAATCTATGGCGACTCACAGGCTTTAAACTATCGCTCGGCCTTCGGCCTCGCCTTTTTCTACGTTAGCTAAGCCCCCCTGCATACAATTTGTATGGAGAATTTAGTCCCTTTAGGAAAACGGGTGAACGCTTGGCGGCCATCTTGGATTTCCATTCATCGATCATTCGACAATACATTTCAAATACTTATTGCTCAACTGCGAACGCTCTGTAGGCTCCCGACCAGTGACTCATGGCGTATTTCAAATCCGCATTAGACTCTATTTTGAAACAATTAAACTTAATGAAAACTCTTTGGTTTTATTGTATTAAATTTCGAACTTGGAAAATTCTCGCTGGACACCCTTTACAACGTAACCTCACTTCACAACTTCAAAAGAGTGTGACAATACCGCGTCCGTTCAAGTCTGATTGGAAACATGAGTGCACTAGATTCACTCCCGAAGATATCGGAACGATAAACGTCACCATTTTATTCACGTATTTCTGATATTCGGTTTGGCCGAAGCTTCGGCTGGTTTTTGGCCGAAAACGAAAATATGGCCGAATGTCCATTTTTTGGCCGAAAATGGCCGAAAACGAAAACGAATATTCGGTCGGTCACTAATAATTTCCTTGTTTCTGCATCAGGCATGTGGTACGGGTTGGTGAGATCGATTTGGCTTTCGAGGAGGAAGACGCACAGCCCATAGATTTCTACATCAAGAAGAAAATACCCCATGAGCTGTATTCTAAATTCCAAAATGACATAGCCATAGTTGTCTTGGATGGAAGCATTAACTTCAAGGGTAACAATGAAAAACAAACGATAAATAAATATCACATTTTTCGGTCAGGTCTTTTAAGGAAAAGGTTTAAAAGAAATTATGTTAAATTAAATCCTAAGCATCATACGAGTCTCAGTAATAATTTATGAATTTAAGAGACTATCAGCAAGAAAAGTAACGAGCATTTTTTCAGAGGAACTTCATGTTGGTCCCATATGCCTGCCGTTTGACGCCAAAAAGAAGATGTTGCCAGAATATAAGTTTAATAATTATAAGGGTACGTTTGTGGCTGGTTGGGGCGAAGCACCAGAAAGTAAGTTTATTTTTCATCAATATTTTCTGAGTTATCGAAATCAAAGATCTATTCAATCAAAGATGTACCTAATGGTTAAATTATGTAATAAATATATAAATAAAATAAATAATAAAATAAAAAATAAAATAAAATTAAGCAATGAAGTGTGAAGTTTAGATTATTTTCAAAAAAGTTGCTATAAGTTAAAATGGTTAGTACCCTGATTTACTTCGCAATAGATTCCACTAATTCTTTATTTATTAAATAAATATTCTCCACAGCTAGTTCAATAGAGAGTTATTACAAGCTTTTTATTACTTTCACATGTCTGGTGTCTGTCGTCAAATCTTGCAACTTAAAATTGACCCACTTCCCGGTTTCCTATTGAGCTGAAATTTTGCATACATGTGTAAGTCCGATGACAATGCAATATTATGGTACCATTGAGCTGGTCTGATGATGGAGTCGGGAGGTGGCCATAGGAACTCCTAAACAAAACGGCGGAAACTCATCGAGTTTGGGTTCGTTGGATTTGTCTTTTCGAGCACTTTAGTGTTAGATAACGTCCAGGGTCCTGAGATTAAGATATAACTAAAAAGTGTAAAATAAAATTATAATAAAAATAAACTTTTTTAAAAACAAGCTTTTATTCTGAATTTCGAAAGCTTGTAGCGCAAACAGAGAAAAAGAGGAATAAATTCCATGCGCGATACAAACTTTCGAAATTCAGAATAAAAGCTTGTTTTTAAAAAAGTTTATTTTTANAGTTTTTCTTTGCAGAACCTGAAAGACCTACACAGCTGGCATATGCACATGTGAATATCGTTTCTACTGACGAATGCAAGAGTCTGTACGAGAACTATTCAAGGTACTATTTCAACAAAACTTCTAAAACACTGAACAATGAACATTTCATTATGTACCACACACCGTTTGACCTTTCCTGAAAGTTATACCCATAGATGAAGCACGCTTACTCTGTAAATACATTTTTGAACATAGCTAGTCGCGGCCTAGCTGGGCAATTCAGGAGAGCAGAAGGAAAGAGGTTTGAACATAGTTTGATTCACTGCTCAGTTACTTTGGGTAATTTTCCCACTGGACTTTGTTAATATACTACTATGGGAGAATCATAATTGATGAAAAATTTACAAGAAGTAGGTACCTTGATAGCTATAAAAAGGCAGTTGGCGTCCCCAGGGTTGCGTAGTGGGCCCACAGTCATTCTCTTCGGTATAAAACCTTACACAAGCATCTAAATAACAACTCAATTAATTTTAACAAAAAAATAAACCGACCCTAGGATCCCATCATTAGATCCTGACTTGTTGATCTAGAGAAAAAAAACATACAGTGGAATATAGAACCTCCTCCTTTTTTTGAAGTCTGTTAAAAATACGCTCCTGATATATAATATTATGGTAATCACGCTATTTGAACCTGTGACAGTCCAGTACGCTTTATTTATTTATTTTATTTTACTTTATAGGACGATAGACGATCGTGTCTTCTGCGCTGGTGACTCCGATTTTAAACACGACTCGTGTAACGGGGACAGCGGAGGGCCGCTGGTTGCTGAATATGTAAGTTTTTATAGCTATTTCGTTACCAAAAGGCGCCAGAAAGAAGGGATTATGTTTTTTTGCCATAGTACCCACAATTCTTCAGTTATATTCTTATTTCTCGCAACAGGTGGACGAATTCGGCTACAAGTTTTACTCCCAGCTCGGGGTCATCTCCTACGGGTACAGATGTGGCGAGGGACCCTTCGTTGGTGTGCTCACCAATGTCACCCACTTCATGCCCTGGATACGCCAGAAAGTGCTAGGGGAGAACCTGTAGTGCCTAAATGAACCTACGCGGAGAAAAGGTGATAATTAGTCCAAAGGTGTCGGTGGCGGATTCGACATTTCGATATTCAAAGAACGATAGTTCGATCCCCGAAATAACTTTTGTTAATGATGAACCTTATTAAATAATTTGAACAAGTTTGGATTTGATTATATTAATATGAGATCGAGGAAAATGTACCTATCATTATTGGTGGTAAGACCAGTTTTTCTGTGTGAGGATAATGCTCGCTTCCACCTTCGACCTTTGATACTAGAGGAGTACCTACTTATTATTATTCTGTGCTAGTGGGGCCTTTTAAATTAAAAAAAGCTCGTCAAGCAGAATAAAAATGTCATATAAAAAACGTTTATACTTACATCTTTTTAATTTTTAAAGCAGGGGCGGCCGCTTGTATAAATCCCTACCACTAGGACCCCTGGGCAGTTGCCAATTCTGCCTAATGATTTATCCAGCGCTAGGGGGTCTCGTAGCTCGGGGACCCCGTATCTTGGATACGGCTGATACGGCGGTAGCTGCGCCCTAGGTGATATGATAATTATGTAGGGCAAAGCTTCTCCTTGTAGAAGTCTCCTATCGCGAGCGCAGCCAAATTATGATAAGAATAAGAATTACTTTATAGTTAATTCTTACCTATAGGTATTTCTACTGACTGACATTGTGATCTATCAACGCACAGCCCAAACCACTGGACGGATCGGGCTGAAATTTGGCATGCAGATAGATGTTATGACGTAGGCATCCGCTAAGAAAGGATTTTACGAAACTCCACCCTTAAGGGGGTAAAACGGAGATCCACGGGTACGAAGTCGCGGGCGGCCGCTAGTTACTTTATAAAAGTCATGAAAAACGCGAAAGTTTCAAGGCAACTTGTTTTGTTTGTACGGTCTTAGATCCTAAAACCATTACGAAAACCCCGAGGTCATTGACTTCATTTACTTCCGGTAGAATAAAATTACGTAGTAATATAATAACCTTACATTCTCCGGGATTTCCGATTACATTCATCAGATTATGACGTCATAATAATAATTATTATGTGAGTTTAATATACCTACTAGGAATTTGTCATGAATTTTAAATAATAGTGCATTGTCAAAGAAATGTATTGATAAAAAAGGACATTATCCATTTTGGTCCAAAATCAAAAGTGCCGGCCAAAAAATAAAAGTGCTGTATTCTGATAGAACACGTCCGCCTTAGCATTTGTTACTATGGCACCAAAGCTGTAGTACCACTGTGCATCGTAGTATTTGAGATCAAAGTCATACGTTTCATATATTTTTGGTACAAAATGTGCAAACTTCAATGTTTTTATTAATAAATTAAACACCACAAAATCATCACTTACCAAGGTGAGTGAGATACAAGCCAAGAGCTTCTTCGTTGTGGATAAAAAAAATCTACTCTAGAATCTTAGAATGGGCCCAGTTACTGCTGGCTACCAGCTACTAATGGCCTAACTGGAAGACTCAGGCAGTGAGTTATTTAATTAACCTACCTTTGCATCTTTTTACACTCATTATTGTGAGGTCAATCAGGAAAAACGACTGTAAAACTACAATCTACTCAACTAGGTAGTTTATTGGTGAATCGAATGCTATTTTGATTCATTCGGTGATCGATGTGATCATTATGGAATCAGCAACTTTACGTGACATGGGTACATTCTTCTATTAGTCACTTGCATTTAATACATCAATCATCAATGCACGAAAACAACATTTTTATTCGAGCCAGGATCTAACAGCTTACCACCAATTTTATCAGTTTTTAGCCAATTTTACCATATATTATTGTTTTTATTTTTCTATTTTATCCAATTATACCTATTTTTATTATCAAATTATACAAATACTTTATTAAAAGAATAGTGTAACGGTGTTTTATAAATTCAAACATACGCACATTATAATAAAATTGATATTCTGCTCACGCACATTCATTGCATAAACACTTCTTTCCAAATAATACTTGCATGTGTAGACATTAGATCACCTAATCTTATTAATGTTATTAATCAGGTCACTAATTGGAGGTGGGAGCTCTGGAGACCTGTAATACGGGTTTATTATCTCAGGCTCCAGTCTCTCACACACAGTGTAGTTATGGATTAATTAATTGAATATAAATATTGTGTAACATCTTAAATGTAAATATCAATGTAATTGATGTTATGTGTGTGAGAGATAAATATATTTTTTTTAATTACTGCCAAATATAACTTTTACAGAGAGTAACAGGTTACCTCATTAAGGCATGGTAAGAAAGTCTTTAAATTAATCGGGGTACGTGTGCTCCGTACAGACTTTCTGATTCTATGACACTGAAATTCACGAGGATGAAGCCACAGGCAGAAGCTGGTTTGCTATAAATGTTAGGTAAGTACGTAAATATTTTCATTCCTATTATACTCTTTTTTTAAATATACGAGTCAGTCATTTATTCCATACACAATAACATTATAGAGTGTACGAAAAGGGTCCGTGGCCGAGTCCCCCAGTTTTCGACGCACCCGTGGTCGACGCCCGCGGTCAGTTAAATTCGTTTTGAAGCAATTTTTAATGAAATGTACAGTCAGGCACAAAAATGTTTATAAACGAATAAATATTTATTAGGCCAGTAGAATTAAACACAAAAATGAATCTAATGAAATGAAAATAATTCCTACAAAAGTTTTTTGTTTCTTACTACTGCTGGTTTTGGGTTAAAATTTTGCTCCCAGATTGCATAAATAGCGTCAAACATGCATAGTTTAGTATAATAATTAGCTTGTGAAACTTTTTTCGTTGACTGTACTTAGTGCAAAAGCCGAAAAAAATATGATATTAAATTTATTTAAATCGGGGGCGTCCACCACGGGTGCGTCAAATACTGGGGAACTCGGCCACGGACCCTACGAAAAATTTACGAGTTTATACCAAACGTCATCGCTAGCGACAGCGTAAAAAATTACATGAAATGTAGGTATGACAGATTTTTCAGCGTTCCTAGAGGATACTTTCAAGAAAAATCTTCATAGATTTTTTGACACACTCGCTAGTGACGTTCAATGTAAACTCGCACTAAGCCCACGGAACATTTCCTTAAGCAACACTACTGGTTAATAACGGCACAGAATTAGTGTTCGTTCGTTCGTTCGTTCGTTTCAGCCGAAAGACGTCCACTGCCGGACATAGGCCTCCCCCAAGGATTTCCACGAAGACCGATCTTGCGCCGCTCGCATCCAGGCACTTCCCGCGACCTTCACCAGAATAAGTGTAATGGTACCATAACTGTTAGGTACTAATGGAATAACCAAATTGTAAAGTATCCTTCTCACCTTCTGTGTGACACAGCCGGATTCTAGTCGACTCATGAAGACCATGCTCCGAATGCCAATAGTCGATTCTTAGAACAGACACAAACAAAAGTATATTTATTAAAAGCGACTGAGTAGCCGAGATTTATAGCAGGAAACAGTGACCTAAGGGCTGCCCTTGCCACGGTTAGGTTTTACTTTCCTATTAGTCAGCTAGAACTTAGTTAAGAGCTTGTGCTCAGCAGGATTAAAATATAAACTTTCTATGTAGACTGTCTATAGTATAGAAAGTTTATATTTTAATTGAAAATAGCTGACATAACTGGGCCCGCGACTTCGGACCCGTGAAAATAGTATGAATAATATTTCCCATTTTTGCAACATTTATTACATTGCTTTGCCCCTATTGGGCTATCCTCAGGTCATAGAAGGTGGCCCTTCTGTGATCTGAGGGACTATCCAACACAAAAAGATTTTTTTAAATCAGACCAGTAGTTCCTGAGATTAGCGCGTTCAAACAAGCAAACTTCTCAGTTTTATAATATTAGAATAGATTCGGTAATGGTAGAGCCCTTGGACCTTAAATGAAATCCAGAATAATGTGGGTTTTTCCTACATAGTTCAGATCGGTGGTCACCAACTAGCAATGACCTAAATTCGTAGGCTATCATTGAATAGATGACTCGATTTAATGGCGTTATGTTAGGTACTTATATGCGTCACTAATAAATTAGCAACTTTTTGATATGATTCAATGAACTGACATTAATGATATACGTAATAATTATGTAGAGTGAGAGTTGGACTCTCTCAATTTTAACAAAAGAAAAGAAGAAGAAAAAACCAAATTAAATAAAAAAAATTCACGTCAAATCTCGCGCAGCTTGTAAAAGTACCGTAGATAAATTAAATTAAAACTAAAAAGGCTTAAATATAACCAAGTTTCGTTCGCTACGTTTTCGCCAGAGCCGATTTATTTTTCCGAAGTGGTAGTAGAATAAACTCGAGGTACATTACATAGGTGGACAAGGACACAAGGTGGACCGACAACATTATAAAGGTAGCAGGAAGGCGCAGGACGCAGACCGCTACCAACCGGGCTATATGAAAAGGATAGGAAGAGGCCTATGTTCAGCAGTGGACGTCCTATGGCTGAGATGATGATGATGATGATGATGTTACATAGACGTACCCTGAAAATGGCTATTCTACTCACGTGACATTATTTGAAAGAACGTTGTATTTTGTAGTTGATTCCAAATATGTATTCCTACAACATTTGGTGACCCTAGTGGTAATTTATATCGGACATTTTCCTGAGTAATGTATTGAAAATGCATCTGAATTACTACTTAATGTTGAGTCAACACACCTACGCGTGTTTTTAGAAAAAAACCTCTACTAAATCTGTCACAATCAGGGCCAAGAAATCACAGTCGTCCAGATCAACATTGATAGAGTTGAATAATTCATTACGCGGACGTATTTTGTCACCAAATGGATACCTACTTACAATTCCTTTCTTATTACCGTTGATTTGACTGTACCATACCATAATCAAATTAAAAATTACACAAAAAAAAGATTGTTTGTATTGAATAGGCTCCGCCGAAACTGCTGGACTGAAAATTTCTTTCACCATTAGAATCCTACATACTTCTGATGAATATAGGCGGTACGAAGCTCGCCGGGTCAGCTAGATTAAAAAAAAAAAATTTTTTCAAGACACCTCTATCTGACCCAAAGAAAGGTCTTGGTTTCTTTTGTTGTAATGTATCGTATCAATTAATGTCTTCCTGTAATATACATACATATTTTTGAATATTTTTTTCTATTCTAATCCTATCTAAAAAGCATCAAGTCAAAACAACTTGCTTATTCACATGAAAGTGACCACACTGACCATCATTAAAATAAATATTCTATCATTAACTGGTCACCCACCAGTAGGTACTTCTGTTGCCAACACTATTCATTTCCCATTCGCGAATATTACCCCAATCCCCATTCCTAAGTACTTTTTAACTTTTCATAATGATGATTTAACCATTTAATAAACTGAAGGTTAAATAAATAAACAAACATCAATTGATTCCATCACCGATCCGACCCCAATTAGTCCAGCTGTAACAAAACTATTTCGAAACGGATTCATGGAGTTGCGAAAGGCAGATAGATCTGATAAAATAATGGCAATAGCCATGGGATATTATAATTTAGTTGTGTTCCAAATTCGGTCAACGATACACTAAAGCAATGACGATTAAACAGAGCACGATCTGCACCTTGATCCAAGGGTTCCCGGTTCTGCTGATACTTGCTCAGAAGTACAACAAATGTCTGACAACTCCATTCGAGTACAAGCCCCCGAGTCCCACTCATTCCCCCGAGTACTACGAGGCTTTGGATGCCCTGTACCACACTTTATTTGGCCACGGATATGAGCATGGTTACGATCACGGTCATGATATTTACGGCTACGGAGAACACGGACACGGCTCAGGACATCACGGCTATGACTCTAGCTCACAAGGACATGACACTACCTACCACGGTTATGGGATGGGTCATCATGGACACGGCACGTCTTATCACGGCCATGGGACTGATCATCACCTACACGGGACGAGCTATCACGGCTATGGTCACGGGAATAAGTACCCTGGCAGCTCGTATGGGTCTAAACCTTCTTACAAGCCGTATCACGGGTACCCTGTACACACGACTCACGGAGTGTATCACGGAGTTAAGAAGATGTATAATCACACGGGTGTGAAGGGTCATACGACGTACGCCCCCAATCAGACGTATAACATACATAAATACAAGGTGGTTGTGAAGAAACCCAAACGGGGCCATAGGGGACATAGAGGACACAAGAGGAGATCGGGGAAAATTGAAGGTAAGTAGGTAATTTAGATTAGTATTATAAGGTATAAAGGATTTCTCTAGAAAATCATAACACAGGTATATGCGTTTTAACTAAAAGCAATTACTGAGCAGTTAATCATTCCATTAATCCGCCTACCTAATATGTCAGAAATAAATTACCACGTAAATGCATTCTTATGGAAAATCCTGACATTGCGTTGTTAAATGTGTTTAAATATCTCATAAACAATATTTTTAATCATAATAACACTAATGTTTAATTAATTAACTACGTAGGTACCTACTTATTTTTCCAATCACGCTTTTCTCTTGAACTGTACAGGAATGGAATTATCTTTTTGTCACATATTATAATTATAAGATTATATGTATGTACTTGTACTTAAATTCCATTGTTAAGTTCGTGAAGTTCCCATTTAAATTCAAGTCTTAAAATCGCTAGCATTTAGATTTATTTTGGCTGAGTATTTTCAGTGTCTATAACCCCTTCAGTCACTGAGAGAGACCTTTATTTACTAGTTTCTGAAACTGAGTCCCATTGGGACCCTTTGCATAAGTGACCCTACAAAAGGCCATTATAAAAAAAAAATCGTAAAACTCATTTATTTTTGCAAATAGGTTTTTAAAAATAAAATTGGTTCTTTAAGCTTCGAGAACCTTCCATCGTGTTTTATTATTGCTATTAGTAGATACTCCTTTAATTAACTTTTTTAAAAAATAAAACCGACTTCAAATGCGTGAACACAAAAAAAAACTAAAAATTAAAAATATTGCGTATAAAAAAGTTCATCCCCAATTTTCCACCCTTGGGGGTGAAATATTTTCTTCAAATTCGCATGAAACCACCCTTTTGATAATACCTATTCAACAAAAAAATAATCGTTCAAATTGATTAATAATCGGCGGAGATATTGCGTATAAAAAAGTTCATAACCAATTTTCCACCCTTGGGGGTTGTTTTTTCTATTATCAAATTTAAATGGGACCACCCTTGAGGTATCACCTATACGCCGAAAAAAGATTTGTTCAAATCGGTTCATAATTGGCGGAGTTATCGCGTAACAAACATAGAAAAAAAAAAAACATACGGGTCGAATTGAGAACCTCCTCCTTTTTTGAAGTCGGTTGAAAAGCACTTTTACACTGTACTGTGTTACATTGTAACGTAAAAGGCTGAAGGTAAAAGCTAGACTCGTTATTCTTCTAGTAATAAGCATCTAAAGGACGTCCTCGCGTAACTTCCGGTCTGCGCCTGCGCCTACGATACTACCTGCCACTTACTCACCGCGAGCTTTCGTCCGGCATGTGACGTCACGGTCGTCACAGCGGAAATTTCGAATACGTCTCGAACGACGTCATAGTTATAAATTATTTTGCTTTATTGTTCAATTTCACGAAATGTTAACGAGTGAATATTATTATTATATTTTTATCTTATGAATGAAGTTGTTAAGGTAAACAAAGTATGAAATCATTTTATTCAGGAATTTTCACTATGTTATGATGTCTAATGCATCGATGGCTGACAATAGTGACTGAGTTTCTTGCGCTGCTTCTTCTCAGCACTGGCCCATTTATTGTCCTGAAGCAGTGGTAGGGTTAATACTGGGACGTGTAAAAGTGCTTTTTTAAAGCCTATTTGCAGAAATAGATGAGTTTTATGAAACCACCCAAACCCATAGGTTTGTGACATGCCTCACATCGGAAATCTACCAAAATAGCTGGGCCGATACGCATGAGTCCACATGCCCTCCAAAACACGGCAACGTCGTTGTTATCTCACAATCAGATTTATTCAAATCTCACTTTAAAGTTATTTTCCACCCATCTGAATGTGTGCATCGAACCCGATAACACAAGCTTCGTACTTTTTAATCACTGGTCCACGAGGACATCACCTAACTTTAAAAAAAAGACAGTTAAAATTGGTACCCTGTGGCCTGTAGCATAGTACCTACTTATTAGTGTACCATTTCTGATTTAACTATTTCGAACTAACTTTAATAAGAAATGCAGTATTATTGTTTAAGATTTTATGTTGTTTTAAAGTCTGCTACAAATCGTATAATTTATTGTCTGTTCCGACTTGTTAAATGATTAGCAAAATTTAAAAATCCTTTTTTTGCCTGTAATTTTACTGCACCAATAAAAAAATGTATGAACTGCACTATTTTAAACTCCATAACTTTATTGCATCCTTCTACTTTTTGTATTTTCTCATGGTCCCAATGAATCATCTTCTTGAAAATGTTAACTACCCACCGTATCACATAAAATTGATGATAACCGGGTACCCCTGGGCATGACACATTATAGTGTTAAGTAGCCGGTAACTGTGACGTCTGTATCGGTCAGCTTATAACTCGATGTCGGTCAAGATCAACGCCATTTGACACCACGTCGCGACGGTCAGTGCGCGTTTTTGTCCTTTCCGCGTGCGAACGCGCGTCTTACAGCGTTTTTTACACGCCGCGCATCGCGTAGTTTAACTTTTAACTTGAAGAAATCAACACGCACGCATGAAATGGCTTATGTGATCAAATTGTTGTGTGTTTGTTTGTGTGTTAGTGCGGTCACGTGTCAGTTCGGTGAGTGGATTTTTGGAAATTTCGAAATAATTATTTTTAAGTGTTTATTTGTGACCTGACCTTGATAGTGCACGTAATACACGATTCATAAATCACCGGTTCAGTCTAATAACAATAAGCATACACTTAAATGAAACAAAAACTAAACCTTTAAAAAATTCAGCAATCAATAAAATAATTATGCAAGTAATAACAACGCAAAACCGGTTTTATAATTAATAATAAACGCAGATAATATTGATAATAATACTACAGTTATTATGACGATAAAATTGATGTTATTTCCCTAAACTTTAAAATTATACCTACAATGCGCGAAATCAACGAAGTGTAGTTTTTTTTTTGCCAAAACGGGTTTTTAGCGAGAACCGGTGTAGATTATGCACACATTAGATTCGATATCCTTTACTGTGTAGATAGAAAATTTAGCACGCGAGCAAAATAACTGAATTACATTAAATATCATCATCCTTTTGGCTGTCGAAATAGGTATAATTATCTGGCTTCAACGGACAAAAATATAAAAAATCACATTAAAATTGTTGGTCATTATGTCAAAAAAGAAGATTAAATACAATATTAAACATAAAAACTATGATAAAAGAAAATTACCTTGCACTGACTCACTTTTAGGAGTTTGTATTTGCTGCACATCTTAAGATTTACATGAAAAAAAACATATGAATGTGAGACCATAGCAACCATAGATAGTTTAATCAAAAACATAATCCTCCTTCTGGCGCAGTCGGGTAAATAATACTTCTAGTTAGACATAACTTCCTTATAGTAAAGGCTAAGTCTATCCAAACATACACGAAATGACTTTCTGGCCTTGACTAACAACTCAAGTTTATTAAGATTGTTAAATAAATATTAGGTAAGTAGGTGCGTGATTTTAAGACACAAAAAGCTTGGTAGCAAAACCTCTAGTCATTTGAAGTACAAAAACTATCAAACAGCGTTTAAAAATATTGCGTTTCTAAAAACTTTATAACTTATTGTTATAGTAGGACGTACTTACTATCAGAAGTTATTGGACATTGTCATAACAATCCTTGAAAGTAAATTAATTCATATCAAAATAACCATTTTCATTGACCTATTTAAGTGCAAGATAAATTAACGATTGATCATAATAATTTATTTACCGTATGGTGCTAAGTAGCTAAATATACTTTTTCCTTAAAACTATTTATGGGAAAGATTGGTCTAGGCTACTTTATTATAAGGATATCCCATAATAATACAAAATCGAATACAAATAGTACAAAGTCCTATGGCTGAGATGAAGATGATGATGATGAATACAAAATCGACAAATTAAATACTTAAGTAACAATTATTTTAATGTTATCAAAACAAAACATAGGTAACTTTTGACCCATTAACTTTATGGCTATAGTTTATTAAAATTAAAATTTATAAAAACGTGAACTTAACCTGTCAATGTATAATGCGACTTATTTAATAACAGCTGTGAAAGAAAAAAGCTAATAAAAAACAAATGACGTGAGACGTCAAATCCAAGGTCATCATCACATCATGTCAATGACCTGACTTTTGATTGGGCACTGGACAATACTAGAGCCTCAGACGGAACCATGCTTCGGTTACATAACAGTAAAAACCAGTCAATAGAACTTGTGTTAATTTGCTAAAATAAGTTCAGTAGTAAGACGAGGGAAAAACAAAAATTAACTAACTAAATACATACAAAACATAACCAAAAGGACCTATTAATTAATTGTCATCATTAAATTAATTATTGATTTTTCATACTCGTTAACTTTAAAAACCACTAAAAATATTATGTTAAGTTACTTTTTAAACATTTATACATTTCATATTTAGGTATTAGTAAGTGCTTACTCTTAGATTTACTTATTAAACTTATGTCCACATGAAGAAAACAATCGTTGCACTCACTATTAACATTATCCCTAGCAAAATGAATAATATTGTGCGCCATGATAAGTATAGTAATTTCCGCTTAAATTAAAACCAACTATTGTGCTAAATCATTATCGAAATCTACCTACAAACAGGTAAAGTATACCTAGTTATAGTGATTTATGAAAAACGACGACCATTCATGTTTGTTATTGTTTTTCTGTCGCCATAACTGTTGTTTTGCAATGATTGTTTTTAACCTAAAGTTGTTATAAGATGGCAAACAACAGTAATAAACAGCTAATAAAATATACAAAGTAAATCCCCTCAAAATGCAAACAAATTATCATTCGTGTATCATTAGAGCAATTTGCATCAAAGCAATTTAGTATTTCGGAAAATCTGGCCAATTTTCAGCCAATGCCATCCATCTATTTTAGGAAAAACCTCAGGCAATGACATTTATTTTTCGAGGTGTGCTATTTGTGCACAAACGAAGGCTTATTTGTAACGTAAATATGACCAGTAGTGTATTATAATATTTATAATAAAACTAACTTAATGGGTCAGCATAGATGCAGCTTTTTAAATGTAGTGTATTATTTATTATTGTAGTTTATTTATTATAATAACTAACTACACAAATAAAACTAAAACAAATCGTCTAAACGCACATAAAAAAGTAAAAACTTGAAAGAAACTTAACTAGCTCGAATAATTACAAATATTACCCATATTTGTATATTGAATGCTTGTTGATTATGCTTAAAACGCTGTTAGAGCTTAGCACATACTTAATAAACACCGCACTAAGATAAAATAAATAACGAAGCTTGTTAATTGTAGGTAGGAAGAATATTCAAATATTATTATGTATCTAAAACAGCTTATTTTGCAACCAAATAGGTTTCTTCCCTCAAAGGGAAGATCGCCGGTATTCAACCCCCTTCCAATATGGACTCAACCTGCTCAACCCCAGAAGGATCACAAATAGACTCACAGGACTTCTCCATGTGATGCCCGAGAACGAAAATACCAACCCTGCATACGTATACCCATTCCGAAGACCTGGGATCTCCACTGAGAACCAAAACACAAACAGTTATCCATACCAGAATGGCCAAAACTACAACCAAGGAAACTATGGATACCAAAACCAGTACCCAGGCTATGGGTACAATAACCAAGGGTATAACCCAAATTATGGATACAACCAAAATGGTGGAAATCCTGTAGTATTCCCCACATCTCCTCCAGATGGCACTGCTGTTAATTTTGTAAATAATAATGGCGAATACACGGAATCGAATCCTGACATTAACAATTCTGGTACAGCAGTAAACTTTGTGAACAATAATGACGGGCAGTACACTGAATCTAACCCTTCAAACTATTATCCTGGCCAATTTAAAGATCCTGCAGGCAATGGCAATTACCAGAACAATAACGGAGATAATGAGCAAGAAGGAAAAGACAACGTGGATATAAACTTGCCCACAGGAGGGGCGGAGAGTAATACACCAAATGCATCACCGGCTGAAATTCCTAATATTCCACCTCCAGGAATTCCAATTGCTTCACCAGCTGAAATTCCCAATGTTCCATCTCCAGGAATCCCAAGTTCCTCACCTGCTGAAATTCCCACTAATCCTCCAGCGGGGATCCCAAATAATTCGCCTGCTGAAATTCCTAATGTTCCTCCACCTGGAATCCCGAATTCGCCAGCTGAGATTCCAAGCGTGCCACCTGCTGGAATCCCAAATAAACCACCTGCTGAAATTCCAAATTTACCGCCAGCTGGAATCCCGAATGCCCTCTCAACGAAAGCCCCGGCATCATACACAGAACTGCCAGTTCTGACACCAGTTCCCGATACGGAGAAACGTAATAACTTCAACTTTGGATCGGCGGGATTATTCAGTAAATGTTACTTTTTTTATGTTCATGCACTTTTATGTTTCTGTTTAGTCCATTTTTATAAACTTTCGGAACTTTTCAGTAAAGTTCCAAAGTCCGGTCCGTGAGCACGTAGAATTTTGTCCAATGAAATTCTACGTGCTCACGGACCAGACTATAAAATGTGCAACTAACCAATATAAAAATGGACTAAAATAAACCTGTTTGGTTTGTGTTTGGGATGTGACTAACTGCATAGCTTCCAACATAGTTTCTAATGCTTTTCAAATCTGCCATCTAAGGACTTATTTTAGCTCGCTTTTGTGACTAAAATCACAGCGCTACTAATTGTAAAGTGACACTATTTTGGGGGCTGATTGTGTTGTTATTCTAAGGGACTAACATCGAAAAGTTGAATTGACACATCTATCACCTATTACAAAATTACAATGGGCTTTTTTGAGTTTTCGATATTGGTTTCCTACAAAAAAAACCTTCCCTAAGGGTCAGAAAGTTTTTTGCATCTTGTATTATGACTTCGCATTGGCAAAACATTTTTAAGGGCTGATTTTTCAATCGTCGGATAACTTTTAACCACGTTAACTGTAGAATAAGTTTGGCATATTGACAATTTCAGTATGGAAAATGTCAAAATGACAAGTTTATTCTTCAGTTATAAGATAGGTATCTGACGATTGAAAAATCAGCCCTAAATGTTTTGAAGGTGCGTTATTTTTATCAAAGTATGTAAGATGATTGTAGTCTTCTAATGCTCTGAACACAAAATATACTGATGATTACCTTATACGCCAAATTATCGATTCCTTACATGGCCATAACAAGCATAATTTACTGTGATTAGCTCATCCAATTAAGCCAACTTAGCAAATCTCAAAGCAAAGTTTTTATTACTTACTTGCGACTTTGCCCTGAATTTTGGTTTAGAATATTTTTTCATGTAAAAATACTACCAAAAGCCGGACTTTTCCTGTCAATCAAAAACAAACTTAATCAGTTTAGCCGATCCAACTTATGAATAGTCAGATGGCAATAAATTTTTATTTTTATAGGCGTCCTCCATGTAGGTAGTTGATGGTTTTATTTATAAAATTTTGCATTTATAAACAGTTTAAAGCATGACGTCGGTCGGCATAATTTAAAGTTTTAAACACTATAAAACTGTCTTACGTTATAACCACACCTATGATCAAAGTGTACCTAATAATAGCCACTTAGCTTTTTTTACTATTTGTGGCTTTACCTAATAATCGAGAAAACTTTTTACAAATTAAGAAATTTATTTATATAATAAAATAGCGAAGGTAAAGGCAAAACTATAATGCTCGGGAAATAATAATAATATTATGGTTTATGGTTATATACATGACAGTTAGGTACTTTTATGATGTTGATATTGCTAAAACTAAGACACTCGAAAATTGGTTCTGAACTGCGATGAACTACTCGTATTTAGATAATAAGAGCAATTAAGTATTAATTATGTAATTTAGTAACTTAAGCTATCTCCATCCTAAAGACTATTTCGAAACTCGTGACATTTTATTGACATCATATCAAACGAGCGTGTCGTGAACTTTTAAAATGTTATTAACTTATTCCAAAAACAATATTCCATAGTGTTATTTTTATATTTTCCTCGTCTTAGAATTCCATTGGTGTCTTGATATTTTCCTAAAAGATTGCCCATCACAGGCGTCGAATCTCAATTAAATCACGTCAGTTGAACAAAGACGCCGTGTCACCGGTATCAACGCGACCTTGCTTTGGACACAACTTTGGATCTATCGGAAAAAACGTCGATCAAGGCACACACTATACATAATGTATAGCTGTGGATCGAACAGCAGGCTCTGCGGCTAAGGTTGCCAGTCCAATTTTCCACGGATTTGTCCTAATTTTGATGGCGTTCAGGCCAAATTAAAAATGCCTTATGGTTGCATTGAAACAAAAAAAGGCCTAATCGAATGAAAGAAAGAAAGAAAGAAAGAAAGAAAAAATATTTATTTGGTATCAAAGATATTACAATACAGAATGCATATTTTGTCGTCCTTAAATCGAATAGTTAAATATGTCTAAACCTGACGTACTGTAATTGTAATTTACCTAAAAAAAAACTTTACATAGGGTAGGTACTCGTACATAAATCACTATCTTATTGTAACCCATACCGTATAAATGTAAGTCGTATTAGGTGCGATATTTTTGTGCATTGATTGCACCCTATTATTTACAAAACACTTATACATCTTACATGTTTATTTACAAGATTTTTATTCGTTCTCTTTCCTGTCCAACATAAATCTAAAGAAGGCTACCGTGCTCTTTATGGCACAAAACTCTTTTTTATAATAGGCACAAGTCAGGATGTAATGTTCAGGGACTACGAGGTCGAGTCATACGAATTACTTACAATATTTTCATAGTTTTTATTATTGTTGATGTCAGTTATTTCCGCGATATTTTCCTTGTTAAGGTCAATCTATATCATTATGTGTATTCTGTTTCATTTATGTACCTACTTGTCCATTCATTATGTGATAGTTTTTAATTTTGATTCATTAAACATCTTATTAAATCCGAATGAAATAAAATAATTTGAAATTTAACGATAAAAAGTTCACAAGTTCAGTTTTATTATGTCTCCTTATAAAATTGCGTTATTTGTATTCAACACCTAATTTACATAAAACCATGCAATCTACAAAGCTAATGACTTGATCATCTTCATTCCAGCTATGTTCAATGCTATGCAAAATGGCCTTATATTACCTACCATCTTTGATATTTTACATTTTAAATTACATTATTATGACGCGGTATAAAGATGATTTTGAGTTATAATAATCGGGACTTTCCCTTCCTTCGTTGCCACTACTGCCTCTCATGAGTTGCCAGGATCTAAACCTTGACCAATTAAACTCTAACCCTAACCGTAATTAAGTTCTCTGTTTCTGTAGAGAATTCCACACGGCATTAAGTTCGCCATTTGTACCAAATAAAGGTTTAACGTGTCAAATAAATGTTTTTCTTTCTTTCTTCTTTCTACCGCGATTTCTGTGTGAAATAAACCTTTTAAATAACTAACTAAGTTAGTTCCGGGTTCGAAACTAAAGGAAAGTTAAGTCTGAACTTATTATCGGAATAGCCAGTGCAAACGCCAACGTAATCAACGCCATCTTGACTATTATAATAAAGTCAAAATCGCTTAAAAGCACTTCTTTTATTTAAAATCGCTTAAAATTAGCTTTTAAGCGATTTTGTGAAAAATATTATTGGCAGGTAGTTGCTAATTGCTCATAAGATAGGCCCCCTTAATTTAATTTATTGTCCGTGGTGCATAATCTTTTTCTTAAAGGTTTTTATACCTTTGTTTGTCACCTGTCATCCGCTTTGCAATGGAGGGAAGTCGAACCTTAATTTCGAACTCCTCCTATTTTCTTCTGATTAATTTCGTTGCGGGTCCAATGACAGTTTAACTTTCCCCCGGGACAAACTTGACCTTCATTGGTTGGGTTTTTGTGGCGGTCAAGCTGTAGATCCTGGCTACACAGGAGTTGCAGTGGTGGGAACGAGAGGTGGGAATAGTCCCGTATAATAAAGTCAAAACATTCAAAACTCATTCAGGAAATTCATCATATGACCTACTTGGAAGTAGTTGGTCAGCATCAGCTGTTTATGATTAATCCACACAATAAAACAACTTGCCCTCTAAAATTTTACCTACCCATAAATAATTAGAGTAGGTAGGCACTTGCCTCACGATAATAATCTTCAATTCACACAGTAAGAACAACAACAATTTGGAATGATAAAAGACGTGGTTTTACCGACAAACAAAAAGCATGGTCAGATTGATGCACTCAATGGCTGTTTTACGACCACAACCAGTTTTCCTTGAGCGGACTGATGGTTGTGAATGCGGTTTTAGATAATAGGCCACATGTGGTCACGTTTACCTGAACTGTAATATGAGCTAGAAGAAAAATTGCAACTTTTGTGATTAATCAATCGGCAAAGGGCAAAAAAGGACAATGACCAAAAGTGGTCCAAATGTCCACCACTAATGAGACCTATATTGGCTTATAGTCCATTAAATAGAGAATAACTTTCAGTATGGGACGAAAAAAAAATAAGCTGTCAGTAAAAAGTTACGACAGTTTGAAAAATTGTAGTAGTTTACGCGCTAATCTCAGGAACTACTGGTCCTATTTGAAAAAATATTTTTGTCATGGACAGCCCATTTATCAAGGATGGTTTTAGGTTATACATCACCCTACAACCAATAGGGGCGGAGCAGCAAAGACAAATGTTGTAAAAATGGGAAATATTATTCAAACTATTTTCACGCGTACAAAGTCACAGCTAGTATACAGGGTGTTAGGTAAATGGGTATATGAGCCGACACTAGCCCATGTTAACATGGTCATATAAATGGTATGGTGAAGTCAGAAATTTGATATCTTCATTTTAATTATTTCATTTTTCATACAAATCGGATTTTATAAAATTTATTTTGTATGAAGATTAAAAAAATTAAAATGATGATATCAAATTTCTGACTTCACCATACCATTTATATGCCCATGTTAACATGGGCTAGTGTCGGCTCATATACCCATTTATCTAACACCCTGTATACGAGTATGTGTAATAATTCATCTATAACCCAGTACCTACCAGTTGGAAAAAAGACTATTTTTACCCCTTCCGCATATTCAAAGTATTCCAATATTGTTGTCTTTCTTCTGAGCTTATTTTTTTTTCTTTTAGCGAGAACCTAACACGGCACACTAAGCGACATGACATAACATGCATAGATTAGTCCAAAATGTGCGATGGATAGACTGATATCGAGAACATTTTTCAGATGAAAAGGTGAAAAACATGACTTTTCATACAGTCATAACTTTTTACTGACAGCATATTTTTGATTGCGGTTTGGTTATAATGAATCAGTATTTATTAGACTATTTTACTACATAGGTCTCGTTAGTGGTGGACATTTGGACCACACTCCATACATTTTTGGTCATTGTCCTTTACTATGTTAATAATTATATGATAATAACTATTATACATATTAGTTGTGTCAAAGACTCGCTACCGATGGGGCAATAAAACTTTCGTGCGTTAGCTTTAGTGAGCAATCAGTCGGCAAATGTTATGTTGATAGTGCAAAAAATTTAAAGCATCGATTACAGCTTCCAGTCCTAAAATTGAGTTATGAATATTCATATTCACTATAATTTGCTAATGGACTAAAACCTGTTGTTAGTTAACAGCCCACCTACCAATATAGCATTATATATGAACTCAATATGTATTTGACAAAATATTTAGACCGCGATCGTTCTAATAATCTAACTAAACTGTAATTTTATATTTATCTAGTAGACTAAGCTTAAAAAGTCTTTGAAGCAGTTTGTCCGCTTGTTGATAAAGTTTCAAATATTAATGTTTCGATTTTAATTTACCTGATAAATAACAGCTAACAGGGACGTTTGATATAACGATGCATCTTTTCCTAACCACTTTGTTTGTATTTGTCATTGGGCATACAGTTAGTGCCACTACTCCGCCTGTCAACAGCTAACTGGGCAACTTAAATAAAAGCCTGCTAATAGTACTAATAGTGTTTGTTAGTAAATACAGGCTAATGAGTCGGTCATGGCTGTGAATTCTGTGAAGTCCACTTTCCACCATGAGTCTTGAAACTAGCTTACAGGAAATATAGAGAAAATTTAACGTCGTAAATTATCTATGAGTTGCTATAAATGTAACTAGTAGAGATGATGGCACATCGAGCTAAGAACGGTGGCATCTTGTGTAATTGTATTAGATGCAATATTGCAACAAAAATCTGTACATGATGTTGAACGTTTCAGTATAAATAAATGTAGGTAGTTATAGCAACTTAAAGAGTGAACTATTTCATGATCGTTATACTAGCCGTAATAGCTTATGTATCTTTTTAGAATAAGATATTAGAAATAAGTATAAGACGTACGTAAGGCTGGTTTTAGTGTCACGCGGACCGTCCGGTGCGGACCCGCTCCGCACGGCCAATCTGTATGAACTTCTAGGGAGCGTTTTAGAGTAATGCGGTCCGGAGGAACCGCTCCGCTCCCTAGCAGTTCATACAGATCGGCTGTGCGGAGCGATCCGCAATGACTGTCCGCGTGACACTAAAACCAGCCTAATGGTAATACCTACAATAACTGTATACTTATTCTCAAATAATCAATTTCTTTATTTAAGAAAATTTCCTCTATATTAAAGACATCAACGACATCTGTAACTAACTTTGATTTTCACTTCATTTGTGATTCATTTTAATTAATTACTTTCATCTGTCAATAACAACGAGTCTATTGTTTTGGTCATCCACGTTTCACCATTCATTAGCATGATATAATATTTCATGGAAAATTATATCCTGTTCCTACCATACATTTTGTGATTTAGTAGTGTCAATTTTCTGAACAGCAAATGGACTCAATGAATGATTAACCGATTATCTTTATCTTTGGTAAAAGAAATTAGTAGAATTTTAGATACCTAGAAGATCCTTATGTCACATGTTTAACTACGACATTGTAATTCCTTCCGTAAAATTGAAAATTAATACGTTTATTTATTTTCTATTTGGCAAAGTCACATTGCATCATCGTTTGCATGCTTTGTAATGAAAGTCCATGCATCTGAGTGGTACTAAGTTGTTACATGTTCTTTAATACATAATTAAATGACAGCCATCCACACCCAATGTTCATTTTTAATTTAATTTAGTTCATTTAATTTCCTAATCACATTGAACTTTCCAGAGGAGTCCTGCGAAACGGTAGACCAGCAGATCGGCAGCTGCATCTCAATCCTGCAGTGCGCGCCGTACCTACAGCTGCTCAAGGAGTCCAGGACCAACCCTCAGGCTGTGCAGGTGCTGAGGAAGTCCCAATGCGGGTTCGAAGGCAATTATCCTAAGGTACATAGTTTTTTTGGGCTTTGTTCCCACGGAGACATCCAGTTTTTTGCAGCAACTGTTTTTTGCAGGTTCCCGTTTAATAGTTACGTGTTTTAATATTAACGTTCACACGAACATCCCCTTTGTGTCCCGCAATTAACCGATCCGTTCGAAATGGGAGTTGTTTTACAAAACCACACCTGTATGTACGGCATAATTAAAGATTCAAGTTTGCGATTTTTCGATTTCTTCCTTAAACCAATTCAAACTTTATCATTTAGAATTATTTAATAACACATAACAAAAACAGTTTCATAAAGTCTCACAGACATATCAACGAAAACACAACTGTCTTTAGTCTACCTAAAGAATTTATGAAGAGGGAAGTTTTATTTGTTTGTTTGTATTCAATAAGCTCCTAAACTACTTAACTGGACCGATTTGAAAAAATCTTTCACCATTAAGGCTCGTATTCACAAACGATGCTTGCTAAAGTGAAGCAGCAAATCGAACGCACAGCGTTGAATAGAGCTCTTTGATTGGTTCGTATATGTATACATATGTCACCCTGGGCGTCCACGCGCACTGTGAGACTTCATAGTAATGTTTGTGTATACGGGCTCATAGTCCAGCAGTGGACTGTAAAGGGCTGTTGATGATGATGATGATGATACGGGCGTAAGAATCTTACATTATCCCTGATGAACATGGGTGATACAAAAATCGTATGTAGTGGTATTATTTCGTAATTTGCAAACAAAAATTCAACGTCATGTCCCACCAGGTATGCTGCCCCAGGCCTGGGATCCCAGACGCGCCGCCCACGGTTCCACCAACCACCACCACCACCACCACCACAGTAGCTCCTCCAGTCTCCAACGAACCCTCCAACGTCAACCCTGAGGACCTACTGGGGTCCTTCCCCGAGCCCCCCGTGTGTGGGTCCAGCAATGCCACCTTCAGCCGAGTGGTGGGAGGAATCCCTGCTAAGCTTGGTAAGGTTTTTGATATCATGATCATCATTTCAGCCTCAGGACATAGGCTGCTGAACAAAGGCCTCCCCCAATGACTTCCACATCGCACGGTTGGTAGCGGCCTGTATCCAGCGCCTACCTACTACCTTTATCAAGTTGTTGCTCAGCCGACGCTGCGTTTTCCGGTACGTGGCATCCACTCCAGAACCTTACTGCCCCATCGGCCGTCAGTCGTAATTTGTAAACGGACTAAAATCGCTGACCTAGCCCGACGGATTAGCAAGCTGAAGAGGCAGGGCACATAGTACGCAGAAGGTTTTGTTTTGATAAATTGTAATTAATATTACCTAGTCTATAGTTTTACTTTCCCCCGGGACAAACTTGACCTTCACTGGTTGGGTTATTAGCGGTTAAGCTGTAGATCCTGGCTACACAGGAGTTGCAGCGGTGGGAACGAGAGGTGCGAATAGTCCCTCAGTGCATTAAAGGTTGTTGTAACTGGTTTATCTTATTATGACGTAGGCCTACCGCCACGAAAAGATTGTCCAAAATTCACCCCTAAGAAAATGGAACAAGGTATAAGTTTAAAACAAGCGAAGCCGCCGGCAATAGCTATAGCTTTTTACATAGAAATCAACTGGTTCATGAGGAAGAGTAGGTACCTACTCGACAACATCATAATAACACTTTTTTCGCATTTAAGTGAGGCATTTATAATAATAGTTGCGTCTTTCTCACGAGCTATACGTAGGTTATTCTCAAGTATTTTGATGGTAAATTAATTGCATCCGGCTTGTAACTTCACTAACATATCAAACTATACATTTTTATGCAAAATCGCTATTGGATTCACATAACCCACCTCCTACGAGTGGACTTATAAATAAAAGAACGATAAAAGTTAACTAGGCATAATAAAAATCTAATTTAATGTTTTTTTTTTGTTTGCAAACCTCATTTGATAATTCTTACTGTCCTGGCCACTTAGAATTCATCTCCACGCCAAATAAAAATAAATTCAAAAAAGAACGACGCTCTTTTGTTTTTGTTCGAGGCCACCGAATGCATTTGTTTAATTTTGCAGTTTTGTTGAATAACGCGCCCAATTTCCGTGTACTGTATAGGTAACCAATATAAAATGCATTACTCTAAAAATGATCTATCGTGTTTCAACACAGTGACCTTTGCCAGTATGGGAAGTTAATTGTGCGTTGATAATGAGGATAACATTGATAACTCGGTGTCTGAACTAAGGTAAACGGCTACTAGTTCGTGATAGTACGTAAGTTCGTAAGTTTTTTTTCTAGCTCAAATAATAAGCAATTGGAATATTATTTATAAAAATTCTTCATTACTACAAAAACTCTATTATTTAAGCTATCTAAAAAACCAAGTACCAACATTGTGGCGCCAAAAATGAGAGCAATACGAAGCTTCAAACTCTCAGAGAGCCAAAAACAGCCGTGCGGCTTGCAAAGGTTGTTCTCACCGTAAGGTTAGCGCTCCAACTTCTTAAGCTTATAAAAAGGCGAAGGAACATCCATTTAAATAAAACTTGTAATAGTGGTTTCATGAGTTCGTTGACAATGGATTTGGCTTAGAAAAAAGTTATATGAAAACGTAGAATTCCTTTAAAATTGCGATTAATTGACTCACGAAATAGCGTACATATTATTTTTCAACACTGAAAAGTAGGAAGGCTACACACCACACACCAAACTTAGGCCTCCTACAGTGGTGACCCCGTCTGAAAACTGAACATGGAAGAACAACAAGCAACAACGGCGCAAGAAGTATCGGGCATTGCATTGTCCATGCGTGTCCCACCGTTTTGGCGCGACAGACCTCGGCTCTGGTTCATCGCTTTCGAAGCAGCAACCAACGACCTGAAGAGGAGCGAAGCCCAGCGAGCACAAATGGTCATCGCGCAACTCGAGAAGGAAGACATCGAGCAAGTGTGCGACCTGCTGTACGACCCGCCCGCAGAAAACCAGTACACAGTACTGAAGGAGCGACTGGTGTCCGTGTACGAAGAGTCCGACGGCCGCCAACTGCAGAAACTCCTGTCCGACATGGAACTCGGCGACCAGCGACCCAGCCAACTACTACGCCGCATGCGGACACTCGCCCGCAACAAGGTTCCGGACAACACGCTGAGGCTGATGTGGATGAACTTGCTGCCACCTCACGTCCGCTCCGTACTCGTTGTCAGCGACACCATCAGCAAGGACACAGCGCTGGACGAACTGTCAAAACTCGCCGACAAGATGATCGAGCAATCTCATCAAGTCTCTGCAGTCTCCGCTGCCGCCCACGCACCGCCGCTACGCCAGCAAGACCAACATGTCGACATGCATTTTCTCGTCGAGGAAGTAAGAAAATTACAAATCGAAGTTGCAGAATTAAGAGCTTACAACTACAGCAGAGATAATTACAACAACCCACGATCGCGCTACCAACAATACCATCACTCCCGCGGCAGACAAGGAAAGCAGACATCGCCCTCTCGCTCGCACAGCCCGTACCCGCGTGAGCGAGATAGCACGCCTTCACCGTACTGCTATTACCACCGCAAGTTCGGCAAAAATGCAAGAAAATGCACATCGCCGTGCAGTTTTGTCAACGAGAAAACGGAAAACTAANTCTGAGGTTAAATAAAAGAAATAGGTACAGTATTTCCCATTTACTAGAACTAATTTTACTGCGGAAAGGGGGATTTTGTTATTCCCCTGAGCTAATAGATACTTAGGTATCTAAAGAAACATTCTAAGATAATGTTTACAAATTGCACGCAGATTAATTTAAACTTACTACTTTAATTTATGATTGATGTAAATATTCATGTTCTGTATTTATGTTAAAACTTTAAAGTTTGCATTTTGCAACAAGCATTATTAAAGTTTTAGTAAGTTATTTCCTTAATATACTGGCTTTTCCGGTATTTTGCGTTTTTTTTAATTAATATTATTAGCTATTTTGGTCATATAATATTTAGGAGGAAAATTATGAAATTTTAAAGAAACTCCTAAGATATAAAAGTTACTTCGAACTTTCAAATGCCCCACGCAACGCATTTTAAAGAAAGAGGTTAATTTTATTGAGTTACAAGGTGGACCGACGATCTCATAAATGTAGCAGGAAGGCGCAGGATGCAGGCCGCTACCAATTGAGGTAGGTACAACAATGAACTACAGGAGAGGTTCAGCAGTGGACGTCCTGTGCCTGAAAATGATGATAATGATGTCATTGTCATCATCATCATTTCAGTTTTACTGACGTTCATCCAACCAATCCATATCACCCCCCATAACGCGAGATGAACATGGAGAATTTGGGCTCGTTCATCATCATCATCATCAACTCAGTCATAGGACGTCCACTGCTGAACATAGGCCTCCCCCAATGCTTTCCATGTTGCCCGGTTGGTAGCGGCTTGCGTCCAGCGCCTTCCTCTATATTTATGAGATCGTCGGTCCACCTTGTAACTCTAATCTAAATTAATTGTTCTGCCTCCAGAATATTCAAAAGATATAAAACCATTATTATTATTATGTAATTCTTTCAGGCGACTTCCCCTGGATGGCGCTCCTGGGCTACAAGCGAGGAGTAAACACGCGGTGGCTGTGTGGCGGCTCGCTCATCAGCTCGAAGCACGTCCTGACTGCCGCCCACTGCATCCATGGACACGAAATTGATCTGTAAGTCTACTGGTTTTAATGGTGATTTTCCACTGCTCGTTTACTATAGATGCAGCTTGTCTGTGCGACTCTAATGCTTTTCACTTTTTGACAGCTGTGACGCAAAAATTTATGACTGCTTCAGTCTAGCAGTCGCACGGCAAGCGAAAGGTCGTGGAAGGTTCCTTCCCACATTAAGGCAATTCGTTTTTTTTAAGATATTTTTGAGATGCAACTCTGAATATGATTGGATCAAATCGCTTGTAGTCATTTTACTACTTCACAATTTTATTTTTTTTACTTCGATACAAAAAATAACAATAAATAATATTACATAATGTTCCTATTGTGAAGCACAGATGAAACCAAGGTCCAAAAGGTCTTAGAACTTCTTTCCGTAGTGGAAACTAATGTAGTTACTTTGGAAAAAAATAATCTTAGACCTGTGATCGAGTATCAGTCTATTATACCTCAATCATTTATGTTTTTGCAACAATTATAGCCCATAAAGAAGACATAAAAATTCCGCACATACAACACTTTAGCTAATGGCTCGTTCTCGGATATAACAACAAACGTTTAAGTTATTTACCGCATTAAATATTTATGGGACAATGATAAATGTGCGGAGAATGAGTATTTATTGCAAACAAATTATGTAGAGGCCACATCATGACGGTTAAGATTGCTACTGAAATACTCGTAGGTACAGAGTCAGACGTCAACTCAATTAAATTAAATATAATATAAGTGGCTTCAAACTCGGGGAAGATGATTATCAAGAGGAAAATTGAAAAACAAAACGGAGAAATCGTGAAAACCGTAATTCACACAGAAGCGCGCCGTTTAGTAGTTATCAAAATAAACTTTTATTTTGATTCCCGTTGTACCCACCGGCCGGAGAAGTAGACAACGGGAATATAATTTTTAACTATTTACTTTACTTCCCACCAGTGGGGACAAACCTGGAATAAACCAAAATGTATTATCATGGTAAACAGATTCATTCACATATTGAAAAGTAAATACACAAGCCATCTAATTGATGTCAGGTAGTCATCATACTTGTCGTCAAACGTTTAGCTGGGCCCGGGCTATAGGTACCCGGTGTAGCCGGAATCTATTTAAAGCTTTGTTTACACCAGTCGAGTAAGTTAGTAGAGTAACTCATCTTTTTTTAGTAACTAAACTGTAGTCAGTAACGAGTTAGTTACTGACTAAAAAACTGATTGGTCTTTGGTCGAGTACAGTTTACAAGTAATTACTTATTTTAGTGGTTTTTATACTATGAATTCGACTAAACCGCCCAGCACGAACTCGTTTAAAACATGGATTGACTCGACTAAACGATTTATTAACCTATACCTACTTGACAAATTTTGGTGTTCGGGCACGTTTAGCAAAATTACTCGCCACTCGACTTAATCACTCGACAGTGTGAATAAGGCTTTACCCACTATAAACTACTTATTTGTTATTACACCATTGTATTTGCACAGTTCCGTCATCTCGCCAGTAATTACCGCGAACAAATTGGAAGGCAACCATCAACCACGTGAGCATACATCCGATTGCCGCTGTATAGAAAAAGGATTTTCCGTTCATTCCGAACGGATTTTTCCTAAATAGTCGTGTCATTGTTGTTGGAAGAAGGACGAACTTTCCACGTTAGTATAAATAATAAACATACCTACTTAATCGTAAGAATAACTAGGTTTAATTAGTTGTATATATTTTCTCTAGTTGTATGTCTTTGCTTTTTAATACGAGGTCATCTATACAACTCAATGCATTTTCCAGTCGAAAAAAAAGGATAGAGCATAGAGCTAGATAATTTAGATTTTAGATCAAGGATCGGAAAACCAAATACATTACGGTAACATTTTAAACGGTTTAGATGCCTATCCACTTAAAACTTGAAGGACCCTAAGGGCATAGAATTTGGAAAAATAAAATCAATCAATAAAGTCTTCTCCTTGACTAGTCGCATTCTAGGATTACATAATTACTTATTTGCCTACCCTTTCTCTCTTGTGTGACAAGCCTGTAGGCAGACTTCATGAATCATCATGGATATCAGACATACTTAGATCGATCTGGCAGTTTTCATAGCAAACGTAGGTGCATACGTACTTAAGACACCTTAGGTAGATATAATATTATTATACCTTCTTAAGCTAGCAAATAAATAACGCTATAATTATGTAATTACTAATCTCCATATCTTAATCGCCGATAAAGGATTTATAGCACAAGATCCCACGCGTGGCAAACCGAAGATAAACTGTCATTGTGTAATTAAATTAACAAGTTGTCCAACTAGTTTGTATGCAAATTTAATAATATGTATACTCTTGGGCAATGCAGCGAGCGTCCAAAGGTCGGAGCTAAGGTTAAATTACCTTGTGGGATATGATGTTCATCCACAATAAGGAAGCTAGATGTTAGTGCTTCCTTCCGAGCGGGTGTTATGCTCGGGGACCTTGGTCCCCGAGCATAACACCCGCTCGGAAGGAAGCACTAACATCTAGCTTCCTTATTGTGGTTGAACATCATATCCCACAACCTTATCACGTAGATGGTCAATGAAATGTTATGATCGATAAATGAGAGTGCTAAATTTTAGAGTAAGTAGGTATGTGAAATGTAGAGAATCGTACCTACATCTTAATGGAAAAAAGCTCTTACTGTAGTAGGTAGCGGAAAAACCGGTTGTTACTTCTTTATTCATAATATGCACAAAAGGTGGTTATATCTGTGTTGTCCCAGGTTTGTTAGCGACAATTTTGCAGTCAAGCACCAAAAACTAACGTAGTTTCGGTATTTTGGATCTCTCCATAATCTTCTTTCTCACTAGTAACGGATGCTGCAATAAGCAGCAGTAATAGATAGACTGGTAAATGCAGAAACGATGTTCGATTATCAATTTTAAGGTAAGCCATAGCAGTGGATGTATTTTGAAAGGTTCAATATACCAATTTCAGGACCGAGAAACAAAGACGAATCGTGTTTTTTACGAATCGTCAAAGACGTGTCCCGTATGAATGCCGTAAGAGAAAGAATATCAATTCCTCCAAAAAATTAACATAAATTATTTGATCTACTAATGGGTCAGCCTGTTTATATGGAACTTAGAACCGCTGTAATACCTAGTTACAGTTGTAGCGCTGGTAGGGGCAGGGCCCAAAAGATAAGGAGACATGTAAAGTGCCCCATAAGGGCTACTTTTTCTTTTTTTATTATTTACTATATTTTGACATTCATAAGTGCCATTTGTGGTCTAAACTGAATAAATATTTTTGATTTGATTTGTTCCCTAACCTTACCATACCTTCTCTCCCACTACAGGTACCTAGTAAGGCTAGGAGAGCTGGACATCGAGAGGGAAGACGACGGAGCGACTCCAGTGGACGTGCTCCTGAAGTACAAGATCAAGCACGAGGACTACAACCCTCAGGCCTTCACCAATGACATAGGGATCTTGGTCATGGACAGAGATGTTGGCTTCACTGGTAAGTTTCAACTATCTGTGTTTTACTAAAGAAACTTTCAGATGGTAGATTGAAGAGAACTCATAAAAACACGTTTATTTATGCAAGTAGCCTTTTAAAAAGCACTTTTACACGTCCCACTATTAACCCTACCACTGCTTCAGGACATATGGGCCAGTCCTGAGAAGAAGCAGCGCAAGAAACTCACTCATTATTGTCAGCCTCTTTTTCAAGGGTTTATAGATTTTAAAATACAGGGTGTTAGGTAAATGGGTATATGAGCCGACACTAGCCCATGTTAACATGGTCATATAAATGGTATGGTGAAGTCAGAAAATTTATATCTTCATTTTAATTATTTTAATTTTCATACAAATCCGATTTTATAAAATTTATTTTGTATGAAAATTTAAAAAAATAAAATCATGATATCAAATTTCTGACTACACCATACCATTTATATGCCTATGTTAACATGGGCTAGTGTCGGCTCATATACCCATTTACCTAACACTCTGTATACATAGCTATGAATAAAAATGCGAGTTAGGCAGTTAAGCATCCCATACATAATCATCGACTTTATAAATAGTAGCCCTTTTTCATTGAGGTACTTAGGTTTTCATTAAAGTACTAAAACTTATAAAAATTGTAGGAAGCGCCTGGATTCGGACTGTCCAGGTCCTTGAGGGCTTTGGCAGCTTTGGTTTGACTTTGTTTCATTTGAGAAGAAGTATTAAAATTATTAATAACTAAACCTTACACTCTTTCATCCACTTCTTGCGCTGCTTCTTCTGAACACGAAGCAGTGGTAGGTTAAAAAACATTCATATTGGGACTCTCTGACGTGTATTTAAGCATTTGCAAAAAATATACGATTTGCATTAGTCTATAACTAAAGTATTAAGGCTTTTTAACAACTTACTAATGAATTCGTTAGTTCATGAAAAAAAAAGTTCATTCATCTAAAGTCTATTTAGATGAACTCGGATGAAAGTTTAGATGAGTAAAGGAAAGATTGAGATAAAATAGTACCAACAATTTAATTTTCAGATCTGATCAAGCCCATCTGCATCCCCAAAGACAGCGAGCTGAGAGCGAGAAGTTTTGAGAACTACACCCCCATCATCGCCGGTTGGGGAGACACTGAGTTCCGTAAGTAATTTTTATTTATTTATTTGAACACCAACAAGGTTACATTGAGGCTTCACAAATTTAAGACCAATTGAGAACTTCCTCCTTTTATAAGTCGGTTATAAAAAAATACCAATGCTGTCACCCTGTTTGCTTCATACATTGCCTCGATGTCCATCTATCTACTAACTACGTCACTGATTAAAGTTTTATTTAGTGATCATCGTTTAATCAAAAATCAAAGATTTCCTATCTAATCTTCTATCTATTACATAGAAGTAGGTAAGTTAACAATTAGATACAAAAGATTAATAATCTAAAATATTCTGGAAGAAAAGGTATCGTGTTTCTAAATATTTGATATGTGATTTACTTACGTATGGTAAGTAAATCACAGATATCAACTCAATATACTCGAGTTCAAATGTGTTGTACCTACTAAATTAGGTACAGATCATGATTTTATGATCTTACTTGTTGTATACGGACACTGGCATCTGACAATTGGTCTCCAATCTCTCAAATCTTTATCTTTTTTTTTCTTTCCACCTTTGGCCTGATCATCACTTTCCATCAAGTGAGATGCAGGCCAAGAGCTTCCTCGTTGTAGATAAAAAATACTTTATATTATAAATAAATAAATAAATATTTGTTTGTTTATAATATGAACCGGAAAACCCAGCGTGCGACGTCCACCCACAAGGTGGACTGACGACATCGCAAAAGTAGCAAGAAGGCGCTGGACGCAGGCTGCTACCAACCGGGCAACATGGAAAGCATTGGGGGAGGCCTATGTTCACTAGTGGACGTCCTATAGCTGAGATGATGAAATAAATATTTACTTCTTATTACTTCCTCCATACCTCCTTCCTACATACTTCATATTATTATCTCCAGGTGGTCCATCGGCGTCCCACCTCCAAGTATTACAACTGCCGGTGGTCAGCAACGACTTCTGTGCGCAGGCCTACGTCAACTACAAGAACCAGCGCATCGATGAGAGGGTCCTATGCGCCGGGTACAAGAAGGGAGGCAAGGACGCCTGCCAGGGGGACAGTGGGGGACCGCTGATGCAGCCGATTGTAAGTACTAGTGGAAAAGACGAGTCAATAAGTATAGTGAAAGACAAGAACAGCGTATCAAAAGATCTTCTGCCTGGGTGACAGCTGGGGGCCGCTGATGTAGCCTATTGTAAGTAGATGTAGTAGGAAAGACGGAGAACTCAAGAACCAGCGCATTGATGAAAGGGTCTTCTGCGCCGGGTACAAGAAGGAAGGCAAGGACGCCTGCCAGGGGGACAGTGGGGGACCGCTGATGCAGCCGATTGTAAGTAGAAAAGACGACTCTACCATTATTAGAGAAATGATCGAAATCAATGTCACGGTACGGTAGAGGATGATTGGGATTTGGAACACTAAGGCGAGAGCGAAGGGTCGTTGCTAATGTAGCCGATTGTATGTAGACGTAGTAGAAAAGACGACCCCTATAGACAACTTAAGAACCAGTATGAAGCCTATTATAGGTAGCCGAAGTAGTAAAAAAGACTACACTTATCAAGTAAGTATACCTAGTCAACTACAAGAACCAACGCATTGATCAGAGGGTCCTCTGCGCCGGGTACAAGACATAGTGATCTATCAACGCACAGCCCAAACCACTGGACGGATCGGGCTGAAATTTGGGATGCAGGTAGATGTTATGACGTAGGCATCCGCTAAGAAAGGATTTTACGAAACTCCATCCCTAAGGGGGTAAAACGGGATCCACGCGTACGAAGTCGCGGGCGGCCGCTAGTTACCCATAAATCCCAAATTAATATAAACTATTATTTTTCAGTGGAACAACCAAGACTACACGACGCACTTCTACCAGATAGGCGTGGTGTCCTTCGGCCGCAAGTGCGCGGAGGCGGGCTTCCCTGGAGTCTACACGCGCGTCACACACTTCGTGCCCTGGCTCGAGCAGAAGATCCTCGGCGCTTGAGGTCGCCGTGGCCTCGGCAGCGATATCGTGGTCTGGTCGTGATGGGTCTGGTTTGGCTGGTTTCTGGTCGTGACTTGACCATCTGGTCATGACTTGACAATCTAAAGCCCGGTCCGTGAGCACGTAGAATTTTGTCCAATGACCCCAAGCTACCCATCCTTATCGCTCGCGCGTAATAATATTATGGTCGCGACTGTGCGACGCGCGCCCGCAGTGAGCGCGACAGCAACATAATTACGCGCGAGCGATAAGGATGGGTAGCTTGGGGTCATTGGACAAAATTCTACGTGCTCGCAGACCATAGTCATGACTTGACTGTCTAGTAATGACTTGATTTTCTGGTCGTGACTTGACCGTCTAGTTATGAGTAGATTGTCTGGTCGCGACTTGACCGTCTAGTAATGGCTTAGTGGTCTGGTGGTGACTTGACAGTCTAGTTATGACTTAATTGTCTGGTCGTGACTTGACAATCTAGTAATGACTTGATTTTCTGGTCGTGACTTGACCGTCTAGTTATGAGTAGATTGTCTGGTCATGACCAGAAAATAAAGCATAACTAGACAGTCAAGTCACGACCAGAAAATCAACTCATAACTAGACAGTCAATCAAGTCATGACTAGACGGTCAAGTGCGCGGAGGCCGGCTTCCCTGGAGTCTACACGCGCGTCACACACTTCGTGCCCTGGCTCGAGCAGAAGATCCTCGGCGCTTGAGGTCGCCGTGGCCTCGGCAGCGATATCGTGGTCTGGTCGTGATGGGTCTGGTTTGGCTGGTTATCTGGTCGTGACTTGACCATCTGGTTATGACTTGACAATCTAAAGCCCGGTCCGTGAGCACGTAGAATTTTGTCCAATGACCCCTAGCTACCCATCCTTATCGCTCGCGCGTAATTATATTGTGGTCGCGACTGTGCGACGCGCGCCCGCAGTGAGTGTGCGAGCGCGACAGCAACATAATTACGCGCGAGCGATAAGGATGGGTAGCTTGGGGTCATTGGACAAAATTCTACGTGCTCGCAGACCAGACTATAGTCATGACTTGACTGTCTAGTTATGACTTGATTTTCTGGTAGTGACTTGACCGTCTAGTTATGAGTAGATTGTCTGGTCGCGACTTGACCGTCTAGTAATGGCTTAGTGGTCTGATGGTGACTTGACAGTCTAGTTATGAGTAGATTGTCTGGTCATGACCAGAAAATAAAGCATAACTAGACAGTCAAGTCACCCTGGAGTCTACACGCGCGTCACACACTTCGTGCCCTGGCTCGAGCAGAAGATCCTCGGCGCTTGAGGTCGCCGTGGCCTCGGCAGCGATATCGTGGTCTGGTCTTGATGGGTCTGGTTTGGCTGGTTATCTGGTCGTGACTTGACCGTCTGGTCATGACTTGACAATCTAGTAATGACTTGATTTTCTGGTCGTGACTTGAATGTCTAGTCATGACTTGATTGACTGTCTAGTTAGGAGTAGATTGTCTGGTCGTGACTTGACAGTCTAGTTATGACTTGACTGTTTGGTCGTGACTTGACTGTCTGATCGTGACTTGACTGTCTAGTTATAACTTGACTGTGTAGTTATGGCTTTATTGTAAGGTCGTGACTTGACAGTCTAGTTATGACTTGGCTGTTTGGTCGTGACTTGACAGTCTAGTTATGACTTGACTGTGTATTTATGGCTTTATTTTCTGGTGGTGACTTGACTGTCTAGTTATGGCTTGGCTTTATTGTCTGGTCGTGACTTGATTGTCTAGTCATGACTTGATTGTCTGATCGTGACTTGACAGTCTACTATTCACTAGATCGTCTAGCAGTAACCACTTGCACTTCGAGACAAAGTTACAAACGTGACAGTTGTAGGTAATCCCAAAATAACTTCGCTCCGACATTTTTTTGTCTGTAGATATCGCTCCATAACTATTTCTAATCGTCTGGTCATGACTTGATCTTCTATGCATGCGTGATTAGGGCTAGCATGAAAGACACGATAAAATCTTATCATTATATCGATTGATTACAGATACAATACAGGTAGCATAAGGCACGATAAAATCTTTTCAGTGTATCGACTTAAAGATTCTAATGTAGACTTTATCATCGACCAAAATCGATCACCGACTTTGACGTGTCGTTCATGCTAGAAAAATACCTAGGGATGGTCGTCTGGTTCACTTAGCCGTCTGGTCGTGACCTGATTATCTGGTTGTGACTTAACCTGTGACTCTGATTGGTCATTATGACGTTTGTGTCTAGACAATGTGACATTCGACTTCTATTCGATTCGCTTCGTCCCAACATCGCCAAGTTATCTATGAACAAAACAGCAGTGATATTTATATTGTATAGGGTTCGATGTTACATTGTCTAGATGCACTGGATAGAAAAGTTGTAAATAAATAAATTAAGTGAATATTGGAACAAATAGTTACCATATTATTAATAATAGTTTTAAGAATCCAAAATATATTTATTGAGACGTTGAGATCAAACTTTGGAATAAATATTTTTCTTTTTATACAAAAATCTTTAAAACATTCAACTTTTCTACTTGTGTCATTGTGACCTAAAGTTGCCGATAGGGTCACAGTGACCTACCAAGACTGTATGATCTGATCTTGCTATTTCTAATACATACAGGGTGTTACAAAATAAATCAATTTTAAAGTGTAACCTGTATTTATAACTGTATTAACTATGTATTATATGCTTAACTTTTATATTTTGACAAATTACTCATTATTGCACTTTTTTTTAATTCTACATTTGCCTAGTGAATAGAACAAAATATGTGATATAAAAACGTGACAAATAGGTAACTTACTTTAATATTGTGTGTACTTATGTTATACTATAAGCTTTTTACAATTAAAATAATAAATATGAAATACTTTCTTAGTTTCGCAGTAAGTAAGTATTACGTAGTTTATCAGGAAAATGATTAATTGTTGTTCTAATATTATTTTCTAGAATAGACGAAGATAACTCTAAGAATCTCTATTGCATTAAGTGTTTTTAAATTAATGAATAATGATAACATTTTGTAATTTCACAAACGTGAAAATAAAGTAACAATACAAATAACTTGATATAAGATCGTTTTATTAACTTTTACCAATGTTTTCCTACTACGTTTTTAAGGGTTAAGGTAAGCTTTCATTTATTTTTCTTGTTTTTTTTCTTTACTTTTTATTTTAGTACATTATGGTAATATAGTAATTAATCTATAAAAACCTTTTTCTATTTTGTGCCTGTGTTATTTTGTTGTTGTCGTTGTATATGATGTAGATAACTGAAAATATTATTATTCCTATTCTTATTGTTTACTAGCTTTCCGCCCGCGGCTTCGCCCGCGTGGAATTTTGTGTGTCACAGAAAAACTTTATCGCGCGCGTCCCTGTTTCAAAAACCGGGATAAAAATTATCCTATGTTCTTTCCCGGGACTCAAACTATCTCTATGCCAAATTTCATCAAAATCGGTTGCGAGGTTTAAGCGGGAAAGCGTAACAGACAGACAGACAGACAGACAGACAGACAGACAGACAGACAGACAGACAGACAGACAGACAGACAGAGTTACTTTCGCATTTATAATATTAGTTGGGATTTTTTACGTTAGCTTTCCGCCCGCGGCTTCGCCCGGAGTTTTCCCGGAAATTATTCGAATTTTTCTCGTCGTAAAAACCATCTTTGGACTTCAACGAACATTATAAAAAAGAATTGGTAAAATTGGTCCAGGCGATTAAGGAATCTTTAAAATATAGACAGACCGTCAAATCAGTTAATTTGCAAGTTTGACTAATAAAGTTCGGTTGTTAGGGAATTCTTGGGGGAGGCCTTTGTCCAGCAGTGGGCGTCATTTGGTTGAAACGAACTAATAAAGATAATATATCTTAACTATCTAGCTGATTTTATCACTTATCAAACTGACTCACAACCGTTAAGTAGTGATTAAAATGCGGAAATAGTAGGTACCTACTTCACTAGATTTTCATCCTTAAGCGTGCATGATAAGACCAAAAATGGGACATCACCTGTGTGTGACGTATACCACTTTTCAGACACACATGTTAATTTTCAGATAACCCTTAAATCTGCTATGAAATAAGAGCGATCTTTGCAATGAAATGTACACTTGATTTGCTGCTTTGATAGATAAATGAGTATCGATAAAACATTGATAGCGAGTTTGTGAAAATGCCTTGCAGAGGACAGACGACTGTTGGGTTCCATTAAAACCGGCAAAAATATCGATTAGTATGAGTTACTGTTTTGATAACTTAGCGAACTTTTTATGAGATATAATTTAGTTGTGTTTGTGATTTTCGGTGATAATGGGGTTTATAAATCAAGTACCAGGTAAGTACGTTTATATTTTTACTTTCAATTTGATAATATTTGGGAAAATAAATACTTTTAAAAAGTGTGATGATTCTGGCTGGTATCTTAACAGAAATATTTTAAGTAATAGGAGAAAGTTTTTCTTTAGTACATTATGGAAAAGTTTTTAGAGGGCCTTTTAAACACGTTGTTTAGCTAAAAAAATACAAGTCGTGTAAACAAAATTACAATAAAATTAATTCGATTTGAGTTAATACGATTAAAAACTAGGTAGGTATCGTACGTAGGTACGCGTATAAATACGAAAATTTTACCAAAATATAGAAACATAACAGAAAACGTAGGTAGGCAACAGTGGCGTAGCGTGGCTTTTAGCCGCCCGGGGCCGTCCGGAAATGCGCCGCCCTTTATTTTAATTATAAATATTTTATAGTTTATAAATATTATATTGAATGGACTTCAGGTACACTATTCACCTTATTTGTTGAAAGTCAAAATAAACTACCACGCACTGCTTCAGAAGGAAAATACATTAAAGAGAAGCAATTGCTTGAAACCCAATTGCTTGTCAATTGAGAGTAAATATTATCTTAAATTATATACAGTGTGAGTCACGTTAAAGTGTACATATGAAAATAGATTAAACTAGACCTATTTTTATCGACAAAAAAGAGGTCAAATTTTTTTTGAGATTTTTTTTAAATTTTTTTATTAGAATTTTTTTTTCTTCCAATTACTTATTTTAAGAAAACGTAATAACTTTTAAACTAAGCGGTATATCCTGATAAAATAAAAACAGTAATAATGCTAAATAATAGGCGATACTAAAAAAATACATAAAATACACAAAAAATGCCAACAAATAATAAAAAATGATACTTTTTGAAAAAAATTTGCTTTTAAATTCGTGTTTTTTGGTTATTTGATACATTTCTCCAAAAAATGCCCCTATAACAGGTGGTTTTTATTACTTTCGTTGGATCAATCATCCAGTCATCTTCAAGTTTGGAGTCAATAATATACAGTGTGAGTCACGTTAAAGTGTACATATGAAAATAGATGAAACTAGACCTATTGTTATCGACAAAAAAGAGGTCAAAAATTTTTTGAGATTTTTTTTTAATTTTTTATAGAATTTTATTTCTTCCAATTACTTATTGTAAAGAAAACGTAATAACTTTTAAACTAAGTGGTATATCCTGATAAAATAAAAACAGTAATAATGCTAAATAACAGGCGATACTAAAAAAATACATAAAATACACAAAAAAGGCCAACAAATAATAAAAAATGATACTTTTTGAAAAAAATCTGCTTTAAAATTCGTGTTTTTTTGGTTATTTGATAAATTTCTCCAAAAAATGCCCCTATAACAGGTGGTTTTTATTACTTTGTATTATTTTTTATCGTATTATCTTTGTAAAACCAAAAATCGCATGTCTCTAACCCTATCACAACATTTGCTATGATCGTTTGAACAAAGGCCTGCCACAACATTATTCTCCGCTACAGTTAGAGACAATTTTAATTTTAACTAAAATGCTTATTTTACTTCGAAATCTTTTGTTTTTATTTGAAATCTAACTTGTCTTTATCAAAATTACAAATCTAGAGCCATTTTCAGTTTCGTTGTTAACGAAGCGTTGAATGGCGCGCCCGGAGAGGCTTAGTTCAAACGATCATTTCAAACGTTGTGATAGGGATAGAGACATGTGATTTTTCGTTTTACGAAGATAATACGATAGAGAATAACACAAAGTAATAAAAACTACCGGTTATAGGGGCATTTTTTGGAGAAATTTATCAAATAACCAAAAAAACACGAATTTTTAAGCGGATTTTTTTCAAAATGTTTAATTTTTTTATTATTTGTTGGCCTTTTTTGTGTATTTTATGTATTTTTTTAGTATTGCCTGTTATTTAGCATTATGACTGTTTTTATTTTATCAAGATATACCGCTTAGTTTAAAAGTTATTATGTTTTCTTTACAATAAGTAATTGGAAGAAAAAAAATTCTATAAAAAATTAAAAAAAAATCTCAAAAATTTTTTTACCTCTTTTTTGTCGATAAAAATAGGTCTAGTTTAATCTACTTTCATATGTACACTTTAACGTGACTCACACTGTATTTTAATAATCCCAGAGAGCCGGACTTCATTTAAGCTCTTTTTTACAGTCTGGATTTGTTGCAGCTACGAACGCTCGTAGACTTGCGCGCTTATGTTGGAACTCATCTGTATTTATGTCTCGAGGAGCTTGATCTACTTAGATTAAGTTTTTCTGAGCTCAGCATTACTGCCGGCATTAAAAAGAAATACTTTTGCGCTAGATTTTGCAGCTGTTGGAATCGATCACGAATTTCAGCAGTTACTCTGTCTATTGAATTGAACATTGTTCGCCTGAGTTCATTCTCGTACGATAACCCAACGTCTAAAGATCCATCGCCAAAAAGATGCTTTCTCTTGATTTGTCTTGGGGGTTCTACTGAAATTTCAAGTTCTTCACATAAACTTTTAGCATATTGTAGAGCTCGTCACGCGTCGACCAAGCGATTATCGTCCTCTCTTGCGCACACTTGTGCGTTTCGTTTCGCTTTATCGGTACGTAACATATTACGACGCGATTTGGAATAACTTTTTTTTTCTTGTTCATGCAATGTTTTTTTTTCTTATCCGCCGCCCCCTTTCATATGCCGCCCGGGGCCATGGCCCCCCCTGCCCCCCCCAAGCTACGCCACTGGTAGGCAAGTAGCGAGATTAATGTGTACGTAATAGGTAAATTAATTATCCTTGAACATTATTTTTATTAATAATTTTATTAATAAACGTATTGATTATTGAGTATTATGCTATTTTTTGCAATCTCTTATTAATTGTACGTTATATAATTTAAGTCCAAAAGAATGATAAATATGATTAATACATACGTAAATCATTGATTAGGAAAGGATTAAACAAAAACAACTTATTATAGAGCACGTGTTTTCAACGTATTAAATTATTGTATCTTATCGAAGATTAAAATAACTCCAGATTGATTTATGAAAGTTTTAATTAATTTAAAAATACCTAGCGACTTCAGTAGTTACAAACGAATTAAACTAAAATGCAATAAATGATTCGTAAAAAGTTACACGCAAGTCGATGAACATAAAAGAGTAATTCATCTTAGGGAGTGTGTTAGATCAGAATCAGCTTTTAAACTTATAAGTTTAAACTAAAAAGCAGTATAGATGATATTATAAAAGGTGTTAAAATCAAAAAAACGTATCCCGAAGACTTAAACTACGCATTATGTAAGTTAAGTGCAAGTAGGCAATATTACAAAATATTATTGGTGAGAAATCATTTTTTGCAAACCGCGAGAGCCAAGAAAAAAACCTTTATTGTTCTTAAGATTTTGTTTATTGGAGCGTACCTAACCTACGTACCTACGCGCTTTCCCGCTGCCTACTGCGACCGCGAGAGTATTTGATTAATATGGTACACAACATTGATTTTATTTAGTAACTTCCTATATTAAAAAAACCCATTTAGATTTATAGCTAAGTAAATAACTTACATAGCTAGGTACTTACTTACCGACTATTCAACGTAGTCCGGAGTTCCCTTATCACATCTAGGATGGCTTGCTCCGCTGCAGGTCGTAGGTATTTGCCCGAGTACACCATAATTTAACACTCACTCACTATCACATACTAATTACTTGAAACCGCACGAGAAACAATCAAAAATTGCAAAGCAATTTGAAAATTCGATGACCGAAGAAACCGATCAAGAGCGCGGAGCGCGGAGCGGCGCGAGCGACACTGAGGCGGCAAAGCGCGGCAAAGATGAAAGAGAGAGACCACGCGCCGCCGCGCTGGCGCCGACGTGGCTAGACCACCGGGCGACGCGAGAGTGACCAAATACCAATCCCGATCAAATAAACGTGCCTACCGAAAATCGTGCATAGTGTTTCTTTATTATTTTTCATTTTCAACTATTGATTTTGGTACGTATTTTTTAACATAACAAACAGTAGCAGCGTAAGGGGGGGCGGTGGGGGCGGTCCACCCCGAGGGCCAAGCATCAGGGGGTGGACACAAGTCGCGCAGATTAGTACTCACTGGCGCATCTGCATTGCAAGTCTACGGTCTATGTCAGGAATGGCGAACCTTTATGTCAACGTGCCACTTTTCCGAAAAAAATGTTTGATGTAGTCATAGACGTGCCATCAAATAACACCTAATGCTATCAATGAGGGGTATAGATAGTACAAGTTAAATTTTGTGATTGGTGGCGTGCCCTAAATATTGTGGCGCGTGCCATTGGTTCGCCATCCCTGGTCTATGTCATGATACGGAGGGGTGCGATTGTTTTTCAATCTTCGAATCGATAGGTAACCCCAAAATCCTGGGGGGTACCAGGGGGTACCTTAGGACTTATGACGGGGGGAAGGGGGGTGATCGCCCCGGGTGCCAACCTATGCTACGCCGCCACTGATAACAAAACTTGAATTTCATCATTTTAGTAGAGGCAAATGAGTAAAGATACGTCCTTGGTAAACTTAATGTTCTTTTAGCAAGATTCCATAATAGGAACTCAAATTCGCATGAATTGTATTGATAAGTATTAGTCCAGTCAATGAATGCTTTAACGACGGTGTAGAGAGAAATCCGTGGAACATAATTTCTGACCTCGGGACTTTATTTAGACTAGTTAGGAGGTGAACATAGCAAAAGTCCCCGCCCTTAGCCCTTGAGCCGCCGGGGAGAGGGGGGTTTAAAGGTACTACTTTTCGGTTTTTCTCTTAATCCTCGGAAACTATGCGTCCTAGTGACATGACTACTATGAACCAAAAAAAGGTTATTCAATTTGCTGCAGGTGAGACAATCAAGTTTTTCTATATCTTTTATAGTTTTCACGGCATCTGCTCTAGAAGGTCTGTAATTTTGGAAATTTTATTTTTGTCTTACATGTTCCCATCAATAGAAAATCGACTAAATCAACATTAAGCAAACATTTTAGACATGCAGGAGCCCGTTAAGTCTAGTTCCAGGGAGGGGACGGCACCGTGCGTATATTTAGACGACCCAATTGGAGCCACTTTTGACTCCTCATCACTGAAAAACTACTGTGCATTAACACTTCAAATTTGGCTCATGTGTTGAGACTTGCAAGATAAACATCAGCTTCAAATTTCATAAATATACCTCAAACGGTTATTTAGGTATTGACGTTCAAAAATCGACATTTAGAACACTAAAATCTATCTAAAAATGTAAAATGTTAAAATTTACTGGTTTTTTATTTGTTCCTTTGTATTTACACATCTACCTATCTGTATGCCAAATTTGAACCTTCAAGGTCATCTGAAAGTTGTTAGAATTTGGTCTATAGGTCAGATATGTAGATTTTTGGACGTCAATACCTAAAGATCCGTTTGAGGTATATTTATGAAATTTGAAGCTGATATTTATCTTGCAAGTCTCAACACATGAGCCAAATTTGAAGTGTTAATGCACAGTAGTTTTTGAGTGATGTGGAGTCAAAAGTGGCTCCAATTGATTCGTCTAAATATACGCACAGTGCAGTCTTCTCCCTGGAACTAGGCTTAACATGCTTCCGCATGTCTAAAATATTTGCTCAATGTTGATTTAGTCGATTTTCTCCTGATGGGAACATGTAAGACAAAAATAAAATTTCCAATATTACAGACCTTCTAGAACAGATGCCGCAAAAACTATACAAGATATAGAAAAACTTGACTATCTCACCTGTAGCAAATTGAATAAGCTTTTTTTTGTTCATAGTAGTCATGTCACTAGGACGCATAGTTTCCGAGGATTAAGCGAAAAACCGAAAAGTGGTACCTTTAAACCCCCCTCACCCCGCCGGCTCAAGGGCTAAGGGCGGGGACTTTTGCTATGTTCACCTCCTAACTAGTCTAAATAAAGTCCCAAAGTCAAAAATTGTGTTCCACGGATTTCCATCTATAATGCTTTATTGACTGGACTATATGGTGCAGTTACACTATGCGGGATAGGAACAAAAGTTTGCCAGTGTGTTATTACTAGGCGTTCAGTGGTTCAGATTTTGGTACGCCATTAAGTTAAGTTTTATTTTATTGATTATTAAAGACGTAAAAGTTAGAGAGCTAGAAATATAGCAATAACGAATCTTAAAAAAAAACAATAATTTGTCATCTGTTTACAGTACTTTTTTATGATACAACAAGCTTATCACACTTCCATTAAGATAACAAAATCAAAATCAAAAATTAAGTTTTCAAAACAAAATCATAACTCCTATCAATTAAGTTTTCAAAACAAAATCATAACTCCTATCGAAATTAAAAGAAAATACGAGTACGTTAGGAATCAACATTGCCTGTGTGTTATTCTAGGCGTTACCACACGGAAATAAGAAGACAGTGAAGTAAGTGGGTAGGTAAAAACTAAAACGTTCAGATTTCGGTGCGAATAATATTTTGGCTGACCTTCAATATCTCCTAAACCATAAGTTTCCAATTGTAGACAAAGTAGCCTTCGGCTTTGGGATAGGTTTTTTACACGCGTTATTAAGTAATAATAGGAATAAGTGAAGTTTTTAGAGTAACTTAGCTTTATCTCACGAATCAGACTACCTAACAGATAGTATCTGCTTCAAACTTTCAGCACTCCACAAGCCATGGCACTTCCTTCGGACGTACGTGCTCACCATCCCTCGCTTCGACCTGTTCCTGCAGGGCGCCATGCTGATCGTCATCCTGCTGGACCACAACGTCTTCTTGCTACTGCAAAGGGATGCAGACACAGGACTCACCGTACCCTTGACTCAAGGTAGGTACGTAAATAGTACTCGATACTCAGTCTACTGCTAAACATAAGCCCCCCGCAATGATTTACAGATTGGAAGGTTGGGGCGTTAGGAGCCTTGATAGGGAGAAGCAAACGCTTTACTTAGTTCTAAGCATGTCAGCACTTTGGGGATTAGCTGAAGTTTTAATTGCCTCAGATAAATAATATGTAGAAGGTAGTGCTCCTGTAGTGGAGACTAAATGACCTGATGATGATGACTTCAGGACCATAATGTTAGCAGAGAGCGAGATTGTATCTCCAGTTACGTATGGTAGAAAGACGGTAGAAGGAAATCAGCATGGTAGAAGATGTAGACATTAATGTTATGGGCCACAACAGGCTCTTAGCTGTTGAAGAGTCAGTAGAATAAAAATGCTTCAGTTCTTTAAACAATAAAATTTTCTTATGACGAACGACAACACTCAACAATTTTCAGATTTTGTCCTCATGGGAGTAGGGGGTGCGGAGTTCTTCCTTGGAGCAGCCCTGGCATGGTGGGGGCGAGGGAAGAGGAACTTCGCGCTGGCAGGCTGGCTGACGGCGGCTGCGGCCTCAGGCCTTGTGGTGCTGGCCTTCCCATTCGCGGAGCCTAACCCGCCTTCAGTTGGTAATACTGATTATTGTGGTAACCTTTCGTTCTTCGTTCGTTAGTCAAATGACGTCCACTGCCAGTGGACCACTGGACTAAGACCTCAACCAAGGAACTAATCTCACTGCAATCAGTCTGTCTCATACAGAGTAACAGTAAGAGACAGAGCTTTTTACTTGAAGACTTCTAATGTTATGAAATGACATAAATAAAGTATGCAAGTTTAGCATCATCATCATCATCATCATCTATGATCTACATAGAATATTTCACGAAAAGGCAACAAAACCTTTTCCAAACTCATTTGAAAGGTACCTACTTCAATTAACATTTTACCCATATTTCCACAGATCTCTGCGGAGGAGGGGTAATCTCAGGGCATTCAGGGTATTCCTACGACATACACCAGTTCATCGTTCCTCGAACTGTCTTCCTCGTACTCACGGCGATCCTGTGCGCCTTCGCCAAGATTAGCATCTGGGCGCACGGAATGACGTATCTGGACGATCATCAGCCGGAGAATGGACCGTACTTTTATGGTGAGGGGAGATTGATCTTCTGTACCCTATCAAGTCAAAAGAAGTCTTTTAAATAGATTATAAAGGTTCCAATCCGATGAAGACGCAACAATTTTAATAAGCCTAAAAAAGCTCTTCTTACTGGCCCACAAACTCTACAGCTGCCTAGCTGGTCAAAATAATGTGGCGCGTCGCTTAGCTTATCTTGGCAGGGGAACTCCCATGCCTTTAGATAACATTCAGGCTATTCTCTATAAACTGTCATCTGCATCTATAGTTGTTCAAAAAAAAATCTTCTGTCACTTTTTTTTCAAATGACTTACTTAAGTGGAGCATGCAAGATAAGCACTTTTCCAACACATATTTATTCTACACTTACCTCATCTATTATTTTCCAGGAATCCTCATCTCCATCCGCTTATCCCTCGGGCTCAGTGGCAAGGACTGGCTGCGCGGGAGTGCCGTCCGCGACGACTGGTGGGAGGCGCAGCTGTCCCTCTCTATGCTGACGCTTATGTTCGCCGTCCTCTTCACTCTCTTCCCGAAGAGGATGCACAATAGTGAGGGACTCTTGGTGGAAGTTGAACCCGATGATGGCGGTAAGGGTTTAAATATTTTTATTGTGTTCTACTACTAGCAAGCTGATGTGGCAACGGGCATAGTACGCAGAACTGACGGCCGATGGGGCTGCAAGGTTCTGGAATGGAGGCCGCCTACCGGAAAACACAGCGTGGGACGTCCACCTACAAGGTGGACCGACGACATCGTAAAGGTAGCAGGGAAGCGCTGGACGCAGGCCGCTACCAATCGAACAACGTGGAAAGCATTAGGGGAGGCCTATGTTCAGCAGTGGACGTCCTATGGCTGAAATGATGATGATGATGATGATTGTGTTCTACATTCTCATAAAGCTTTGGAAAAAAGATAGTTATCTTTTGCAAAGTTTTCGTTTATTTCATCATTCACGTTTTTTTTTTGTTTGTAGGATTCTTTGCAGCAGTCGGCAGAGTACTCAGCAGAAAATACCTAATTCTTCAAATTGGCGCTCTTGGTTTCATCAATGCTGGACTGTTTAGTTTCGTCTACTACGACTGGGACTACATTGAAGTAAAATGCCACGATTTTATTATTTTCTTACGTAAGTCATTACTTAAAGAAACACTGGCTTATTGCTAATAACTTAACGCTATACATCATTTCAGGCAAGATACCACGTGGAGGCTGCGCGGGCAGACCTACGAAGCCCTACACTGGTCGCCAGAACATTCCGACCTCTCGTCATTATCTTCTTCGTCATGGTAAGAAGAACCACCTTACTTCAGAAGTAACCTAACGTTTTTTGGAAAACATTAAGTGTTGAGGGTTTAAAAAAAGAGCATTCATTCAGCGAGCTGAATCCGGGTCTCTGTCTGTTCAAATAGTCAGTCCAAGTCTAAAAATTAGCAGAGTGCTAAAAGGCATGATGAATTTTTAATTTTGGTGTTGAATGAATGACCTTTCAATAGCGAAAAAACTACCTAAAGTACCTAAAAAAGCATAAAACTCCCCGAGTTATGACAATTTGAAAATCTCATTTTAAGACTTCCTTAAAAACGTCTACCTGTTAATTGAATTTAGGTCTTAGATTGGGATTGTTTAGAAGTTTCACATCATTTTCTTCTAGATATTCCGCGTGCGCTTCTCAGTGCGGCGCAGTGACGGCGTCAAAGCGAACACAGCTTCGCGCGTCGGCGGCATAGTGGCGATCTTCGTGGCCATCTTCTTTGCTGTCATCGCGGCTATCTCGTGCGACACTGGCGACGTTGCCGGCATGGAGTATGGCACGTTTGAGAGCCCGATCTGCAGTAACCAATGCTTGTGAGTTATTATTTACCTGGGTTTGGACTTTGAATCTCAAAGACTACCTACCTACATAATCGCGATCTATGTCGCCATCTTTGCTGTCATCGTAGTCATCTCCTGCGACACTGGCGACGTCGCTGGCATGGAGTATGGCACGTTTGAGAGGCTGATATGCAGTAGCCAGTGCTTGTGAGTTATTCTTCTTCTGGGTCTGGTAGATCTCGAACAGACTGACTACATCGTCGCGATCTTCGTCGCCATCTTCTTTGCTGTCATCGCAGCCATCTCCTGTGACACTGGCGACTTCGCCAGCATGGAGTTAGGCACGTTTTAGAGCTCGATCTGCAGTAACCAGTGCGAGTAGGTGTTAATCTTTACTTGAGTTTAGATCCCGAACAAACCTAAGAAGTCAAGATCTTCGTCGCCATCTTCCTATCGGCTATCTCCTGTGACACTGGCGACGTTGGAGCCGGCATGGAGTTAAGGTTCAGTTAAACCAACGCGATCACATGCGATCAGCCGCCGTGCAGCGATGGCGATCAATGCATTTAAGTCTGATAGGCACGTTTTAGAGGCCGATTTGGCGTAGCCAGTGCGGGTAAGTGTTCTTTACTTGGGTTTAATTGTCGAACAAACTACAGTTACCTACTTATAGTCTGGTCCGTGAGCACGTAGAATTTTGTCCAATGACCCCTAGCTACCCATCCTTATCACTCGCTCGTAATTATGTTGCTATCGCGCTCGCAACCTCACTGCGGGTGCCGGTCGCACAGTCGCGACAGCAATATAATTACGCGCGAGCGATAAGGATGGGTAGCTAGGGGTCATTGGACAAAATTCTACGTGCTCACGGACCGGGCTTTAGATGATCTTTCTAGATCTTCAATGTCTATGTAGTGGTTGTAGAAGATGGTGAAGCATTTGCTCTATAAAAATCTTCTTTGTTGTATGTAATACAATAGTTACTACTTTTTATTCCAGTTGCGAGTCCTACCGTTACGGCTTCGCCCCAGTGTGCGCCCTGGATACGAGTACCACTTACTTCTCGCCGTGCCAGGCCGGCTGCTCCGACTACGAGGACCTCAATAGCTTCTTGTAAGTCGTTAACTTTCCTACACGCCGTTTATAATGCAAGTTATAGTTGTTTTTTATATTGCCTTTTATTGATAGAATTATTTATTGGCATGCACCTGGTAATACTATAAAATATGATGGTCGCGATCCTCATCAGTAAGGGACCGAGGAAGAAAAAGACTTGGTAATAAATCGTTATTTAGTATCCACTGCATGAGTATGACTCTCTCCAATTTACGAAGCAAATGGAGAATTTGGCTGGCCTACACTCGCCAAACTGGCCAAACAGATTGGGGAGGCACGATGTTCGTATTTTTCTCCCTTAAGACAGATTTCCACCAAGGCGGAGTGGAGAAATGCTTTGAAAAAGAAAAACCAATCAGATTTCATTCTGTCAATTTCATTCGATCATTAGTCGCCTCTTACGATTTACACAATAAGGGTAGTGTTTGCTCTGTTCTACTTTGTAGGAATCACGGCTACTAATACCCTTATTTATTATTTCAGGGTTTTCGGCAACTGCACCTGTTCTACCAGCCTCGTGGTGAGAGGAGCGTGCGCGCTGCCCTCCTGTCACTTTGTCTACTCTATTTATCAAGTCATCCTCACTGTCATCCTTGCTGTGAGCGGTCAGTACGATTGAATTATTTTAATAAATAAAAATTCCTAAATTTATGACGTCATAGTTCCCATTGCCATTCAAAATAAACATTACTCTTGCAAAGAACAACAAAATGCTTAGTCTGAATATAATATGCTGCGTATCTGTTCTGTCGCTGTAATGAAACTAAGGTCCATAATGTCCATATTATAAAAAGCGCTCAAAACTCGATGCAATCTTAGTGCGATTGCGGTCAAATACCTTTTCATGCATAGAAAAATGTATTTTGTCCTGATTGGTCTAAAAATTGAAATTCAACCAATCAGAAGCCTCAGTCTTGCTCGAAATTGAATCGAATTTTGGACTCAATTCTGTAATTCTGTCTTCAACATTTGTGTCTTAGGTGCGGCCCTGCTGATGCAAGGCATGGTGTTCCTACGCGCGGTGCAGCGCCGCGACAAGCCCGTAGCAATGGGCGTCATGCTGGCTGCCATAGGTCTGCTGGCGCATGTGTTGGGACATCTACTCTACAAGCTTATTAGTCGTGAGTAACCCATAAACCTATCTCCCCAATTGATTTTGAACCTTTTGTTTAGGATATTAAGTTTAAATTGTGTCATTTTGTGACTTCGTTATTTCAATCAATAAGGAATAACATTGGACCAAAAGACGGGCCTTGCGGTACCCCAGATGTTGTTGCCTTTGCAGCTTAAGCATGCTCATTATACTCTCTCCGCAGATAATCCCAGCAAATATTTATATTTTCACGCTAGTCAAATTTTTGTTTATCATTTTCGTTGACGGTCAAAAGCTTTAGACGTGATTGTTCGAGCATAATGTAAATATGAAAATAATGAATTAAATTAAAAATAGTCTTCAATTTCACTTTCATTAAGTATCTACAAAAAACTTACAGTTAATGGCTTTTTAAAGAAGCAAATTATTAGAGTACACCTCAGGGGCCAATAATAGGTCCTTTACTTTATTTTATTAACTTTGAATATTACAATTAAAGTTTTTTTACAGATTTGACGTGTGCATACTCAGTGGACGGCACTTGTCAATTCCACCGCCCGACCATATTCTCTATGGCGGCTGTCAGCGCGGGATTCTGTTTACTCTCTGCCATCGTTAGCATTATTGCGAGCAAAGTCGCGGTTAGTTCTAAAGGAGAAAATGAAAGCAATGGGGGCGTCGATTTATGAGTAAAAGGTGATATTTTTTACGTAAGGTGAAGTCCGTTAAATGTAAATATTGCCCTCTTTGCTGTCCATAAAAAGTAATTTAAGCATGGCTACCTCGATCGGACTAAAAACAAGGAAGAATAAAATATTTCCATGGAAGAAACTACTAGAATTAGTGAGAAAAGAAACTTGATATTGGTAAATGACAATTTTGTGAATTGATTTTTATAAGTTTGTTGTTTTTAATGTTTTTAGTTTTGCATTTTTTATATTGTAAGTAAGCATCAGTTATTTATTTTATTATAAGGAATAATTAGGTAATAATAAAATAAAAATATTTATTTTCGAAGATGTTATATTTTTTTTAACAATTTTTACAACAATTCGGAACTAAATGGCACGCCTAAAACATTTTTCATATACACCACACAAATCTAAGCTAAGATAAATTGTACTTATTGTTATATTAAAAAAAATAAAATAAATCCGTACAAAATTGATTCTATTAATTAAATAAGACTTTTATACCAGCTTTACTTATGTAAAGTTCCAAAGATAAGTCTTTTCATGTGATTAAAAAGCGTAGGTTAAGTAAATAAATAATTGATAATCATAAAATAAAATTATATTATAAATATGAATAAATAACATTTTGGCAATTTGTTAAAAATTAAATAAATTCCACAATATATTACGACTTTACGAGGCTTCAATTAAACAGTAATATTTTTTTCAATTATCTTAAATTATTGTTGTTTAAAATAAATTCTGTACTAATAAAAAGAAACATTATTAAAAGATTGAGTATAATATACGTATTTGGCGAAAAATATGCTATACAAATAAAAGTAAGTGTTACTTACTGTAAAAATACGTCCAAATATCAAATTCTTATTTTCTTATAGAAATTAAGTACTGAATATTATCAGTGCACGTTCATTCGTTTGCTTTTAAACATAAGGTTTATTTTCGTTTGACGACATCACAGTGATGGACACAGCATTTGTGCCTGTGACTTTGTATTTTAAGGCTAGAATAATAAAAATCGAAGATTTTAAAATATTAAAGTTACGGCTACGACGACATTGATTTAAGTTATTTTTGTTATATCTACTAGTTTGGTTTTCTAAACACTACCTATTAATATTTTTTTAAATCCTCTGGCCACAAGACTCCAGCTGAGTGCTTAGTGTGAGTTTACATAAAACGTTGTCACTGTGAGCGCGTAAAAAATGACATTAAATGTATGACGGATTGTACAGCGCCCCTAGCGGATACTTTCAAGAACTAAAATCTTCATAGATTTTAATGGAAACTCACACTCAGCCCTCTGAACATTTAACTGTGACCAAAGTCAATTAGCGTTGTGATGACTTTAAGCAATTTATATCGGCTCATATTATTATATTTTCACTCCAGCACGAACTAACATGAATTCATTCGCACTTTCAGTCACACTTGTGCTATAATCTACTCTATGGTATTGTACTAAATTAAAGATAGAGACAGAAACATGCCACTGCGCGATCTATATGTATATTAGATCAGAGGTTCTTAACCTTTAAGTCATGAGGGACCATTTTACCAAATTTCTGTCTTGTCAGGGACCACCTCATAATCGGTCAAAACCAGTTTGAGTGCAAAAATCAGTTAAAAGTGGTTTTAACCAAGGTGTGCAAGTGCACTTAGTGGACCACTTGGAATGTCTCCAGGGACCACCAGTGGTCCGCGGACCACCGGTTAAGAACCACTGTATTAGATAGACCGACTGCTACAACAAACAGTATCAATTCTGCTAAGTATGATTTGTAACCAACTTCAACAAAAGGAAGAGGTGCTCAATTCGGTTGGTATTTTTTTAGTTACGATACTGTTTGTTGTGGCAGTCCGTTAACTGGTAATATTGCCAGCTACGCCGGTGCTTTATAAAAACAATTAGAAATTTGATTTCACTGATGCAGTGCATATTTTTTTGCGCAGTTAGGGAATTAGGAGTTAGGTTTACCATGAAAATGTCTTACTTTAGGGCTGATTTTTCAATCGTTAGATATCTTGAAACTGAANGGGTATGAATTAATTTGTAAGTAAAAAATCATGTAATTTTATTTATTTTCTTATTGTATAAAACTGATCGAAAGAGCGGGCGTCTTCTAATACAGGTTTTCTAAACTTAAAAGGAGACACCCAACCCCTGTAAATGTGTCTTATAAGAAAATAAAGAAATTTTGAATTTTGAATTTTTGAATTTTTTTTTGAATTCGTACCTGTATTTTTTCATAACTTGTCGGGCTACGATAGCCATTTATTTGTCAATTGGGACAAACATCAGGACCCATCAAGGTTATAGCTAAAAATAAAGAAAATTACATATCATTTACTAAGTTTTTTACGACAGATGACAATAAACATATGGCGGTTCGTTTTGTAGACTCCTTTAAATTTTTGGGCACAAGCCTTGAAAAATTAGTTTCAAATTTAAATACAGAAGATTTTGCACATTTACTTAAATTCTTTCCTGAACATGAGAAGTTCGAGTTGTTAAGACGGAAAGGTGTGTACCCATATGAATATATGTCCACCTGGGAGTCATACAATGATACGATTACTAAGATATACATATTATAAAAATAGACATATCAACGACAAAATCAAATATAAAAAATATACAACCATATTAAAAAATTGTATAAATAACTCGCAAAAAAACTGTAATAAAAAATATATAGGGACATGTACAAATAAATGTAAAGCATCTTGGACTCTAATAAAAAATTCTAGTAATTTGAAATTAAATTATATAAAAAAAATTACACATGACGGCAAAAATATATACGAACCAAATGACACAGCGAACCTTTTTAATGATTATTTTGCAATATTAGGCGATAGGGATAGCACGACAAATGTGCTAAATAATACCCACAACCACGTCCAGTATGTGAATGATACAATTTTTCTATTTCCCACTGACAGTGATGAAATAACTAAAATAATTGCGAATCTCAAAAACAAAAACTCTGTAGGATATGATGAGTTCCCTACAAAAGTTCTCAAGGCTACTAAAACTGTAATTGCGCCAGTATTGAGTTACTTAATTAACCTGTCTTTTACACAGGGCATTTTCCCTGAAAAATTAAAAACAACCATTATAAAGCCTATACACAAATCTGGAAACACTGACACATTAGATAATTATAGGCCAATTGCTTTAGTACCTATATTATCAAAAGTTATAGAAAAGGCCATGTTTGCCAGGTTGACAACCTTTATAAACAAACTAAGCATTTTAAATAAAAATCAAAATGGCTTTCAAAAAGGCAAATCAACAGCTCTGGCTACCTTTAAAGTTATCGAGAAAATCATGAGCCATGTAGACAAATCAAAAGAAGTTACGGCAATTTTTTTCGACATGAGTAAGGCATTCGATTACGTATCGCATGAACTCCTCTTAGCTAAGTGTGAAAAATATGGCCTTAGAGGTAAAATCTACAATTGGCTAAAAACTTACCTAAGCGAAAGATTACAATACGTAGAGATTAGAAATCTAGATAAATATTTAAATGAAAGGACATATAGATCATATACACAAAATAAGATCACTNAAGTCAAAAGAAGCTATAACAATAAATTATATGACTAAAATCATTTCGAAATCTGCCAAATTCTCGATTTCTGCATGAAAAATGTGACAACGCTCTTAACTGCCAACGTGCCAAACTTATCCTTCAGTCAAAAGTTATCCGACGATTGAAAAATCAGCCCTTAGTGGCGCCATATGTCAGAAGCGATTGAATCGTTGTGTATGGCTAAAATAATTACGTATTGCTCTGCTCTCGAGGTTACCCAATATTTCAGTAGCTCAGTGCCCTAAGCATTCGAGCAGAAAGCAAGAAGCCATGGATTCATTTCCCACCTGGGGCATTGATTTTTTTTTCTACTAAAATCATGTGCAAAAAGATTTTCTCACAACACATTTTCGCAGTAAACCTACAGTATCTACGCTCACCGTGTGATAGTAAGTGTAAGTATGCCTCGTAGGATCAGTGGTCCAGGATGCGTAGGTTACCGGACACTATTTTGTTCTCGAGAACTGCGCCAGAAGGGATATCAATTCGATCTCCGTGGTTGGCTATGATTATTACGGTGCCCTGGAAAAGAAAAAGGTTGAATTAAAACCGGGAAAAAATATTTTCAAATATTAAAACAAATAATTTTCCAATGATTTGACAAAAGAAGGGGCTAAAAGTAAAAAAAAAAAGTTATGGTAGATAACACCAGAATACTTTTAAATTCGTTGCCTAACAGATATACCTACTTAATTTTGGTTTTACTTGGACTATCAGAAGTCCTTTGTTCAACTAGTTATGTATAGTAAGTGCCCGAAAAGATGCTATAAGCTGGTGAAGATCTTGTACAGAAGAAAACAGATAAGACAATACATTTTCGTTTCAAAATAGCACTTATTAGAACTATTGATAATCCCAGTGTTGAGCTCAATATAGTATCTTTAGTTTAAGTTCTAACTCACCTTCAAAGAAACTCCTCTTCCGAACGTCACATCTCCCGAAACGGTCAAATGATCCAGCTCAATCAAATCCGGAATAGTCGCGAATCTGTTCAAGAACTCTTTCACTTTCGCGAAATGGTTGTCGCCGAGTTTCACCAGCGGCGTCGAAGGGAACATCCTTTGTGGAGACATTACCAAGGATCCGTGCGACAAACTGTATAAGTTTGACATCACCAGCAGGAGATCTGATGTCTTTTTCACTGGTAAGAATCTGCTCCTAGGCACATTGACTCCAATGCCTCCCTCGAAGCACTTCATAGCGGCACCTACAGCTGTTTCTAATTGGATCACGTTGATCCCATCACCCAAATGCTTGTTGTTGACAATAATCTCCATATTCAAGGAACCCTGGTCTACTACTCGTTGGATGGCATCCAACTTCGCCCAGAGATTGTTGGTGTTGAAGAATTTGAACTGGCTGACCGATTTGAAGTCGTCTACGTGTTCTTTTGGGACTTGAGCTATTTCAAGAAGACGCAGCTTATCTTCATACTGAATAAGGGTTCCTCCTTTGACATCAGCCCTGGTCTTGTCAGTGACTTCCATGACGAATTCTGAGATGGTCTTCTGAGGATCTGGGTTGAGGAGTAGGTTAAGGATGTTAAGGTCAACAGTAGCTCCAAGGTTATCAATGTTGCTGATGAAGCAGTAGGTGCGGCCTTCCTTGATGAACTTTTGGAGGAGGCCGGAGTTGTAGAACGACTCGTAGAAATCGCCGTGCCCGGGCGGGTACCAGCTGGAAGAAAGAGGAAAATTAATTTTGAGATTTAAAAGATCCAAACCATCTAGCCAGGGTCGAGAGTGTAAGTCAAATTCTTTATTTACTGTCTATACTGTAATGGAGACTAAATGACTAAATAATGATGAGCTCGATTACGTTTTATCATCATGAGAACTTAAAAGACGTGAACTTCAATGGGCTAGTTTCGCTATTTAGTCATAGGCAAGAAAAACAATAATCACAAGTCAACATTACAGCCTTTCACAAAAGTCAGCAAGAATTTGTCGTATTCCGAAAGTGTTGTGTTTCATTCTCTCTCTCTTTGAAAGTTGCATTTTTCTAAAGTTGCCTCATCTAAAAAAAAGTGTTCTACTTAATTATGGCAACACTCACGCATCGATATCGGCATGAACATCTCCTGTCTTAGCGACTGGTAGCAGCGACTCTCTGTTGATGCGAGGATGGCAGAACTGTTGCAATGTTGCCACATCTAAATAAACTATAATGGCAACACTCACGCGTCAATATCGGCATGAACATCTTTTGTCCTAGCGACTGGCAACAGCGACTCGCGGTTGATGCGAGGATGGCAGAACTGTTGCAATGTTGCCACATCTAAATAAACTAAAATGGCAACACTCACGCGTCAATATCGGCATGAAAATCTCCAGTTTTCGCGACTGGCAACAGCGACTCTCTGTTGATGCGAGGATGGCAGGACTGTTGCATATTGCCACATCTAAATAAACTAAAATGGCAACACTCACGCGTCAATATCAGCGTGCACGTCTCCAGTTTTCGCGACTGGCAACAAGGACTCGCGGTTGATGCGAGGGTGGCAGGACTGGTTGAAGGTGTGGATGTCCAGCTTCAGGCCCTTGTACTTGCGGATCACTTTCTGTGTGTCGTCGTCCGTGTTGAAAGAGTTCATTAGCACTAGCGGCACGTTGCATTTGTAGGTCTTGTTTAGATGCTGGATGATTGGAAATAAACATAAATCATAACATAATGCTCTGCCTCTTCTATTAATTTATCTTTAGCCCAAAGGTTAGATAGTAGCAGATAGTAGGGAAGGTTTATTCGGCTTGAAAACGCTGTTTATAGTGCAAATAAGTTTTAAATAAATAAATGATACAAACAAATCGAAGATTTCTAAGGCTGGGTTGCACCATCTTACTTTGACTTTAACAAACGTCAAAAATCTGTCAAACTCCATACAAAATACACCGTTTATCGTTATAGTCACGGTTAAAGTTAGGTAGATGGTGCAACTCAGCCTAGACAAGATAGATCCTAGATAGCTTGGATCAAACTCGCGGCAGATGCCGGTTGCTAAAATTAATTTCAAATCAAGTACGGACGACAGCATATCAAGCTAAACACGGTGGAGTCTTATCTCGTTGTAATACAGGCTATTTTGCAACAAAAATTATATGCTGTCAACTATAGCCAAAGTTTTCTTTAGCTTTTACTAGCTGACCCGGCGAACTTTGTTCCGCCTTAATGGCAATAAATAAGCAGACTTTTTTTTAATTTCGAACGGGATAAAAAGTATCCTATGTCCTTCTCCTGGCTCTAAACTACCTCCCTGACAATTTTCAGCTAAATCGGTTCAGCCGTTCTTGAGTTATAAGTGGAGTAACTAACACGACTTTCTTTTATATAATAGATAAGATTATATCTAACAAACAATAACGTCTTTTGCCACGTTAAATGTAGCGTTCAAGTTCGTACGAACTCGCTGTTATGATGTCACGCACATCTCAAGTGTCAAATTTGCTCTAAATTGATAAAAGCGACTGTCGCAACGAACACTGTTGTATCTGCTATTCATATTCATTCATTTTTCAAAACAAGTCAAGAGTGTATTTTACAGAGCATCATAACTCCACTTTTCTTACCTCAATCTGCTGCACAGTCAAGTCCAAGAACGTGAGCTCATTCCTCACTTGTATGACCGACTTGGGTCCCTTACATCCCATGGAGGTCCCCAGGCCACCATTCAGCTTCACCACCACCAGTTTGTCCAGCATATGGTGGATGTGGTCTGTGGTCGGCGTCGGGAGGGTGGTGTAGTCTATGACCGCCCCTTCTGGGAGTTTTTCGATTTTTTCCCATGTTACTGATGGGCCCTCTGGAAGAGATGATGATATTAAAGTAATAGTTAAACGTGACTGAGTTTTTCAGCATTTTTTCTCAACACTTGCTGATAATAAGGGCTATCGTTTTAGCGCTCACCAGTTTGCGCCACTGTAGAGTAAGGTCCTGTCACTTGCTAGTAGCGAAGACAGTGGCACCAACTGGTGAGTGCTAAAGTGGTAGGAGGACTATCGCATTTGCACTCATCAAGATGGCGCCACTGTAGAGTAAGGACCTGTCAATCGCCAGTGGTGCCAACTCTTAAGTATAAAAACGATAGCCCTCATTATGCTTGGCCCTAAGTGATGGTAAGGCAAGCCAACAGCTAAATTAGGCCGTGTATGAGTGCTACGAAAAGGGCCCACATACTCGTACTGATAAAGATTTTTTATAGTAAGTATTTTATAGTATTTTGTTAGAAGTTTATTCTAATGGTTTCCAGCTTTATTTCCACATGAATAATGCATTTACTTACTAAATTACTTTTTAATTAAGTTTTATAAGGCTGACCATTATAAGTAGGTATAACTGAATTGCAATTATCTCCATCTTTAGTTATTATCTTTTATAACTACAGTAAGCAGAGCATTGTAAATATATTTATTGCGTCATACTTTGTGACCTTATCTCTTGAATTAAATTAATTTCAACTTATTTATACGTTTGTTATAAACGGAGGAATGAACCAAAATAATAATTGCTAAAGTACTTCCAAACACGGTTTAGCTATGAGATTAGAAACTGCGATTATAGCATACTGTTAAGACTTTACTTATCTTGACCAATTACACGATTATCGCGTAAATAATCGATTATTTTAACGATAAAAATGTTTATAGGCTTGTGCGTGTCTAAATCCTGACTATCTTACATCACAATCACAAAAATTGAAGTAACCTTAGTGAGATGCCTATTCGTTGGTCCGTGTTTCGATCTCTGTCGCCCGCTGGACTAAATACGTGGTGAATCCACTCCTCACACAAGCATATTATACTTAGTGCACAATTTGGTACTTGACACCATCAACAAATAATACCTAAGAATTAAAAAAAAAATACTTCAGCTTAGCCCTGAAAATTGAGTTGACTTTCAGTTTGCTGTTTAATCCCATTTTTAGGTTTGCTAATCATTGGGAAAAAATCCCATCCAGTCACTGCTGTACACAATGCATTAATAAAAATCGAAATACTTAAGCAACCGAAAGCTTACTGTAAGAAAATACAGGTTACAGTGTTACCAACGAGTATAGGTGTGACCGGATGCATGGGATTTCGTTTCCTAACGAGTAACTGTTACGAGTCACACCGAAACGAGTAACAGTGTTACTCGTTTTGGTGTGACTCGTTGAGACCAAGCGATCTTTAGTGGCTTTAATTAAATCATAAATAATATTTTTTCAATTGAGTTGTCTGAAACGCGTCCCGTGATGTCTCAGATTTGCTATACAAAATATGTGATTGGTAAAACGCACAAATCACAGCTCATAAAAGTTTGTCAATGAGGGCTATCGTTTTAGCGCTCACCAGTTGGCGCCACTGTAGAGTAAGGTCCTGTCACTTGCTAGTCGCGAAGACAGTGGCACCAACTGGTGAGCGCGAAAGTGGTAGGAGGACTATCGCATTTGCACTTATCAAGATGGCGCCACTGTAGAGTAAGGTCCTGTCAATCGCCAGGGGTGCCAACTGTTAAGTATAAAAACGATAGCCCTCATTGATGCTTGCTTAAGTGAAGCAGCAAATCGAACTCACAGCGTTGAATAGAGCTTTGTGATTGGTTCGTGGTGGTTCGTGTTTGACCCTGTGCGTCCACGCACACTGTGAAACCTCATAGTAATGTTTGTAATGTCATATCAAGTACCCAAATCCCAATCAAAGATTCACTTACGTTCAGCCAAGAACCTGCTGAACAAGTTCTTGAACCCTCGGAACTCCTTCTCCACCAGGGTCTTCCTGTTGTCAGGGAGAGTGCTGACCAGCCTCTCCAGTTCCACCTCCACCCTGGCGAGGGCATCCCGCTTGGTCGCCTCCTTGAAGTCGCGCGAGCCTGACGGCGTCCGCTGGTGACTGCGGATCTGGTGGAAAAGACACCTTAATGAATGAGGGTTAGTATGAGAAGAGAGGTCAAACTTGCTTAAACTGGTGACTGCAGATCTGATGGTGAATAAGAACCATAAGGAACAGGGGTTCCAATGAGTAAAGGAAGCTTTGCTTGCTCTGAAATCTGCGGATTTGATAGTGTGAAGGGTAGTAACGTAATATGATGAATAGAAGGTAATATGAGTAGACAAATCAAGGCATGCCCTGGTGACTGCGTATCTGATGGTAAAAAAAACGTAATGAAAGACTACAAAGTAGAAGATCCAAAGGGCTTTAGTCTAAAAACAATAAATGCGCCTAAATATCGCGAGCGCCAACCATGTCTAGGTTATTTCTTTTAACAGCTAATTTTATGAAAAATGTATCATGTCTTAGGCTGAGTTGCACCACCTAACTTTGACTGTAACTATAACGATAACCGGTGTATTTGGTATGGGGTTTGACAGGTTGTTGACGTTTGTCAAACTTAAAGTAGGATGGTGCAACCCAGCCTTACAGTAAGTGCGCATCTGCGGAACTACACACAGCAAACCCCTTCTCTAACAGGCCTATTTGCAGAAAAAAATCGCTAGGTCAAATGCTCAACCTACCTCTAGCAAACCCGCAGTTCGTGGTTCGGAATGATATTGCCATTTATAATTGTTAGATCATATAATTCGTTGAGCACAAACACTTTTTCCTTATCAAAGAATTTTAATTGATAAGATAATCGTTAATCTCAGGAACTATTGGTCTGATTTTCTATAACATCACTCTAAAGCCAATAAAGGCGGAGCAGTAAAGAAAAGTGTTGCAAAAACGAGAAATATTATTCAAACCATTTTCACGCGTACAAAGTCGCAGGAAGATCTAAGGCTACTGAATTACCTACCAATTGTTTCCTCCAACTCATTGAGCAAGGTCGAGGGCGCCACTGTTTGTTTGGCTCGGACGAACATACGAGTAAGTTATGAAGGTTAACGTGTCTTCCTTTGACTATGGACCATCGTCATGACCAATTTCACCTTGTTCAGTTTAATTACCCAGGTTAATTGGGAACTAATTTTAATAAACTAATCGTGTCTGTCAGAAAACTACCTTATGTAAATAATAAAAGCATTTATAAAAGGATAAAGATGTGTGTTTTGTACACACATCAGACTAACATTTTAGTTACAAAATTATAATTTTTCGGATTATTTACATAATATTAAAAAACAGTATTTCTGAAAACCTATGTAGTACGATATGTATATTATAGTTTCAGTTTGTATATTTGGTTTTGAGGCAGTGACCTTATATTTTATCTAAGCAGTAGGTAATCTCCTTGCACTCTAGAGTATTTTAAAGTAAAAATACATTCCAATTTAAAAATGTACTAAACAACAGCAAAAGTAGGGAAAAGGCTTTCTAAATTGTGTTCCAACCAAATCTAGGGAGTGGATCACCATGAAAAAGGTTGAAAAACACTACTCTAGAGCAACGATGTGACACACAATAGCGTTTAATTACATGCCATAATGAATACCGATTGTAAACGCAATCTGCATTAAAATTACTTATTATACGTAATTCGTTTTAAGTCAATTGTTTGATTTGTCTTGTTCAACGAATTTACGAGAAAAAAACTTCTCAAATATTTGAAAAACTGAAAAAGGAGGTATAGCCAGTACCTACCTCTGTAGTCAAGGATTCCGGGAGAAGCTCGCTTCCACCTTAAGCCTGATCATCACTTTCTATTAGTGAGATGCAGGCCAAGAGCTTCCTCTTAGTGGATTTAAACAAATCTAGATAAATATTTAAATGAAAGGACATATAGATCATATACACAAAATAAGATCACTGGCGTACCGCAGGGTAGTATCCTTGGCCCATTGTTATTCCTATTGTATATTAATGACTTCCCAAAATCCACGCAACATTTTTGTACATTATTTGCTGACGATGTATCGGTGGTGATTCCAAATACATATGACTCATTGACAGAATATAATAACGACATTAACAATACAATTAACGACGTAATCAACTGGATGAAGAATAATAATTTGAAAGTTAATATTAAAAAAACCAAATATATTCAGTTTCATAATCAGAGAAATAATAAAACTTGTAAACTATCAATACAGCATAATGGACAAAACATTGACGAAAGTAATGAAGTAGTCTTCTTGGGGATAACCCTAGATAGTAGGTGCACATGGAAGCCACACATACATACGCTGTGTAATAAGATTAATAAGTTTGCATACGCATTGTGGCGCCTAGTGAACATTACAGATGAAAAAACTGCTTTATTAGCATATCATGGATATGTGGCTTCTATGCTTCGATATGGCATTATATTNTGATGAATAATATAATAAATCCTACTAGCTCGATTGATGGTTTCATCAATTTATTTAAACCAGGTTACCTTTAATAATATTTTTCGTTCATTTATGAAAATACTAGCTTTCCGCCCGCGGCTTCGCCCGCGTGGAATTTTGTCTGTCACAGAAAAACTTTATCGCGCGCGTCCCTGTTTCAAAAACCGGGATAAAAACTATCCTATGTTCTTTCCCGGGACTCAAACTATCTCTATGCCAAATTTCATCAAAATCGGTTGCGAGGTTTAAGCGGGAAAGCGTAACAGACAGACATACAGACAGAGTTACTTTCGCATTTATAATATTAGTTGGGATCAAATTAGCCCGTAATCCTGAATCCTGATACATAAATTTAGCCTATTAATTTAACACATGTACGACTGTACTCAGTGTTGCACTATCAAATGCAATTGAAGCGCCTCTATGCCAGGGTTTTTATGTTCCTGGTCAGGCTATAATCGTTATTGAATTATGCTTGGTGAATTTTTGACATTGAGTATCTACTATTGACATTTATATTGACATCTTACATTGATAATATTTTAATGGAATTTGTTGAAATGTTTAATAATTAATTAATTTAATATTTGCATGTCAGAAATGACTAATTGTGAGACCTAACCATTAACTGTATCCATCTCCTGTACCACATTTATAGCAAATAAATGATGATTCTGATGATTCTGATTCTGATTCTGACAACCAATAAATGTCCCTCCTTTTGGTGCAGTCGGGTAAAAAGACGGTTTTTAAAGGTTTGAAAGTGTTGTACACACTTCTTACGTTCTCTACTTTACTACGAACGGCAGCTTATCAAGTTAAACGTTGTAGTATTTAATATCGTTGTAATAGGTACTAGTTTGCCATAAAATTGTATAGGCTTATATGCTAGTAATACATAAAACTAACCATAAAGGAAAAACGACGTCAAATTCTTCGAACGTAAAGAATTCAAAGTCCATAAACTAGTAATAATTGCGTTACAAATAAACAAACATACCCAAGACTTCAAAATGTCGTTTTCACGTGCCATAGTTAATCACATGCACAGAATCACTACAAAGATTAATTAATTACAATCACTATAAAGAAAAATAACCTATTTCACAAGGTAAATGTAGATAATATCGATTTGTGCGATATATTCGTAAAAAAATGATAGGTGCGCGTGAGCATATCCCCGTGCGATGTCGCCGACTGACGAATAAACGGTGAGTTCCGCTGATAAAGTAATTGCCGGCTCGTTATCTGGCACGCTGTCACACCGAAATCCGATAAAAACTTTGGAAATGATGTATTCCGAATGAATAAACTGTTGCCATATTGCTGTTAACTATGGTCTAAGAATGACGTATTACAGAATAGGTACACGTATTATTTAATTTAAAGATGATACATAGTTGGGGGAGGCCTTTGTCCATCAGTGGACGTCATTTGGCTGAAACGAACGAACATAGTTTTTTTTTATGTGACAGGAGGCAAACGAGCAGACGGATCACCTGATGGTAAGTGATTACTTACTAGGTAGGTAGCCAGTTCGTTTGTGGTTGAGGATTTCGGGTGAAGCTCGCTTCCACCTTCAGTCTGATCATCTCTTTCCATCAGGTGATATGTAGGCCAAGAGCTTCTCCATTGTGGATAAAAAAATAGATTTGGAACTAGAATGAGATGTTTCTTCTAATAGAATATTGGGAATCACCGAATCGGAAGAACTGAATGTAGAGTACGAATATACATCATCCTCTTTTATGCAGTTGGGTAAAAAACAAAGAGCGTCTGTGTGAATACCGCCAATTTAACCAATTTAAGATGAACAGATTGGCTCGTATGTAACTAAAGAACACAAATTGAACTTTGCGCGGAAAGTCTGGCCAACTGCGTATTCAGATATGCGTAAAAAGATTTTTGTTTTGATTCTACTTTAGACCTCAGTCTCACTAAGACGAGGTGTAAAAAATATTTGTCAACTTGTTATGCAGAAGCTGTATTAGGAAAAAACTAACTGTTAGGTTCTGCTACTTTGATCGCTAGTAAATACTGGCGATATGAAAATCAGAATTCAGTTTTTAAAGTTACATTGCATATTATAATTACTTAGGTAAGCCTAAATAATGGCTACCAATTAAAATGGAAAAGTCTAATAATAAAGATCTCATGGAAAAGCAAGAATGTTTTCTTTGTTTGTAAATATATTTGTGTAACTTTAGTATTGTATTACGGAGTCTATTCTGAAACTTATGTAAATAATTTACAATTTAATCTTAGGTGCGATAATAGACCATAAACAGCTTTGAAAACAAGATAAAAGAAAGGATTTCTTATCACATTTAATTGCTATAGAGATCCACACTACAATATGATAAATAACATAACAATCACTACGTTATGTACTACTTACTATGAATACTATGTTACTACAAATAACACTAGTGCTGTTACAATAGAATTTGATTCAGTGCAACTACTTTTAAAAAAGCTTGTTTCTTTGCTTTTGAAACTTATGGATAGAACAATCTATGCTAAGATCAGGTTCGAATCAATTCAGGGATAAAATCTAAAGCGAGGATATTTGATCGAAAATAGGCCAAAAAAAATGTACCAAGAACCTATGAAGGGTGAAGTAAACAAGTTGCTTAAAGTAATGCAAACGATTTTAAGAAAATCTTTCGTAATTTCTAGAAGACAAAAGTGGGAAATAGTGCTCTTTAGAAAATGTCCTTTTTGGAGGTTTAAGATTTAAGAAATGGAAAAGGGCACATCAGAAGATGAAAGGGGATGAATCTGAGACATTTCACTCATTGTCCATAGGTACTGAGAGATTTATTGTAGCGTGCTGAAGCACTGCTTTGCCGACGAGGGAGTCTCTTGTCATTATTACTATATGTTGTTCAACTATGACAGTGGCACTACTCGTGTTTACTCTGTCCAAGGCTGCCGCCACTATTCATTGCATAAATTGTACAGATCTACATATTATGCTGAGATGTCATACAGCTGAAGCAAGTTTACATTGAATTTTATTCTATTTCAAATTCTTAATTAGTATGTAGACTCTTTTCAGGGCACTTCTTAAATAGGCATAGCTTGCCAGCTCTTTGGGATAAAGCAATTAAAAATCCTCCTAATACATTAAAAATCAGGTGGATTCATGAGATCAACTTGAAGAATATGATAACTTAAACTGAAAATAACCCAAAAATAATAATTTCAGTGATGAGGAATGGGGGCTAGGGCTACTTTACGATTTATAACCATTTGAACGCCATAAAGTTAGCTGGGGATTTATTATGAGTGCACAATCATTTGAGATGATGATTATGAGTCAACTGATGACGATTTAAGTCAATCATTATGCCATATGATGACAAAGCAAAATTGGAAAATACTTTAGTTATTTTATCCTTCCCTGAATGAAAATGAATACCTACCGGGTTATTTATATTTGTGTACGTAAAACATTGCCTTATGTACTGATTTGTTTAAGCAATTTATCATCAAAATCTGATGATAATCAGAAGGATGTTGATTGTTGATATATCAACACACCTCCTAATGACTAGCTAAAAGCTAATAAGTGCAAGTAATCGTTATGCGATGACCATGGCGGTGCAAATATAAATATTGTGGTGAAATATTATATTGGATGACCACGCAAAATAGCGTGCAAAATAACTAAGTACGCTTCTTGCACAAGAATGATAGACCAATACATTGGAAGAATCTAGTATCTCAGTCTCGTGGCTAGTCATCATTGTCATCATTTTCAGCCATAGGACGTCCACTGCTGAACATAGGCCTCCCCCAATGATTTCCACAATGGCCGGTTGGTGGCGGCCTGCATCCAGCGCCTTCCCGCTACCTTTATGAGGTCGTCGGTCAGCCTTTTGGGTGGACTTTCTACGCTGCGCTTTTCGGTACGAGGCCTGCACTCCAGAACCTTGCTGTACTCGTGGCTAGTACTCGTAATATATTAGAAACACGGATTTATTTCTCTTTAGTTCCTAAACGGCTCTACTTAGCAGTTTAACATCATGTTACTTTTAAACTACTAAATAAAGTAATACCACAGAATAATAATAAGTACTACGGTAATACTAAAAACTGTAATGAAACTGGATTACTGATATAGTTTAATATCGTAGTCAATAAAACTTTTCATTTTATTTCTTTTTTAGTATGTGAGCCTTACCGTACCGGAAAGCGCAGCCATAGGCGCAGCGTAGAACGCTCACCCACAAGGTGGACCGACGACCTCATAAAAGTAGCATTAAGGCGCTGGATGCAGGCCGCCACCAATCGGCTATTGTGGAAATCATTGGGGGAGGCTTACTTATGTTCACAATGGACGTCCTATGGCTGAAATTATAATGATGATAATATGAGGCTTCACTGTTGCTATAGGTTTTAAGTAACCAAATTGCTTGTATCCCAAGTAAATAAATAAATATTATTAAAATATGTTGAAAGATATAAGACCATCCACATACTGAAGTGGGTAGGAGATAACCCTGTGTATTTAATATTTCGCCATTAATAACTAATTATAAACTCAAGATAACATCTGTGAAGTGTCAACGAAAAGGGTGATAATAAGATAATTTTATTATATTATTATTTTATTATCTTCTCGTAGTAGCGTAAGTTTCCATTTATTAATTTAGGTAGGCGTAACTAAAAAGTTATGAATTAATTATTGAATAATTAATTATTTATTTACTAAAGTTAATAATGTACACATCTATACTAATATTATAAAGCTGACGAGTTTGTTTGCATGAACGTGATCTCAGGAACTACTGGTCCGATTTGAAAAATGTTTGTGTTGGATAGCCCATTTATCGAGTACGGCTTTAGGCTATATTATAACGCCACCCTACAGCCAATAGGGGCGGAGCAGTAAAGAAAAATAATAGGAAATATTATATTTTCATGCGTACGAAGTTGCGGGCACAGATAGTACAATATAATACAAGCAAAAAATGCATCTATATGCAATTATCTCCGACGGATGCTAGGCTGATGTAAACAGATAAGTTATGGATATTTTAAAATTATGTTTACAGTTTGTGTATTATTATTACGACATAACCGTAGATGTACCAAGGACGCTTTAAAGTCAATAATTATATGCCAGTCCATAAAAATCAAGTGCTATCGTCATTCTATTTAATACAATACTCGTAGCTAATTTGTTTGTTTGCAATTTTTCATGGAGTTATTAACGAATATTTAGAGAAGACGTCGCATTTAAATGAAAATTATTTGTAAGTCAATTTTTCTTAGAAATATATTAATTTTCTTACACGCCACAAGCATTAATTGTACAGTTACATACAGTAATGTCTAAAGTATCTGACGAAATAATTAATACATAGTGATAACATAAATAATTATATCAAGCAAAGTATGGCCATATTTTCAGAATATGGCATGATTTTCAGTTTTCTGCTAATCTGTTTACTTAAACGCATTTCTCAAGTGTCATAAACTATTTTCACTTTGGCTAGAAAATAATTAAAATATACGTACTTTGCTCAGCATAAAGACAGGCATTTAAATAAATCCTTAAATATTATACTACTGTTTGCACTGATAATAAAATTATAATGCACGAGTGAATATTGGTTGACGAGTCGATAATTCCAGTCTTTTAAATAAATATTACGGCAGTTAAGCGTAAATAATTTAACTTTATAACCCTACACACTCACGTCATTTGGTATAGCCAAACTTTGACGTTGAATTTCAAACTACCCGCATAAAGTTTCGCTAAGTTTTGATATAACGAGTTATTTCAGTAGATTGTCGAGTTATTTTTGAAATAAAAATTATGTGTGAATAATACTATAACTACATGTTACTTTCACACACAGTGAAGTTACTTTAGTCAAATTTAGTAGGGCTTGAGAAAATGTAAGTAGACGAATATCAAAGTACCTATCTACTGGCCATCAACAAAAGGAAGGTAAAATAGTATTGCAGATCTTTGAATATTTATGGCATTTGCTTGAAAAACCACACGTGTAATTTGATGAACACTTATGTCCGTTTTGTATTTAAAAAATTTCAAACATCCAACCTTGCTGAGTAAATCCATTGAACAATCCACAGATCACAATGCCTTTATTATGCGCACGCGCCGCTCGTTCCGCGGATACTGGGCGAGGAGACCGCCGGGACGACATATAAACTGGTGATAACTTATCGTTAGGGCCTTTGAACTGTTTAGATCGCGGTCAGACGTTTTGTTCTTCACATAGTCATCCAATTAAATAATAGATTAGGTACGGAAATCTTTGGGTGCCTTTGGACTGTTAAACTACGTGATAGACCACTTCGTGACTTTTTTATGGTTAATAAAGCAGGTATTTGACCACAATCGCACCTGCTGTTAAGTGGGATGCAGTCTAGGATGGTACGTATCTGCCCTGTAAGTGCCTATTCACTCGCACCTTGAATAGGTCCGGATTATAGTCTTCGGGAAAGACAGTAGCAGGCAGCGAATTCCAGCTGTTCGCATTATAAGAGTCGTCGAAACGCTTAGTGCAAGCTGGTGGAATGTCTCCCTATCCCTAAAGACTATTGGACAATATAACATAACTTTTCAGTTCTTTTTATATTCTTTCAGACTGCTGAAACTTGTCATCATTAAATCAATAGATAGAGACTATAGGTACTATCACTATTCTGAAAAACGACACTTAAACGGCACATTCAAAAACTTTATTATCAGAATCAAACTTAGATTGATCATCCTCATATTCTGTAATTTCAGACTTGAATCAAATTTTGTCTGTATTTAAAAATTAAATCATTAAAATAGTCGAATATCTATGCATAACTTACTTTGAAAATGAGTAGGTAATCAGTAGGTCAGTGGAATTAAATTAACAAACATCAACATTATCTGATTTAAAACAAAGGAATTATTAAAATAAGTTTTCGGTAGATTTAAAAAAACGTGAACTAATAGCAATAGTCATTTAAAACATTTAATTTTGAGTGTATTTATTTTCCGTATACGTAAGAATGACGGTTAAAATTTATCAATGATTGGGTGTATCACAGTGAGTAAGCATATTACGTAGTACCTAAGTAAAAACTACCTTAGTATCCGAACAGTCAGCAGTAGTAGGTAAATAAAAATTTGTCTTTATTATGTACTGATTTCACTAGTATAATTCACTAACTCACTAATTATCTGAACCAAAATTAAGCAGGTACCTAAAACCTACAGGGTCAATTAGATAACGGACTTTGTGTCAGTAACATCTACTCCCAGTGAGATTCGAACCCAGAACTGAACAAGGTGACCATCAGTACCAAAGTAGTAATATACTGAAAGCCTACAGTCTTAATTAAGTTAAATAATTAGGTACTTATGAAATGAACCTACTCTACTCTTATTATCTGTTATTACGTAGTACTTACTATTATTCTGTGTTATGACGTTTAAAAACAAAATACCTATCGCGATGTAAAATTGTTACAACGCCATCTATTTACACCAGTGCAAAACCGCCCCAGCTATTAATAAAAAACATGCTTTTGTTGTAAAGGATAAATAATAAAAACTACTAATCTAACAAATTTTAAAAATCATAATAAGTCAGCTGATTTTGTTATCAGAGCATAAGCTATTATTTAGTATGGTATGATCTAGATACTTTAATCTGTCTGTATAATAAACAAATATTTTGTTTTATGTATGAACATTTTTGCTCTCAATAGGTACTTAAAAGGAGGCTAAATTGTGTAAATTATACATGAATAAAAAGGAACTTAAAGTATTTTTTCCTGAAACTTTCTATTTAGTTTCAAAGCTAGTACTTCATGGTACAACATGGAATCTTCTAGACTCTATAAGATTCCATTTCCCACAATCTAGAAAAGCTAGCTCAATCTCAAATCACATTTGCATATTTTTAATGAGATTTTGAATAGCAAAAATAAATTATAATCATTATATCTCATTAATGAACGTAAAATTAGTAAATCACATCAACACCTTATGGGTGAGATGTGAACACCCAAGCCAATTTAATATGTATTTTATAAAGTTCTCAAAGTAAATAAATATATCTTAAAGCCTCATTACTGAAAATTAAATAAAAGAAAGAGAAATATCTAATATAATTGTTATGTACATTTAACATGTCTTACCGCTGGCCTGAGTCTGTCGCTGTTTTCCTGGAAGTTAGTAATTTGTGTCGGTTAGTGCATACAGAAGAAACATATCAGCTTTAAAAGCAGAAGCTTTTTAAAACTCATGTGACAGTCATACTAAACTATACCAGTCATTTATTAGAGTATAATAAAAACTACAGCTCCACTTTACTTTCAAAGAAAGGAGGCAGCATGGCAGCGCAATAAAGAAGGATTAGAATAGAATTCGGTGCAAGTGTAGACAAGTCTTTTTTCTTTTGTTTTATTAAGCTATTATCTCTAACGACACTGGCTTTGGCTCCTGAGAAGGTCAGCACTGAACTAATTACTAGTTTTTTAACTATTCAATATTTAGCTGAAATAAACCTAATTTGAATTCCTCAATGATGAGGGTGTTAATGATTGTTTAGCTTGTTTTTTTAAGGAATGACAAAAACTAATTAGATATTTAAAATGTGCTTTGTTTCTATGAACCACTTGAGTGAGCAGTTTCATCATAATATCATTTCCCTTATCAAATCTATGAAAATACTAATTTAGGCATTGTAGAATCCAAAGTTTATGTCGAAATATGAGTAAAATCACTGTTGAGATAGGAATTTGTGACAAGATTCTTTGTTACTAGGTTATGAAACATTTCCAAAGCAATGCTTTGATTACCCTATTGGACCTACTATTTAGCAAGTTTGTGGGATACTCTATCTAAACTTTTAGCCAGTGATTCGCCTGTAAAGTCAAGTGCGCAGACCTCTGCCCACGTATGACCTCTAGCACCAGGCAAGGTCGCCGTAGATAAATAAATAAGACGCACGCATCGAGTTGTTTTATCACGTCTACATTACTAGTATCGGTGGCCGAACGTAAACTATGTGAAGATAATAATGTTTGTTACCTTCTTATCGGCTTCTCTGTTATCAGCCATGGTCACTTTCAGTAATAAACGTAAGTTTTTTACTGTTTCAGAGTTTGTAACACGACGTTCCGGCAGCAGCGATTGACAATCAGGTGATTGTCAAAATTATCAAAAAACAAAATGTCAAATTTTTGGCGCGTGCGTTCCGATACTTCCGTTGCATAATGAAATAGTACAAGTTTTACAAAACAATAAAACTTGTATTATTGAGCAGAGACGATGCACAGCATCTGGTGAGAGATGCGTCTACTTCCGGTGTAGTTTTTTACCATTTTATACCTTAAATGACGTCATTTCCGCAATTATTTAATAGGAATTGATTTGACTTACTTCCGTTTGCCGCCATTTTAGTCACCTGGGGGCGAGCTTGCTCGGAGTTCTTCATAGAGAGCTCACCAGGAGGCCTTNAGATAGCAACATTCGAAACTTCGGGTAATGTTTTTCAGAGTAACCCCGTTGCTCCCATTTTTTCATCTCCTCAGCACGTCACGTTGCACCATCCGCTCACAACTTCGTCCAGCAATAGAAGGCTAAAACGAAACAAAACAAAAACGTTCTTACCCTCAAATTAGCGCCACCGTCCTTTTGCAACTCCTGCTCCCGTTTCTCCATCTCCTCAGCTCGCTGCTGCATTCGCTGCAGCTTGGCCGGGTCCTTGACGCCTCGGGCTACCGATTCAGCTTGCCTGCGCTCGGCTGCTTCGGCCTGCTGGCGACGTCTGGTCTCCTGGTGAGCGAGACAGCTTAGGTCAAAGAAAAATCTTGTCAAAATCATTCCCAGGGAGCCACACGTCTTTTGAGCGTCGCGTCGTCGTTTTGCTAAAGTCCGGTCGCCGAGCACATAGAATTTCGTCCAATGACCCCAAGCTATCCATCCTTATCGTTCGCGCGTAATTATATTGCTGTCGCGCTCGCACACTCAATAGGGCCGCCCATTACACAGTCGCGAGCGCAACAGCAATAAAATTACGCGCGAGCGATAAGGATGGGTTGCTTGGGGTCATTGGATAAAATTCTATCTGCTCGGCGACCGGACTTTAGCGCCTTTTGGTCTGGTTTTAACCCATCTAACCAGGTATTATACCATAAGTACTTATTATACAGGGTGTCCCAAAAACAATGGATAACCCTGTAACCATNGTCCGGAATACACTCGTCCCCTTTGGCGCCAACCACCATCACGTACATGTCGTTCGCGGTCACACACGCGCGGTCAATTGCAGATGTTGCTAGTTTGGAAGTTAAAGACGCTATATGAAGAACTCCGAGCAAGCTCGCCCCCAGGTGACTAAAATGGCGGCAAACGGAAGTAAGTCAAATCAATTCCTATTAAATAATTGCGGAAATGACGTCATTTAAGGTATAAAATGGTAAAAAACTACACCGGAAGTAGACGCATCTCTCACCAGATGCTGTGCATCGTCACATGCCGAATAATTAGTACTTATTCAATGAAATTAATAAAAAGCTGCAACGTCCTAAAACCTCAACTTACGGGTAAAACAATAAAAAACGCTATAAAAATGTAAAATCCTCTTGCTACAATTTATTAACAAAATTATGCATAACGAAACGTATAGATGACCCACGCTGAACTGTCCCGCCAAACTCAATGACAGGGGGGCGCTACCATCGTTCAACTATATGGTTTCCAACATGGCAAAAATCTGAACCAGCGATCCGGTATTGACAGTGGCGCCCCACTGTCAATGTCATCGACAGGACAGTCCAGTATTTTGGAACTATATTTAGTTTTAACGGGTTTGCGAGTCATTTCTCAAAGTCCCGATGGTCCCGGGTTCGATTAATGTCAAGGAATCAATATCAATCGAAAAGATTGGAATTGGAATACTCTCAATTAAACTGCTCAACTTGAGTATGATGCAACGTGTTGATTTGATATTCACGAAAAGTGAATACGTACTACTAAGAAAGGCTAAAACCTTAGTTAACTTATCTTAATTTTATATGACAGTTATATTCACTCATATTTTGAGATTATTCTGCGGCTGAACTGTTTCGGATGGAAATCTTATACTTTTATGTCAACATGTTGTAGGTATATTTAATGCAATAAAATAAAATCCCTCGTCATTTTTAACTCTTTTATTAGACATTTATTATAATATTTATACATCCATTTCATATAATACTTCATTAAAACACTTATAATACATTTACATAATCCTCTTTACCAATATAATTATACAATTCTGATGAAACAACATTAATGTAGACATCTACAATACATCAATTTATAATTAACTCATTAATTTTATCGATAAAGAGAATATACTTTAGTTGTGTAATGGATACATTTATTTCTTCAATTTACAATCAATCAAAATAACAGCCAGTTATACTAGCTTATCTTTCTTTGAGATATAAATATATCCATCACTATCAACTCTAATACGAGTATACACATCAATATAGTACATAAAACACGTATAGTATAGGTACAAAAATATTACTTACTTAACATTTAATCGTGTAGAAACACCGTCGAAAAATGACAACATGGCTCAGACTAAAAAACAATACTAGTGTTGTAACGGACTTGTCCATATCTTTGCAGGACTCAATTAATACCATTTTTTCTTGAGCAAGGATATAGGACAAAAACAGGACAATTTCCACCTCTTCTTCTCACACATTACCCTGTGTATCTAGTTTGGTACACCCCAGGAAAAACTTTACATAATGTCACCAACATTTAAATTAACCTTGTGGTTATTTATTTTTGTCTAAAAATAGATGAAGATCGAATCAAAGTATGAACTTCTTTTCAGTGCAGAGCAGATGACAAAATTATTGACTGTTTTACTATTAAATACGCCGTATTTTCTTATACATTAGGAAATTAATTATTTGGACCTGAAGAAAACTAACGATCAATCTTTGCTCAAGGAAATACAACACTAATATCACTCAACCGAAGGTCCGCAATACACATACAGACTGATCTATTTTGGACTTTATGACTATCAAAAGAGACTCTTCATGAAGCCCTCTTACTTCCAAATGCGGTAACTCAACACCTTCACGATAGCTTTCAATATGACAAATAAAAGTGGCATTGATGTTTGACTTTGAACCTTATCTGCAAAGCAATAAGGAATATCAAAAACACTAAGGCCCAGAACAGACTAGACGGTGAAACGCAACTGCAACGAAACTGCAACTGCTAGTTACTTTTGAGTTGCATCTAAGTTTCTGCCATAGCGTCCGTTGAGAGACCACACATGACGCGACCAGTTTGAAACTTTCAGTTTCAGTTTCATTCATAAGAATCATCAGAAAGTTGCAGTTTCGTTGCAGCTGCGTTTCACCGTCTGTTCTGGGCCTAAGACTAATCCAAAATCCATAAAATTCAATTCTTAAGTAGGTACTCGGAATTGATGATTCACAGCGTCTGTATGTGTAGTTTGCGCCTCACGGTAATGCGACAAGCGTCGCTTCATATCACTTCTACACCTATCCCAATTGGGTGGCACATTTCGTTAATGTACAGTCAACGAGATAATACTTTTCATGAACATTCTGTTGCTGACTGTACCTTTTCGTTATCCAACAATTTATAGATGTACTCCTTTACTCATAAATATCAGTTTAATTTAATGCCATTTTTAGCTAAGAGACAAGAGAGCTGTGTCACTTTCTTTCTTTCTACAGTGAAAAGGGACAAAACTTTTACATAACTCTGTTATTTTTAGGAATAAAGGGGTCAAATACAGTTACGAAATCAGAGTAAAAATATAGACTGTTGACAATTACTAACAACAAGTGTAGGAATAATAATTGTAACATTGAAATACACTCGCGAGCAAAAGTAAGTGATTCCATAGTTTTGCTCGCGAGTGTAGAAGTTGTAGAACACACTCAACTAACACTAGCTGGAAATGTTTGTCTTAACCTGTAGGCCATGATGCGCGCCATGATAAACGTTTGTTTAGGCATTTTATCGATTTTACGTGATAAGTTTGTCGTCTAAATCCCACGATAAGATTTTCCCACGATAAGAAGCGCACTCCGCGCGCGCCGTGATAACTTTTATCGACCTCAAAAGTATGGGCATAATCGATAAAATGGCGTGATAACCGCTTATCGCGGCGCACATCTTAGACCTACTGGCTGGTGAAGGTAACGGTATAAAAGTCTACATTGTGCTTTTAATTAAACTGTGCTGTGTACAAAATAGTGTACTATTTATGTATAATAATAGAAAGATATATATTTTTCTCAGCTGTAAACAAATATTACAGTCATAAAGACATCAGACTATAACATTTTGTTGCAAAATCGCAACTATTACGACGACATAAGATGCCATAGTAAATTAGCTTGAGGTATACATAGAAATAGCACCTACTCTAACATTTATAAATCTAACATGAATTCTAATATCTATAGGGTTTTTCTTTCAATAAGTGCTGAATACCTTTACTTTTGAAGAGTAAAAATGCTAAAAACGTTGGTCCAAAGGTAGAAGTCTCCAAACTTTTTAAAAGGTCTAATTTACTCTACGTGTTAAAGAAGATCCATCGAAGGAGTTAGTATACAATAACTGCTTGGAAAATTTGTAGACATCATAAGATTATTACACACCTTATACCTAAAACATAGGGCTTAATTTTGAATGTCTGTGAATAACCCGTGGGAGAGAGTGCGAATGTGTTGAGTAATTTTAATCTTAAAATATAACAACAATAGAGGTGCATATTAAATAACAACTATTCTAGTGCACGTATTACAGAATACAGACAAACAGACGAAATAAACCTGTCTTTTGTTCGATTTTATCGATAGGAATATAAACTTTTTCTAGACTGTAGATGTAGGTATATCGATAGTATGTCGCGGCCGAAGGAACTAAAATTGTTGAAGAGAAAATGTGAATCTCAAATTTGTATGCTTCTTAAATAAGAGTAATACTTAGAAATTTGCAAGGTACATTTTAAAGTTAGCTCAGATTGAATACCACAAAATATAAAACTGCCTCAACTGATTAAAAACCTTTGATCTACTGGTAACTATACAAAAATGGACAATAACTTAAACGAATTCAATAAATTAGGCCATAGACAAAATTTTGATGATCTGACCTCTAAAACAAGGGGAATAGAGGTTAATGATCATCGAGCTCTATTAGTGTTGCCATCTCGCGTGTGGGTTGCCGGTGTTGCCATCAGTTCTTGTATTTATATCTTTCTACCGCCTGGGATGGACCAGGGCGGGCCTCATCTCAGTTGGACGTCCACTGGAAACAAGAAACAATACATAAAATTAGCTTATGTTGTTAAAAAAGTAGATCTAATACCAATTCATTTAATTTGTAATAATCTTCAGTCAAAAAGTGATCGAAAAAAATCGCTTCAATCGATTTCATATAAAAAATCCCGCGCGCAGACGCGTTGTCAGTGTGTTGTGCCGCGCGTGTTTTCTATACAAACTGAGGTACTTGCATACAATAATTAAATCTGTCGTCCCGCGTACCGCGGCGGAGCGCGGCGCAGTGTGATAACCGGCTAAGACGATATTAGACAAGAAAATCAACTAAAGCGCCTTCCCGCAAACTTCGCCGGATTGTCTGTCCACTTAATGGGAGGCTGCCCACATTACGTCTTACGGCTCGCGCAACTTTTCTGCCCCAATGATTTTATCAGTTGTACAAGCTATGTGCACCACCCACTGGCACTTAAGTCTGAAATAGCAGTTCTTACTACTACAGTACAGTGGACCACTAGGTGGACCGACGATCTGGTGAAGGTCGCGGGAGGTGTCTGGATGCGAGCGGCGCAGGACCGGTCTTTTGTGGAAATGCTTGGGGGAGCCCTTTATCCAGCAGTGGACGTCTTTCGGCTGAAACGAACGAACAGTTCTTACCCTTAAGCTTAAATTAGCCCCGCCCTCCTTTTGCAACTCCTGCTCCCGTTTCTCCATCTCCTCAGCTCGCTGCTGCATGCGCTGCAGCTTGGCGAGATCCAGCAATGGAAGGTTAAAACGAAACAAAACAAAAACGTTCTTACCCTTAAATTAGCCCCGCCCTCCTTTTGAAACTCCTGCGGGGGCCTACTCCGAAACACTGTTTACGTAGTTTCGGGTCTATCTGTCACCGTCCCTCGCGCTGTCATCTCGCTTTGCGTTAGAGGGATAGCAATAGAGATGAAACGGATATCCGGTAACTATCCGGTAGGCCGGATATCCGGCCTAAATTTACTATCCGGCCGGATACCGGATAGTAGCTCACTATCCGGCCGGATACCGGATATTAAAAACAACGACGACAATTTCCTATAGTAAAATGAAATACATTAATCTTTGAGGTAAATACCAATAAAATGGCTTATAATAATAACGGCTTTTATTTAAAGTCCAAAAAGTTACAAAAAAGCCATATTAAGGCCTTTCAAAAAACTAATTTCTTTTTTTGGGCTATTCATTCTAATGACGAATACATAAATAAATAGTAAATATCTGATAGATGTCGAAATATTTCCAAATAAAATAGGTGATCTTTTTGATGGTCTGATTATAGCCTGACCAGGAACATAAAAACCCTGGCATAGAGGCGCGTCAATTGCATTTGATAGTGCAACACTGAGTACAGTCGTACCTGTGTTAAATTAATAGGCTAACTTTATGTATCAGGATTCAGGATTACGGGCTAATTTGATATTTTCATGAATTAACGAAAAAATATTATTATAGGTAACCTGGTTTAAATAAATTAAATGAAAACATCAATCGAGCTAGTAGGATTTATTTTANAGGGTTATCCATTGTTTTTGGGACACCCTGTATACCGCAAAAATGCAACTTTTTATACTACCTACTTTTTATGCAAAAATACTACCAAATTGCAAGTTAGTATTGTGGAATCAATGATAAAAATAAAAAAAAAATAAAAATAAAAAATGAATTTATTGCCTTTGAACCATTGATGATAGAAACCTTCCTTGCATTCATAGCTTAAAATATTGATGAAAAACTACACTAAAAATCGTTGGGAATTCAGTTGGTCGGGCTGGGGTTACAGAGGTATTATTTACAATGGCATTTGTAAAGTATGTAAGAAAAATATAAAATTCAGTATAGGAGAATAAATGCAAATACATGAGATATTTAAAAAATATTAGGTATTTAAGGTAAATATTTACATTACCTAATATTAATACAAGTTAATAATTGTGAACCCTTTATTGCATTAAAGTTACATTATGGTGTCTATTTTGAGTGTGGTCTTGTACATTATGTACAATGATAATAATTATATTATTTCTGTGCAATGTATGTGAAAGTTAAGTCAAGTGATTGTGCTATTTTATTAAGTTAAGTATAAGATATTAATCCTATAATCATATTAGATTTTTTGCCTAATTTAAGATACTAATTTATGAATTTCATAAAAATTAATTCTTTATGAAAAAACATGATTAAAAAGTAGGTACTTACTTAAGTAACGTATTGCACAGTAGCATCTTTTTGATAGATCCTAATACCTAATAGGTTATATGACTAAACAAATTAATAAAGTAAAGTAAAAATTAAAAAGTACTTATTACTAAAAGATGTTACATTGTACAATTTATTCTGGCGATCTCTGCACTAAGTTATTATATTGTGTAAATAGTTTTAAAAAATATATTATAAAAATTAAAGTATTGTGCTGTTGTGGCGAAAAATTATCAAGCAATACCGAGAAGGGATAGTAATTAAAAGAAAAGAACCAGAAACTCACAGCATCAGGCGTTAGCACGTCGGAAGCAGAAGGCCTACAACAGGATGTAAAAATCCCCATTTCTCAAAAATATCACGGTTTTTCATGAAATTCAAATAAAACTCCTGTTTTTGTGTTTCTGCAATCAGCTGCTCTGTCTTATCATAAATGTCAACAACGTCAACAATGTCAATTTGACAAAATAGTGTTGTGTAGAAAAAACGATTTCAATCCCCTTGAAACTGGGTCGAGCAACGCTGTCTAATCTGTGGAGTGATAATCGATATTTCACTTCAATTAACAACATGATTTTTTATTTAAATAAAAGAAACATCAAGAAAGTTTTAATTAACAAACATATTAGTATGAATATAATATGAGACTTAACACTTAACAGATTGATTAAAACAGTTGACAAAATTAAGGGGCCACGCACGACCACGTAAATAAATTATAAAATCAGACGAAATTAAATTATAGAATAATTTAAGAATTATTTAGCTAAGCAGTCTCTGTCAGTGTTTAGCTTGATGTGCTATCGTCTCTCCGTATATCAACAGGTGTGTTGTGTTTTTGTATGTTTTTGTTTCAAACATCCATTTTGTAAAGTGTAGGTAGAAAAGTAGGACTAATGACCATAGAATAATTTATTTCTAGTTGAAAAAGGCTGAAAGAAACTATAAAATTATTGCTTAACCATTAATAATTTCTATTTTATTATTATTAAAATAATTTATACTATTTTTTAATATAAGAATTACTAAATTCTCCAATGTATGTACAGTACAGATGACTGCAGAACGTGAGGTATACAATATTTAAGTTTTTTGAATTTAATAAATTCTATGTTAATGAAATAATTCACAAATTTTATTATTAATTTTAACAAAATATTTTACTTTATCTTTTTGTTTTGTAAAATTATGTTTTATTTAAACCCTATGCAAAAAAAACTTGACTTTATTGACACCATGACACAGTCATGTTTATAATTCATTTTATTTCAGTTGATTTCAGCTCAGATTTCAGTAAAAATTTAAATTCAGATTTCTTACACAGATTTTCAGACTAAGTGGACTTTCTAATGATAAAGGTCTGGTGTGTATAATATTAATAAAAGTAACAAACCATTCGCCTCCAAATCGCAAATATGTTGGCCATATCGGGAAAATAGTAGGTTTAATTACTAATTTTAGAACTTAAACGCGGTAGATGCACTCACGAGAAATGAAACTGTTGCTTGCTACTGCTATGGAGTACGGCCTGTCTGCGTCGATCAATAAAAGCAAGCAATTTTTGCAAGTTCAAGGTTATTGGTGAGGCAATCAGCGAAAATAGCAATTTATTCGATTACCGAATATAACTATGTTCAAAAAATACTAATGGTAAGTTTCTTTCTTAGGTAATCAATATTTTTAACTTAATTTCAAATTATTCATTTGTTTTACAAATAATTCGCTTAAACTCGATACAAGTCGGTTTCGTCGTTTGTTTATCGATTATGGTACAACACTAACGCAAAAGTACATTTTCGTGGGGACTGTCGCTTAATTTTTAATAAATAGAAAAATACGTGAAAATGCTATCGCGGGTAGCTTTGCGTTCAAGTAAGTGTAACTAAAAATTATTTAATTGATTAATATTACATTTAAGTTGGAAAAAACATAGGTAAGTAACCATAACCTCTACGATTAGACGAGTTTATGTAATCACTGGTTGTCAAATCCTCCGCCAGTCTTGTAAATTTCCTATTTTGATAAAAATGTAAATATTCTGAACCTTTAACTGCAAGGTCTATGAATGTAATGAACTGTAACATGTTATATGAAAATATGTAGGTGTTTACAAGTTCTTTCTTTAGGTACTTGTACATAACTATAACCACATAACCTATCAACAGTCAATAGAAGTTCTAGGGCTGCTAGATTATGAAATATTTTTTATGTAGTAAGACACTGCTATGTGGTGTACATAGCAGTAGCACAATCAAATGTGTATGTGTTAATAATGGTCAGAGGGCAGGGTATGATGGTCTAATTGAGGTTCTTTAAATTCTTATTAGATATCTGTACTTATACTATTTTATTTCAGGACTGCAATTTATGCCTTGACTGTGCCAAGACTTCCTAAAAATCGTTTTATGTATTACGCCTAGAAGATTTCTCTATCCTGTGGTTTAATATTTGTTAAACGAAAGGTCTGCGGTATCCATTTGTTCCTTGTCATTAGATTTACTTAAAGCTCATCGTTATACAAGATAGATGTAGTTAGTTAGCAAAAAAATGTAATATTTACGTAGATAAAGTAAATCTCTCGTATTATGTATAGTTGTACGTACGGTGATAAAAAGCTAAATCCTGCATTAACTCTTTTCCTCCATGTCCAGAAAGTGCCATTGTTTTAATCGTTGATATATGATGTCCAAAGATATTTATATTTATTATTATTATATTTTATTATCTTCTGGGATCGTGAGTTGTACAGTATGGTGGTCGGTTAGTTTCAATTTTAATCATATATCAGTTGCACACAAAGTGGTTGGATGGTCTCTATTTTAATTGTAATATATCACTCAATACCTGGATGTACCTGGTACGATAGGAAGTACCTGGATGTGGGCAGCGTAGGACCGGTCTTTGTAGTAATCTTTGGGGAAGGCCTTTGTTCCATAGTTGACGTCATTTGGCTGGAACGAATATCATTAACACTTTCCTGGACAGTAACTAGACACTATAGAAGTTTAATTGTTATGACTGCTAATGATGTCATCATCATCTCAGCCATAGGACGTCCACTGCTGAATAAGCCTCCCCCAACGCTTTCCATGCTGCTAATGATGTGTGTGTGTATTTCCAGTTGCGGCTCGACAGTCCGCCTGCACGGCGTCGGCGGCTCGCGGCTCGGCCTCCGAGGCCGGCGGCGTTCGTGACGAAAAGAACTTCCCTCGGCCCGTGCGAGGAGAGCCCGGCAAAGTTCGCCTCGGATTCGTGCCTGAAGAATGGTAACTATCTGCTTACGTTACACCATACAACTCGGTCAAGTTAACTGCATACCTGGTTGCCATGACGTCATATCGACGCACTGGTACGTCGCATTCTTGCGAGGTGTACTTTAGGAGATAGAACTTGTCTGTGTCACACAGAGACAGTTTATAGGTTTGCTTGAGATTTCAAAGCTGCTATCTTAAACTTAAGGATTTAACTAGTGAGATAAATGCCAGATTGGAATCTGTGAGAATTTTTTAGCTGAGGCTTGAGAGCTCTGCACCCAATTGAGAATGTTACTAGGTATGCAAAATCACTTGAAACCTATGTTACAGTTAGGCTTTTACATTTGCAAATACATTAGTTTTTATTTCATTCAAAAATACCCAGTAGTTATGATTTTATAGGCATTCAAAGTTCGCTTAAATATTGAGTGCCGCCGACGGTCACGTGACCACGCGTGACGGACATTCACAGTATCCGCTCACTAGAAAACGGATATAAACATACTTAAATACATTTTTTTTGTAAATACAAACTTATTATACATATTAACACCCAGACCCATCACAGAAATTAAAATTGAACCAAACCCAAACTTGATGCGATTGTGTCGTTTTATTGCGAATTACCTTCCAGCTCCATCATTAGACCCTGATTACTATATAGAATTAAAGTACTCGTCAATACAAAATGAACGAACCCAAACTCGATGGATTTAAGTCGTTTTATTATAGAGTTCCTATGGCCACCTTCCAGCTCCATCATCAGATCAGCTCCATGTCATCATAATATTGCATGGTCATCCAAATCACATGGTGTTTGCGAAATTTCAGCTTAATCGGTTGCCTGGAAGTGGGTCTTAATTCAGCTTGCAAGATTCCACCCATACAAATATGAGCCAGTCACTGTAATATGACGTCACGCGCATAAAATGGAGGACCGGCCGCCGCCCGCACTTTTAAAATTCAATATCTTGGAAACTAATTGACGTATCGAAATAATTCTTTCACGTGTATTTTTTATTTTTAACAGAGAATACAGAAAGCTAAAAAACAAAATTAGTGAACATTCTTCATTATTGCCCAGCGAAGCTAGAAAAGCCACTACCAGCATAATGCGTCCGGAAAAAAGACATTCTCTCTGGGACTATTGCAAAATGTATTGTAGATGAGAACAAACAAGCAAATTCTTAGTTGGGTGTGTAAGACTAGGCGCAGACCACCGATTTTTAGTTGGCCGATAGTTGTGCCCGATTTTAAATTGTATGAAGAATCGGCCAAATCGAATCGGTGTAATGTGCGCACTCCCATACATGCCCATACTGATCAACTGCCCGACTAAACTACCGGCCGACGAAAAATCGTTGGTCTGCGCTTAGGCTAAGTGTATTCCTCTTAGAAATTTAATCCCAACTAATATTATAAATGCGAAAGTAACTCTGTCTGTCTGTCTGTCTGTCTGTCTGTCTGTTACGCTTTCCCGCTTAAACCTCGCAACCGATTTTGATGAAATTTGGCATAGAGATAGTTTGAGTCCCGGGAAAGAACATAGGATAGTTTTTATCCCGGTTTTTGAAACAGGGACGCGCGCGATAAAGTTTTTCTGTGACAGACAAAAATCCACGCGGGCGAAGCCGCGGGCGGAAAGCTAGTCATTGATAAAAGAATCACTTGATAGTTTGAAGGCTTTATCGTACTAGCGGCCGCCCGCGACTTCTTACGCGTGAACCCCGTTTTACCCACTTAGGGGTTGAACTTGGCAAAATCTCGTATTAGTGAGCACTTTAGTTCTAAAAGGAACCCCCATGCAAAATTTGAGACTCCTAGCACTTGTAGTTTCTGAGATTTCGTGATGAGTGAGTCAGTGACCTTTCGCTTTTATAATGACCAACTAACCTTCCAGGTTCCAATTCTTCCACTCCAAGACCGGAGTGACTGGCCCATACCCATTCGGCGTGGGTCTGGCTACCTACCTGTGCNCATTGATAAAAGAATCACTTGATAGTTTGAAGGCTTTATCGTACTAGCGGCCGCCCGCGACTTCTTACGCGTGAACCCCGTTTTACCCACTTAGGGGTTGAACTTGGCAAAATCTCGTATTAGTGAGCACTTTAGTTCTAAAAGGAACCCCCATGCAAAATTTGAGACTCCTAGCACTTGTAGTTTCTGAGATTTCGTGATGAGTGAGTCAGTGACCTTTCGCTTTTATAATGA